CTGCGCATCTCTTGGGATACTTCAACGGATCCCTGCCATTCCCAAGCAACGGCACTGGAAAGGAGCAAGAAATTTTCACGTATCAGTCCCTGCTGGCGTATACAGTTCTCCTGCGGAACCTGTCACCACAAGAACAGCAGAGCATCAGAACGTATCGGAGCTATGGAAACTCCGCGGAACTCGCATGGCATCATCTCAAGTGTCTCTATCAAGCAAACGACAGCGTGACACAAAGCAGACTCATGCAACAGCTGACAACAATACAGATGAAGACCGGGGAAAAGGCGATGCAGTATATGAGTCGATGCCAAACACTCCGCGGCCGCCTGCTTCGGTGCGGAGGAACAATCACTGAAGAAAGCTTCGTGACGCTTGTCCTCGCCGGACTCGGGCCAGAATGGAGAACCACACGCTCGCTTCTTCGCGCCCACGGAAGGATCTCGGAGATGCACCTCTGCGCCGAGCTTCATGCTGAACAACAGGAGATGGACCTGTTCGAAGAAAGACAACCAAGAAAGCAGCAGCAGTTAGTTTTCAACACTCAACGAAGGAACGACAACAACTACAATCGACGCGGCAAGCAAGATCAACGCGACAACAGAGGACTCACCATCGTGCCGCCGTTCTGCCACAACTGTCAAACATCCGGACATTCCAAAGTCAACTGCACACGTCCTCATGTCTATCGTCCAGTAGACCCACAAGTCGCCTCCACTCAAGAAAGCCCTCCAAGACGTTCTTCCACATCTGCACAAGGGACACCGAACATCATCAACTGCATGGTACACATCGACAACTGCGCACCCGGATCACCACCCACTTACGCGCCAGACGAAGAAGAATTCCCGCCGCCGCGCTCACAAGGACTTCAGGTCAACCCGACATACGCTGCGGTCGCCAACGCCGAACCCACCGGACGAAACACCTGGTTCTTGGACAGCTGCTGCGGTCAACACATGTGTTCTTCCGGACGCTTCGTGCAACGAGAGCGATGCCTCAACCGCGACGTCATCATCACCGTCGCCAACAACGAGAACCTGAAAACAAACAGGCAAGGGGTGGTTCAGTTACAGTCCATTGAAACTAATGTCATCCTTCAACTCAACAAGGTCTTAATCGTTGACAACTTGGGATACAATCTGCTAAGCGTCAGCCAGCTAATGGCAAAAGGGATTCACCTGGAGTGCGACTCGGACTCCAACGAGTTTCGTTTTTACCACGGGAAGGGCGGCCTCTTCATCGGTCGTGCTCTCCTGAAGTCCGGCGTCTTCGTGTTGGACTTCGTCCCCGACCGCGGTACTGCCGACAGCGATGGGATTGTGTCGTTCGCCGCCTGGACACATCCGCCGGATCTTGATCCCGACTTCAACCCCGATGGATTCTGGTACTCCAACACCATACCTGCAGCAGAGAGAACACGAGCACTAGCAGTCATCAGACAAGAAAAACAAGTACCAGCAAGTGTCCCTTCCCAACCATCACCTACAGTAGCAGCAGCAGGACCCAGCCGAGTACCACCACCAGCGATCCGAGGACCGCCAACCGAAGCAGATCAACTTATGCCCATCACACGAGAAGTCTGCCGAAGTCCCGCCACGGTCGTCGCGTTCTTCTCCAACACCGACATGTACCAACGCTCGCCCGGCCATCGAGCTTCCGACGACATCTGGCACCAACGCCTTGGGCATCCTGCAAACAGCACCGTACTACAAACAATCCAAGCCGAAGTATTAGAACGAAACGCTCTTCTTACAACAAGCGGCCAAGAACTTTGAAGACCTCGCGCACGGTGCTTCACGTGCCCCGAAGCAGATCTTCCCCACCAACCCTTCCCATCACATCACAATCCAAGTGCGCCTGCATATGCACCGATGGAAAAGGTTTACAGCGACATCTTAAATATGCCTCGAGACGACACGGAAGCCGACTTCAACTACGTCATCACTTTTATCGATGCAGCAACAAGATATGTTTGGCACTACAACCTCAAGACGCGAGATCAAGCCTTCGAAGCCTTCACGACGTGGCTCCCAATCGCTGAACGACAATCAGAAACTACGCTCAAGAGTTTCCAATCCGACGGCGCAATAGAATACCAGTCACAACGATTCAGGACCTACTTGGCGGAGAGAGGAATCAGACGCCTGGTGTCTCTACCCTACGCTCACCAGCAACAGGGGGTCGCAGAAAGAATGAACCGGACCTTGCAGACGACGATGCAGAAGCTGCTCCTGGGGATGAGACTGCCCAACACACTGTGGCCAAACGCGATGACCCATGCAGTCCACCTGCACAATTTGCTATCCTCGTCATCGCTCCCCAACAACGCATCACCGCACCTGCTGTGGACACGAAAAGGGGCAGCACAAAATTACTTCGGGTTTTCGGTTGCATGGTACAGTACAGACCCCACACAGCCAGAGCAGGACGTTTCACTCAACGAGCACGATGGGGGCTACACCTCGGCATCGCACAACATTTTCAAGCATGGAAATCCTCGACATACAAGACAAAAATACCGTGGCATCACGTGATGTGATCTTCTACGAACGACTGACGCTGCAACATTACCTGGACAACGTCGCCAACACAGAAGACCCCACCGACGGTGTCGCAGGCCTTCGCTCCTTCGCGGACCGTGCTGCCGAAGCTGACGCAGCAGAAGAAGACGTACCTGGAGCTTCGGAAGCTGCCGGACCACTCCCTTACTGTTCCGTGCCAGTCCCACTCGACGACGACAATCCTCTCGATAGCAACAATCTCGACACCCTTTACCACTTCGCTGACCAAGGTTACGTTACACCTTACCCAGTCGACACGAACATCTCAGAACGCATCGGCCCAAACTTCTTACCTGATCCAGAAGATGGTGACGAAGCAGCCTATTCCGGGAATGAAAATTCCCCTCGACACACACCCACGGGACTGCAAATTCTCGGCTTATGGGTCTCCGTCCAGCATCCACCGCCGCCATCTCCGCGCGAGCCCACGACTCTGTCACACGCTCTGGGGGGGGAACATAAGGCGAAATGGAAGGAGGCGATGGAAAAGGAACTAAAGGCTCTGCAAGACCGAAACACATGGAAGCTGGTACCTGCAACAAGCATCAACGGGAAGAACGTCCTCTCGGGAAAGTGGGTGTACCGCATCACGACCAATGCGGACGGTTCCATCGAACGATTCAAGGCTCGATGGGTCGTACGAGGGTTCGATCAACGATACGGAACCGACTACACAGAAACATTCGCCCCAGTCTCCCGTCACACCTCCTTGCGCATCCTACTCGCCGTCGCGGCCACGAAGAAACTACCACTGCGCCAAATCGACGTCGCAAATGCTTTCCTGTACGCACCTGTGGACGCTGAGATCTTTGTCGAGCAACCCCACGGATTCATCGACGACCCCACAAAAGTATGCCAGCTGATAAAATCCCTTTACGGGATCAAGCAAGCCCCGCGGCTCTGGCAGCAGCATCTTCACGGTCGCCTCGTAAAAATCGGATTCCTACAGCTGCTGCATGACCAAGGCATGTACCGACTGCAGAAGGGAAGAGAGTATATCCTACTCATCGTTTACGTCGACGATCTGCTCTACATCGGTTCCACTACCGACATCGCCACCTGGTTCGAAGGGGAACTGAAAGGGGACTTGACACTCACAGTGTCCGACACAGTGACCCAGTACCTGGGACTGAATGTCGTCGAAGACAACTCGGCGTTCTACCTACACGCTGGAAAATACGCAGGCACTGTCGCGAAGAAATTCGGTCTAACGCCGACTACGGTCCCGACTCCCTACCGCTACGGGAACAACAGCAGCACCTCCGCAAAACTCCCCGCGAAGCAAATCCAGGAGTATCAGCAGAAGCTCGGCTGCCTACTATTCGCAGCAATAACCTGCCGACCCGATCTATCTTATAGCGCGAGCCAACTGGCGACGCATCTGAAGCCGCCGGAACAAGAAGATCTCGAGGAACTTAATCGGGCACTACTCTACTTCGTCTCCACGCCGACGACCGGGCTTACCTACAGTAAAGTAACGGCATCATCCGTACAACTACTCGGATACGTCGACGCCGACCACGCGGGAGACAAGGGAAATCGACGATCGAGAACGGGCTACATCTACCGACTAGAACCTATCGGGACTATCTCCTGGCAGTCGAGCAAGCAGGAACTAATCGCACTATCTTCGGCTGAAGCAAAATATATCGCCCTCTGTACTGCGACCAAGGAAGGACTCTACCTACAGTACGAGAGTTGCTCGAGGAAGCGAAGATTGCGACCCTGCTCGTCTTCTCACTCCTCTGCGACAACCAATCTGCGATCAAAATCGCGAACAAGGACGGCTTCGCCAACCGAACCAAGCACATCGCCCTGCGGTACTTCTTCGTCAAGGATGAAATCGCGAAGGGGAGACTTCAACTCAGTTACTGCCCTACGACAGAAATGGCCGCAGACTATCTGACGAAGAAATTGGCGAAGGCAAAATTCGATTACTGCACGTTGCTGACCGGGCAGACAAACGTCACCGGATCTGAACACGTCACCACTCCAGAAACGAAGGGGAGTGTTGGAAATACCTCAAAGGACTTAAGCGTTTCTGAAGTGTAACACTACACTCGAGGAAGATCGCAACGGGTACGCGAGTCAACGGAGGTTACACGAGGGGATGGACAAAAAACGCTAAGGGACTCGAAGGGTCGCAACTGGAGGTTGCGACTGACCGTTACAACTGCACGAATGGTAACCGAAGCGACAATCGAATCGCTGTGCGACTCGATAACCGCTCCTGCAACTGTATTCTACAACTGCTTTACTTTCCTATTTTCTATATATTGCTGTATGCTTATTTCTTTAATCAATCACTTGTTCTCATATACTAGTACAAGGGTTCAACTACTCAACTTCCGCTGCACTACTCAAGTCTCATTCTTCAACTGGGACTTAGTCTCTGGAAAGATCCTAAGGGCTTTTCTCAGCCCAACATGTTTGACATAAATGAACCTCAGATGCGAAGCATCCGCAAAAAAAAATGTAAGAATTATGTATAGATGCATACACTACACCAACAGGCAGCCTACATAGTACATACCACACAAAACATCCTAAGCAAACAGGGGCTCTTCCTGACTAACGTCCAGAGCCTATCTGAGGCCCGATACCTAACGCCCCTCTCCGCCCTGGCATCTGAACCTCAATATTGATGGCGAGTGTCTGACAGGGAGTATTGAGACATGGTATATCCACAAGAATATCCACCGGCGGTACGGTAGCTTCCCTATAATTCCACTTCTTTGGATAAGGAAGGCGGATTCTCTGCGACGTTTATATTTTTTTCCGCAGCCCTCTGAACGAAGAGCAATTAAGCCCTGAAGGCAGGCACCTCCTCCATGTGAGGACGATCGCGGCCAGTGGTAGAAACTCTTACCAAGAGTCTATCTCAGCTGCTGTCACGATTTCCTCACAGCACTCTGCACGAAGAGCAGCTCAGATAGCACCTCCCCCATGTGCGGACGATCGCGGCCAGTGGGCGCAGTGCAGCGCAGGGCGAGCTGCAGCAGCCGCCAGGCTGGCACCTTGGGGAGGTTGGTGGGCACCGAAGGGTCCACCACTGCTGATGGGTCGCTGTCATGCTTCCTTAGAAGAGCCGACACCTGGAGGGGTTACACAGGGAGGAAGGGGGCAGAGTGAAAGGACGGGGAGGGGAAAGAAGCTTCTTGAGGAGAGCCGACACCTGGGGGTACGAGGGGGGTGCGGGGGAGGAGGGATGGATGTTGCGGGGGAAGCTGCAGCAACTGCCAGTCTGGGGCATCTTGGGGAGGTTGGCGGCCACTGAGGGGTCCACCACTGCTGCTGGGTCGCTGTCATGCTTCCTCAAGAGAGCAGACAACTGGAGGGGTTAGACAGGGAGGAATGGGGCAGAGTGAGGGGACGGGGAGGGGAAAGCTTCGCAGGCTGGCACCTTGGGGAGGTTGGTGGGCACTGAGGGGTCCACCACTGCCGATGGGTCGCTGTCATGCTTCCTCAAGAGAGCAGACACCTGGGGGAACGAAGGGGGAATTGGAATTGGAAGGGGGGAGGAAGGGGAGGTCAAGAGGCTGGCACCTTGGGAAGGTGGGAGGACGCTGATGGGTCGACCAGTCCAGGTGGATGGTTGTTAACATGCTTCCTGAGGAGGGCAGACACCTGGGCGGGGTGAGAAAAAGGGGGATGACTTTTGAGTCGACTCATAAGTCATCTTGGGGAGGTGGGAGGACGCTGATGGGTCGACCAGTCCTGGTGGATGGTTGACAACATGCTTCCTCAGGAGGGCAGGCACCTGGGAGGGATGAGGAAGGGGGGGGGGGGGTGTGTGGAGGTCTCTAGGTGCTCGTATTTTTTTCTAAGGCGTAACCTAGTAGTGAGGAGGATCTCCAGAGTGACAATCCCAAAGCTGTTAACATTAAAATTGCCGTGTGAGGAGCATTGGCTGTCTGAGCATTGGCTGAGCATTGGCTTACCAGGTCGCGGATGACTGAGGAGGAGTTCCCAAGGTGCTCGCCCTCGATCTGAGGGGGCAGCCCGGTGAGAGTTTCCAGCACGACAATCCCAAGGCTGTATGAATATTGTGTTACCATGTCAAAACAGTGTAACCTGGCTGTGTTACAACATAGCATCACTCCGCCTTACCAGATCGCGGATGTGTGTGGAGGTCCCAAGGTGCTCGTCTTCGATATGAGGGGGCAGCCCAATGAGTGAGCGTCTCCAGGGCGACAATCTCAAGGCAGTAGGCATACGACTTTACCATGTCAAGAAGATAGTAAAGAAACGCCGCTCTGCCTTACCAAGTCTCGGATGTGTGTGGAGGTCCCGAGGTGCTCGTCCTCGATCTGAGAGGGTAACCCAGTGAGCGTCTCCAGCACGACAATCCCAAGGCTGTACACATCGCACTTGGAGTTGAGCACTCCTGTGGACGAATACTCGGGACACACGTAGCCCTGGTGCATTGGGGGGATATGGGGATGGGTGGGGGGGGAAGGGTGGGAGCGAAGTGAGTCTCCAGCACGACAATCCCAAGGCTGTGCAGGTCGCACTTGGAGTTGAGCACTCCTCTGGCGGAATACTCGGGACACACGTAGCCTTGTAGGGTCAGGGTTGATAGGCGGATGGGGAGGGAGGAAGGAGGGAGGAAGGAGGGAGGAAGGAGGGAGGAAGGAGGGAGGATGAACGGGAGAACGGGACCTTGATTGTCTCAAGGCCGGCAATCCCAAGGCTGTACACGTGGCACTTGGAGTTGAGCAATCAGAATGCACTATTGGCACCTCCAGTGCCCGTGCAGATAATCCAACCCCCTCACTCTGACAATCACGTCCCAACGCACACTATAAGCACCTCCACTATAAGCACTACCACTATAAGCACCTCCAACTGCCCATGCACTAAAGGCAACTGCAATCCAACGCACCACAGACCCCTTCACTCGAACAATCGTAGCAGCAGCCGTGTGCACCGACGCCTCCCGTACAAACTCACCCAACCCACCCATGAAAAGGCGCCTGACCGTGCACCTGTCCACTCACCACTGATCCTTCCACTCACCACAGACCCTTTCACTCACCACAGACCCTTTCACTCACCACAGACCCTTTCACTCACCACAGATCCCTTCACTCTGACGATCGTAGCAGCAGGCGTGTGCACCGACGCCTCTCTCACAAACTCGCTGAATCCAAAATCCGTCAGCAGCCCCTCCCCTGACGCAGCAATCAGAATGTTCTCCGGCTTCACGTCCGAATGCACAATCGGCACCTCCAGCTGCCCGTGAAGATAATCCAACCCCCTGGCCGCCCCCACCAACACATCCACCCTCCTGCCCCAGTCTTTCAGCTCCCCCTGCTCTTTCAACCCCCCGTGCAAGTGGTCGAATAGCGACCCATTAGGCGCGTACGGGTACACTAGCATGAGCTCTTGCGCTTCCCTGCAGAAGCCTAAAAGGGGTACGAGGTTGGGGTGGCGGATGGAGGAGAGGATCTTGATCTCGTTGGTGAAGGTGGCCAGGGAGAAGTCGGACCGCAGGGCTGCTTCTCGCACGCGCTTCACTGCTACGGGTGTGCCTTTGGGAGTAGTGGTGGTGGGGTCATCGGCATCATCACCACCACCAGCAGCAGAAGAATTTGTTTCAGCATCAGCACCTGCAGCAGCAGCAGCAGCAGCGGCAGCGGCGGCACCGTCAAGAGAACCATTCGCATTTCCTTTCAGCTGCCCGTTCGCCTGACCCTTCTCCTGCCCGGCGGCACCTGAATCCGGGAGCAGATTCTCCTCCAGGTGCCCGAGGTACACGTCAGCAAAGGACCCGTGGCCAATCACGTGCGAGAAATGGTCGGTGGCGGCAATCAGATCGTCATACCGGAAGAAGCACACCCCGTGCACCAGGAACGTCTGCCGGCCGTTGATCTGCTTTGAATCCGACGGACTGATCGCGATCTCCCAGGCATCCCCTTTCATCACCCCGGGAATGGTCAAGGTTGTGAGGGTGAGTGAGGGGGAACCCCCCTTGGATTTCTTCCGCCAGCCGTTGGATCGCCAGCAGACGAAGAGGAGGAGGGCGATGGCGAGGAGAATAGAGGCGAAGAGGATGGGGAGGAGGATGGAGGAGGTGTGGGAGGGGGGGAGAGGCGGGGGAGGAGGGACGGTGGGTGGGGGTGCTGTGGGATGGGGGATGGGGAGGAAGGGGAAAAAGGGGGAAGGAGGGGTAGAGGGGGAGAGCACAGGGGGGAGAGGAAAGTACAGGGGTGGGAGGACTTAGAACGGGCTGGACTCATTTGCGCAAGCAAGCACACAAGCCACCGATCGTCGCATCCGGCAAACACACTTATGTGGAATTGGAAGACAGGAATCCGTGTGTTAAAAGTGTAGTTTTGAGACGTCTCCCATGGAGACGTGGATGCATTGTGCCGCACAAGCCTCCCCACCCCACAACCTCATTCAGGCGAGCGCACCTGTTGCTGTTTTTGAACTTACGAGGAGTTGGCGAGACGAAACTTTCGAACCGGTACGGCCCAGAGCTGACTCCCAGGGATATGTCGTGCCGCACCAGCCGCACCACCACCTCATTCACGCATGCACACCCGATGTTATGGAACTTGGGAGATTGAACTTACGAGGAATAGGAGACACAAAATGTTCGAAGCGGTACGGCCCAAAGCTGACTCCCATTGACACATCGTGCAGCACCAGCCGCACTACCACCTCATTCACCCTCTCAGCCGTCCATTTCTGCCCGCCGGGCAGAAAAAACAGCATCTCCACCAATTGCGAGGCATCCCTTTTGGTTCGCACCTCCCGCACCCACACCTGCCCTTTCTCCCACCCAAACTGGATCTCCATCCTCCCCTGCAGGTCTGTAGCTAAGCCTTTCGAGAAGAACAGATTCGGCGAGTGCACGAGCCTAAGTAAGACTTTTAGAGCCTTCGCACAGACGCACTCCGAGGCGTTGCGGTACACCCAGAAGCTGGGGTAATTACCACCACCAGCACCCCCGCCAGCAGCGGGAGCAGAGCAGGAGAGGGCGGGGCAGAAGGGATCGGCGGTAAAGACGATGTCATTGAGAGAGGAGCCCGGGGAGGGGAGGAATACTGGCGGCTGGATATTCACATTGTTTCTATCACATGCCGGAGCAAGGGCGGGCATTGCCTTAATTCGGTTGCAAAATGGGTTTTCCCAGAGGCGCAACGAGTTGGCTTTAACGAGATCTATGAGGTACTGGGGAGTGTTCTGGCGGATCTTGCTGCCCACGTCTTCCAGATGGTTGCCTATGAGGGAGACGTAGTGTAGCACGCCGGAGGCAGCCGACGCTGAGAGGTCTGGGAGTTGTAAGTTGATGTCGTTGTTGTCGGCATTTCTGGAGGGGGGGGGGGGGGGGGGGGGGGGGGGGGGGCGTGAGAGGGGGAAAGGGAGTTTTATGAAAATGACATAGCAACGGGCACCGGAGGTAGCCGAGGCTGCGAGGTCCGGAAGCTGTAAGTTGCTGTTGTTGTTGTTGGCACTGCTGGAGGGAAGGGTGGTGGGAGTGGGGATGAAGGGGAAGGGGAGTGCTTTGAAAGGACAAAAGCAAAGGTCCGGGAGTTGTAAGTTAATGCTGTTGCTGTCAGCATTGCTGGGGGAGGGGGGGGGGGGGGAGAACGAGAAGGAACAGGGGGGTGGGGTGATAGGTTTTTGAGAATTCTCAATAGGCTCTTGAGAACTTTCAAAGGCCTCTCACTGAGAGGTGTAGACTGATGCCGGTGTTCGTCAGCATTGATGGGGAAGGGGCGAGGGGGGAAGAAAGAGAAGGAACAGGGGGCGTGGGATGATAGGCATTTGAAATTTCTCAGTAGGTTCTTGAGAGCTCTCAAGATCCTCTCAGTGGGAGGTGTAGACTGATGCTGCTGTTTGTCAGAGTTGATGGGGAAGGGGTGAGGGGGGAAGAACGAGAAGGAACAGGGGGGGTGGGGTGGGGGGGAAAGGGGGGCACATGGGGGGATGGCGATGAGGATATCAAGAGGGGAAACTATGGTGAAGAGGCATAAACTATGGTGAAGAGGCATAAACTATGGTGAAGAGGCATAAACTATGGTGAAGAGGCATAAACTATGGTGAAGAGGCATAGACTATGGTGAAGAGGCATGAACTATGGTGAAGAGGCATAAACTATGCAGATGCCTGTGATGGTTAAAGATGAGTGGTGTGCTGGAGTGTGGTGTGCTGTGTGTGACATGCTGTTGGCAGACATGCTGTTGTGTGGTATGCTGTTGTGTGACATGCTCTTGTAACATGCTGTTGTGTGACATGCTGTTGTGTGACATGCTGTTGTGTGACATGCTGCTGCGTGACATGCTGCTGTGTGACATGCTGTTGTGTGACATGCTGTTGTGTGACATGCTGTTGTGTGACATGCTGTTGTGTGACTTGCTGCTGTGTGACATGCTGTTGTGTGACATGCTGTTGTGTGACATGCTGCTGTGTGACATGCTGTTGTGTGACATGCTGCTGCTGGTGGGTGCCATGCTGCAACAGAACAGACTTACAGGATAGCCAGGGCTTGAAGACTGGACGTGTTGAAGTAGCCAATAAACAGGTTGTTGGAGATGTCACTAACGGGGATGCAGGGAGGGGGAAGGGTCAGGGAGATGGGGTCAGGGGGGTAGGGGTTCAGGGGAAAGGGGTAGGGGGGTAGGGGTTCAGAAAGGGAGATGGCTTTTGCTGATTGGCATATGCTGCAACGCCCGCTAACCTGCTGTTGCTTGAGTCAGTGCATCTAGGGTAACTGAGTGTGACAATCTTTGTGACAGTCTTTGCGAAAGTCTTTGCGACAGTCTTTGTGACAGTCTTTGTGTCAGACTTGTGACAATCTTTGTGACAGTCTTTGCGACAGTCTTTGCGACAGTCTTTGTGACAGTCTTTGCGACAGTCTTTGCGACAGTCTTTGTGACAGACTTGTGACAATCTTTGTGACAGTCTTTGCACTTGCACAGGCGCAGGAAACGGGCACACGTGATTTGGTTCTCGAGAAGAGTAAAACGGCACACGGCACAGAATGCCGACTCAGATACCGACACCGGCACGTGATTCGGTTCGTGTTCTGCTTTTGAGAATTCTCAGATACCGACTCATCACACATGGCACTCACACTTGGCAAGTTGGCTCTTGAGAATTCTCAAATACCGACTCATCGCACACGGCACTCACACGTGGCGCAGATCTCTCGGCTGAGTCCCCAAGACGTGTTCTGCTTTTGAGAATTCTCAGATACCGACTCGCCGCACACAGCAATACGGCACTCACACATGGCGCAGATTCTGCAGCTGAGTCCCCAAGACATCCTGCATGTCGTCCAGGATCATATTGTTGCTCACATCGCTGCCAAGCAAGCACAAGGGAGAAGGGGAAGGGGGGAACAGGGAAGGGGGAACAGAGAAGGGCAAGGGAGCATTTGAGGCGCCTCAACGCCAAGGCGTCCTGCACGTTGCCCAGAATCGCATTGTTTCTCACGTCGCTGCCAAGCACAAGGGAAGGCGACTTTTGAGTCAACTCAAAAGTCACGTAGTTACAATGTCCCATCCCAAGATGGCTTGCATCTTGCAACACAAAGACATCTTGCGCGTCGTCCAGAATCATCACTGCCCCACACGAAGAGAGAAGAGAGAAGAGAGAAGAGAGAAGAGAGAAGAGAGAACAGAGAGGAGAGAAGAGAGAAGATCAACGGAGCATTTGAGGCGCCTCAACACCACCAAGGCGTCTTGAACGCTGTCCAGTGTCTCGCTGTTGTTCACATTGCTGCCAAGCACGGAGGGGAAAGAGCGAAGAGAGAAGAGAGAAGAGAGAAGAGAGACGAGAGAAGAGAGAAGAGCATATGAGGCACCTTGAACACTGTTCAGTGTCTCACGTGGTTTAGTCTCGTTTTGCGACGTCTCAAAACGATACTACTTAACCACGGAAAGCCGTCCAGAGTCTCGCTGTTGCTCACGTCACGGCACGGCAGCAGAGGGAGGGGAGAAAACCGGGAAGAGCAATGGATACATTGATTGAAGCCCCTCACGTCTGCTGAAGGTTGGTGAGGCCTGATGTGTTGGGCTGGGAGTTAGCCAGCTGTGTGCTATTGAGAAATCTCAAAAACACACTGCAGAATCAGTGAAGTGGGGAGGGGGGCTCTCTCGCATCACATCTGCTAAACGCTGATTCGAGCGCTTGGGTTGGGCAGGGAAGTTGCCAGCTGTATGCCACTGATTTTTCTAAAAAAAGCACTGTACAAAACCAGTGAGGTGGGAAGGGGGGCTCTCTCACATCACATCTGCTGAAGGCTGATGAGAGGAACTGTGTAGGGCAGCGGGTTTTCCAGCTGTGTGCTATTGAGAAATCTAAACAAACACACTGCAAAATCAGTGACCCGCGACGGGAGGGGAGCCCTCTCTCACATCTTCTCAAGGTTGATGAGGACGCTTGTGTTGGGCAGAGGGCTCGCAGCTGTGCGTGTTACTGAGTTTTCTAAGAAGAAAAAACACTGCGAAATAGGTGACACGGGGAGGGGAGGGGAGCCCTCTCTCACATCTTCTCAAGGTTGATGAGGGCGCTTGTGTTGGGCAGAGGGCTCGCAGCTGTGCGTGTTACTGAGTTTTCTAAGAAGAAAAAACACTGCGAAATAGGTGACATGGTGAGGGGAGCCCTCTCTCACATCTTCTGAAGGTTGATGAGGGCGCTTGTGTTGGGCAGGGATTTTTCCAGCTGGCAGCGCGACAGTGAGCTGCGAACGAGGAGGCAAAGAGGGGGGGGGGGGGGGAGGAAAGGGTGCAAAGGGTGCAAAGGGCGCAAGGGGGGCAAAAATGGGGAGGAATGGGTGCAAAAGGGCGCAAAGGGGGGCAAAAGCGGGGAGGAAAGGGTGCAGAGCAGAGAGGGCGTAAAAGGGGGCAGAGGGGATGAGATGAGAGCAGTGTTGGGCAGGGGGTTCGCCAGCTGGCAGCGCGACAGAGAGCTGAGGGAAGAACCAGATTCCAGGGGAAGGAAGGGGGTTCAATGGGGGCAAAAGAGGGGCAAGAAGGGTGCAAAGGGGTGCAAAGGGGCGCAAAGGGGTGCAAAGGGGCGCAAAGGGGTGCAAAGGGGTGCAAAGGGGTGCAAAGGGGTGCAAAGGGGTGCAAAGGGGCGCAAAGGGGTCCAACGGGGTGCAAAAGGGGGCAACAAGAGATGAGGGCGGTTGTCTTGGGAAGGGAATTCGCCAGCTGGCAGCGCGACAGAGAGCTGAGAACGGGGAGACGGGAAAAGGGGAGCGGGGGGGAGGGGAGGGGTTGGTGGGTGGGGGGTGGAGAAGGGGAGAATAGGAAGTGGGGCGAGACAGGAAGATGTGGTGTGTGGGTGGGGGGGAATAGGATGTGGGGCGAGGCAGCTGGAGAAAAACATCCTCTTTTCGGGAATCTCTGGGCCTTGGCCAAATCGCAGGTCGCAAGCTGGGGTCGCAAGTTGGGGTCACAAGATGGGGTCGTAAGTTGGGGTGGCAAGCAGGTTGCATGTGAAAAGGCCTGTCTGGAAGAACTTGTGCACTCACATGCTCAAAAGCTCCATACTCACATGCCCTCATGCCCACATGCGCTCACATGCCCGCATGCGCTCACATGCCCACATGCGCTCACATGCCCACATGCACTCACTTGCCCACATGCGCTCACTTGCCCACATGCGCTCGCATGCCCACATGCGCTCACATGCCCACATGCGCTCGCATGCCCACATGCGCTCGCATGCCCACATGCGCTCGCATGCCCACATGCGCTCACATGCCCACATGCGCTCGCATGCCCACATGCGCTCACATGCCCGCACACTCACATGCTCACACACTCACATGCACTCACACACTCACATGCTCACGCACACTCACATGCTCAAGCACACTCACATGCTCACACACTCACATGCACTCACACACTCACATGCACTCACACTCACATGCTCACACACACTCACACGCACTCACACACTCACACACTCACACATACTCACATGCTCACACACTCACATGCTTACACACACACACACTCACACACTCACACACACTCACATGCTCACGAGGTTGGTGAGGGAAGAGAAGCTCGAAGGGATGGAGCCTCCCATGGGGTTGTTGTCCAGCACCCTGAGCATGTGGTAACCACGTGCATGTAACCACGAGTGCATGCGATTTGTGGGGGGGGGTGCAATTGGAGGAGAGAACAGGGAAAAAGGGGGGGGATATCCGGGGAGACGGGGGGGATACTGGGGAAATGACTTTTGAGGCGCCTCAAAAGGGGGATTTTTGAGTCGACTCAAAAATCGCCTCAAAAGGGGGGGGATATCCGGGGAGACGGGGGAGATACTGGGGAAATGACAAGCTTAGTGTTCACTAATATGAGAGATAGACTTTGCGAAAGATGTACAGTGTTTGAATAACAGAACAGTGTCGCAATAGCCAATACAGCGAACTAGCGTTCGAATAACAGAACAGTGTCGCAATACTCAATGAAGCGTACAGCGTTTGCAGGTTGACGAGGGAGGAGAGGCTGTGTGAGAGGGTGTTGCTGATGCGGTTGTGGTCCACCACCCTGTGGCCACGGTACATGGTAGGGGCGCGGGGAGAGTGGGAAGTGGGGCGGGGAGAGTGGGAAGTGGGGCGGGGAAAGGGGGAAGTGGGGCGGGGAGAGTGGGAAGTGGGGTGGGGAAAGGGGGGGCGAGGGGAGAGGAGGAGAGGAGAGGCCGTGTGTGTGAGAGGGTGTTGCTGATGCGGTTGTGGTCCAATCCACCACCCTGTAGCCACAGCACATACGTAGAGTGATCCTGGCAGTGAGGGAGGCCAGCAGCCAGCAGGGACACACTATAGATTTTACGCTAGAGTTCACCATGCACAATAAAGCTATTACGTACACGCCATAGGCTATTACGCTATAGGTTACTATATAACATGCACGATACGGCTATTGCGTACACACTATAGGCTACGTGGCTAAGTACAGGGTGCGGAGGTTAGAGAGGCCGCCCAGTACCCCTGGCAGTGAGGTAGGGCAGGGACGCGTTATAGAGCAGGGTGTGACTATACAACATACACAATACAGCTATTACGTGCATGATATCTGCTCTAGGGTAACTAGGTTACATACAGGGATCGGAGGTTAGTGAGACCACCCAGTGCTCCAGGCAGTGATGAGAATCGGTTCCAGCCAAGCAGCCTGCACGCGTGCGTGGGAAGAGGGAGCGAGGCGCTCGCATGAGTGTGACAGTGCGAATATATGCAGAGCAAGCAAAAGCAAATGTACAGAGTCTAGGAGGTTGGAAAAAGCAAAGATACAGGGTACAGTCTCACTCATGCAAGCGCCTCTCTCCCTCTTGCCACACACGCGTTCACGCTGCATGGCTGCATGAGCAGGTGTATGCAAAGTGAGCAAAAGCAGATGTACAGGGTTTAGGAGGTTGGAAAGAGCACCCAGTGCTACTGGCACCGAGAACAGAAGAGCAAAGTACAACACAACACGCAGAATGAGACATGCTATCATGCATCCCACGCCATTCCTCGTCCCCATCTTTGCACCCCTCTCGACCCCTTCCACCTCCCCAAACAACCCACTAACAGTGCTTCAGCGAGTCAAGGCGTGGGAAGACAGAAGACTCAGCAGCACCCTCCAGGCCATTGTCCGAGGCGTCAAAATGCCGCAGGGTCAGCAGACCCCGGGACTCCTCCCATCCATCCCGTCCCCCATTCCATGCTCCGTCCTCTTGACCACCCCTCCCCCATTCCATGCTCCGTCCGTCCTCTATTGACCACCCGTCCCCCCCCCTCCCCCCCAACACACTCACAGGTGCTTCAGCGAGTCGAGGCGAGGGAAGAGAGAAACAGCCCCCTCCAGGGCATTGTCCGAGGCGTCAAAGTGCCGCAGGCTCAGCAGACCCCTCGGTCTCTTCCACCAAACCACCCCCCTCCCCCACCCTCACTCACAGGTGCTTCAGCGAGTCGAGGCGAGGGAAGACGGAGACAGCCCCCTCCAGGGCATTGTCCGAGGCGTCAAAGTGCCGCAGGCTCAGCAGACCCCTCGGTCTCTTCCACCAAACCACCCCCCTCCCCCACCCTCACTCACAGGTGCTTCAGCGAGTCGAGGCGAGGGAAGACGGAGACAGCCCCCTCCAGGGCATTGTCCGAGGCGTCAAAGTGCCGCAGGCTCAGCAGGCCCCGCGACTCCTCCCCCATTAGGCGGCCCTGCAGGCGGTTGGAGTCGAGCAGCAGCACTTGCAGGGCGGAGAGGGTGCCGAGGGTCGGTGGGATGGGGCCGGTGAGGGAGCAGTTGCGCAGGCTGCTGCTTACAGGAGGGACGAAACAGGGAGGTGTGGAGAAGGGCGATGGGGGAAGGGCGATGAGGGAAGGGCCTTGCAGGCGGCTGGAGTCTAGCAGCAGCACTTGCAGGGCGGAGAGAGAACCGAGAGAGGAGAGCAAGTGAGGGAGAAGACGCATGTGTGGGGGGGAAGGGAACCTGAGCGTCTGAGACAAAACGGTTTCAAGGATGAGCTTTTTACAATAGCATTAGCGGGGAGCGCGAGCCTGAGGACCCTAGGTTAAAAAAAGAGACTCACAGCACTTGGAGGCTCGTGAGTGAGGAGAGTGCAGCAGGCAGGGACCCTCGGATGCCCTTGTTGTTCATTAGGTCTCTGCAGTTATGGGGTCGGCATGGGGCAAGGGCCAGGTGAATCGTGGGGCAGGTGTTTACTGGCTAAGGGTAGATGGGCAAGGGGACAGGGCGTGACAAGACAGCACCAGGCGGGGATCCTTGGATGCCCCTGTTCTTCATGAGACCTCTGCAATTACGGGCGGAAGCCACGGGTGGAGAATGGAAGCCACGGGTGGAGAATGGAAGCCGCGGGTGGAGTATGGAAGCCACGGGTGGAGAATGGAAGCCACGGGTGGAGAATGGAAGCCACGGGTGGAGAATGGGAGCCACGGGTGGAGAATGGAAGCCACGGGTGGGTAGATCCTGGGGCAGGTGAATCGCCAGGCAGGGATCCCCTGATCCCCTGATGCCCTGATGCCCTGATGCCACTGTTGTTCTAAAGGGGTTGGGAGAATGGTGCGTTGTGTATGAATGTAAGAATGGTGCGTGGTAAGCGCGTGGAGAGGGCAGTGCGATACGTGCAAGGGGAGATGGCCCCCAAGGGGAGAGGGCATGGAACGAGAGCCTCCCAATCCAAGATCGGGTGACGAGTCCTCTCAAAACGCGTACAAGGGGGGGCGGCTTACAGGAAGGTAAGGAAGACGAGTTTCCCAAGGTCGGGTGATGAGGCGTCTCAAAACGCGTACAAGGAGGGGCGGCTTACAGGAAGGTAAGGTAGGCGAGCCTCCCAAGGTCGGGCGATAGCGTGCCTTCCAGCCCCATCTCTGGAAGCATGCTGCGCGGTGGGAGGGAGAGGGGATGGCATGGGAAGGCAAGAGAAGGACACGGATGGATGGGAGAAACGACCCTCGGAGGCCTTGCAAGGTCGCGCGAGAGCGTGAATCCAAGTCCCATCTCTGGAAGCATGCTGCACGGTGGGAGGGAGAGGGGATGGCATGGGAAGGCAAGAGAAGGACACGGATGGATGGGAGAAACGACCCTCGGAGGCCTTGCAAGGTCGCGCGAGAGCGTGAATCCAAGTCCCATCTCTGGAAGCATGCTGCACGGTGGGAGGGAGAGGGGATGGCATGGGAAGGCAAGAGAAGGACACGGATGGATGGGAGGAACGACCCTCAGAGGCCTTGCAAGGTCGCGCGAGAGCGTGAATCCAAGTCCCATCTCTGGAAGCATGCTGCGCGGTGGGAGGGAGAGGGGATGGCATGGGAAGGCAAGAGAAGGACACGGATGGATGGGAGGAACGACCCTCGGAGGCCTTGCAAGGTCGGGCGAGAGCGTGAATTCAAGTCCCATCTCTGGAAGCATGCTGCACGGTGGGAGGGAGAGGGGATGGATGGAGAAAGAGGGGAGGGATGGAGAAGAGGGGAGGGATGGAGAAAGAGGGGAGGGATGGAGAAAGAGGGGAGGGATGGAGAAAGAGGGGAGGGATGGAGAAAGAGGGGAGGGATGGAGAAAGAGGGGAGGGATGGAGAAAGAGGGGAGGGATGGAGAAAGAGGGGAGGGATGGAGAAAGAGGGGAGGGATGGAGAAAGAGGGGAGGGATGGAGAAAGAGGGGAGGGATGGGAAGAGAACGGAGGCTCAAGGATAGTCGGGAAGAAGGATACACCGCACGCCTTCAAGACCCATCTCTGGAAGCGTGCAGTGTGGAAAGAGGGAGAGGGGATAGGAGGGGAGGGGACAGGCCCAGTTGGCAGGAAAGGGAGACGGACGGAGGTGTGTTAAGATCCGCGCACGGATCCCCCCCCCCATACCCCCAATTAGAGTTGACCCAAAAGCACTCTCACTCACGAGGCGAAGAAGTCACAGCGCAGAGACCCTCCGTCTCCCTTTCCTGTCGTGATAAATGAACCGATGAACTGTTGAACGAACTCATGCCTGGAGATGACTTTTGAGTCGACTCAAAAGTCCTGTCGTGATAAATGAACTAATGCACTGTTCAACGAACTCATCACTGGACTCAACCCTCGTGCTATTCACCACACACCCCCCCTCCCCCCCCCCCCCCCACCCCCCTCCTCTCCCCTGCCCTCCCCCTCCCCCGCACCCCCCACTCCCAACCCCACCCATCCGCACACAAATCTCCCTTTTTATAGTCAATACACAAGCTTACAGCGCAGCGACTCTCGTCTCGTCTAATTCGTCCCTCGTGCAATTCACCACCTCCCCCCACCCATCCGCGCGACTCTTGACTCGGATCACTGACAGACAAAGCACACTAGCAGGGAAGCACTCTAGAAGAGAGAAGCCGAGTGCTTACAGCACGGTGACTCTATTCTCCTCGAATTCGTCCATCGTGCAATCCACCACCCCCGCCCACCCACCCACCCATCTGCGCACCTGTTGACTCGGATCACTGACAGACAAAGCACACTAGCAGGGAAGCACACTAGCAGAGAGAAGCCGAGTGCTTACAGCGCGGTGACTCTATTCTCCTCGAATTCGTCCATCGCGCAATCCACCACCCCCACCCACCCATCCGCGCATGGATCCCCCCCCACCGCCCACGACCCCAGCTGGGGGGGATTCCCCCACTCCGCCTTCTGCTGCAGCAGCGCCGCCACTGGGGGAAGAAGGGGAAGGGGGCGAGGAGGGGGGGGGAGGTGTTGGGGGAGGGTTGGGGGGAGATAGGGGGGGAGGGGAGGGAGCAAGGGGTCAAAGAGAGGCAGAGGACAGGCTGGAAGGAGATGATAGGGATGTCTCTATCTTTTTGGGAATTCTAAAAAACCTGACTCAGGAGAATTTTGAGTCGACTCAAAACACACCTGACTCAGGAGATGGCAGGGATGCATCTATCGGCATGTACTGTAAGTTTCAATGGCATGTACTGTAAGTTTCAATGGCATGTACTGTAAGTTTCAATGGCATGTACTGTAAGTTTCAATGGCATGTACTGTAAGTTTCAATGGCATGTACTGTAAGTTTCAATGGCATGTACTGTAAGTTTCAATGGCATGTACTGTAAGTTTCAATGGCATGGCTTCGTAGGAGGCAAACCCTCGTTCTGATCGGTTCGCCCTCGCTGTCTGTCAGTTCAGGTCCGGGCCATCAGACATGAGCACGCAATGCACGACACCACGGGGGTCCAATATGACCGTTGAGCCTGACAGCACGCCGCTGCCAGGTCAATCAGACATGAGCACGCAATGCACTACACCACGGGGGTCCAATATGACCGTTGAGCCTGACAGCACGCCGCTGCCAGGTCAATCAGACATGAGCACGCAATGCACTACACCACGGGGGTCCAATATGACCGTTGAGCCTGACAGCACGCCGCTGCCAGGTCAATCAGACATGAGCACGCAATGCACTACACCACGGGGGTCCAATATGACCGTTGAGCCTGACAGCACGCCGCTGCCAGGTCAATCAGACATGAGCACGCAATGCACTACACCACGGGGGTCCAATATGACCGTTGAGCCTGACAGCACGCCGCTGCCAGGTCAATCAGACATGAGCACGCAATGCACTACACCACGGGGATCCAATATGACCGTTGAGCCTGACAGCACGCCGCTGCCAGGTCAATCAGACATGAGCACGCAATGCACGACACCACGGGGATCCAATATGACCGTTGAGCCTGACAGCACGCCGCTGCCAGGTCAATCAGACATGAGCACGCAATGCACTACACCACGGGGATCCAATATGACCGTTGAGCCTGACAGCACGCCGCTGCCAGGTCAATCAGACATGAGCACGCAATGCACTACACCACGGGGATCCAATATGACCGTTGAGCCTGACAGCACGCCGCTGCCAGGTCAATCAGACATGAGCACGCAATGCACGACACCACGGGGATCCAATATGACCGTTGAGCCTGACAGCACGCCGCTGCCAGGTCAATCAGACATGAGCACGCAATGCACTACACCACGGGGATCCAATATGACCGTTGAGCCTGACAGCACGCCGCTGCCAGGTCAATCAGACATGAGCACGCAATGCACTACACCACGGGGATCCAATATGACCGTTGAGCCTGACAGCACGCCGCTGCCAGGTCAATCAGACATGAGCACGCAATGCACTACACCACGGGGATCCAATATGACCGTTGAGCCTGACAGCACGCCGCTGCCAGGTCAATCAGACATGAGCACGCAATGCACTACACCACGGGGGTCCAATATGACCGTTGAGCCTGACAGCACGCCGCTGCCAGGTCAATCAGACATGAGCACGCAATGCACTACACCACGGGGTCCAATATGACCGTTGAGCCTGACAGCACGCCGCTGCCAGGTCAATCAGACATGAGCACGCAATGCACTACACCACGGGGTCCAATATGACCGTTGAGCCTGACAGCACGCCGCTGCCAGGTCAATCAGACATGAGCACGCAATGCACTACACCACGGGGATCCAATATGACCGTTGAGCCTGACAGCACGCCGCTGCCAGGTCAATCAGACATGAGCACGCAATGCACTACACCACGGGGGTCCAATATGACCGTTGAGCCTGACAGCACGCCGCTGCCAGGTCAATCAGACATGAGCACGCAATGCACTACACCACGGGGATCCAATATGACCGTTGAGCCTGACAGCACGCCGCTGCCAGGTCAATCAGACATGAGCACGCAATGCACTACACCACGGGGATCCAATATGACCGTTGAGCCTGACAGCACGCCGCTGCCAGGTCAATCAGACATGAGCACGCAATGCACTACACCACGGGGATCCAATATGACCGTTGAGCCTGACAGCACGCCGCTGCCAGGTCAATCAGACATGAGCACGCAATGCACTACACCACGGGGATCCAATATGACCGTTGAGCCTGACAGCACGCCGCTGCCAGGTCAATCAGACATGAGCACGCAATGCACTACACCACGGGGATCCAATATGACCGTTGAGCCTGACAGCACGCCGCTGCCAGGTCAATCAGACATGAGCACGCAATGCACTACACCACGGGGGTCCAATATGACCGTTGAGCCTGACAGCACGCCGCTGCCAGGTCAATCAGACATGAGCACGCAATGCACTACACCACGGGGGTCCAATATGACCGTTGAGCCTGACAGCACGCCGCTGCCAGGTCAATCAGACATGAGCACGCAATGCACTACACCACGGGGATCCAATATGACCGTTGAGCCTGACAGCACGCCGCTGCCAGGTCAATCAGACATGAGCACGCAATGCACTACACCACGGGGATCCAATATGACCGTTGAGCCTGACAGCACGCCGCTGCCAGGTCAATCAGACATGAGCACGCAATGCACGACACCACGGGGATCCAATATGACCGTTGAGCCTGACAGCACGCCGCTGCCAGGTCAATCAGACATGAGCACGCAATGCACTACACCACGGGGATCCAATATGACCGTTGAGCCTGACAGCACGCCGCTGCCAGGTCAATCAGACATGAGCACGCAATGCACTACACCACGGGGATCCAATATGACCGTTGAGCCTGACAGCACGCCGCTGCCAGGTCAATCAGACATGAGCACGCAATGCACTACACCACGGGGATCCAATATGACCGTTGAGCCTGACAGCACGCCGCTGCCAGGTCAATCAGACATGAGCACGCAATGCACGACACCACGGGGATCCAATATGACCGTTGAGCCTGACAGCACGCCGCTGCCAGGTCAATCAGACATGAGCACGCAATGCACTACACCACGGGGATCCAATATGACCGTTGAGCCTGACAGCACGCCGCTGCCAGGTCAATCAGACATGAGCACGCAATGCACTACACCACGGGGATCCAATATGACCGTTGAGCCTGACAGCACGCCGCTGCCAGGTCAATCAGACATGAGCACGCAATGCACTACACCACGGGGATCCAATATGACCGTTGAGCCTGACAGCACGCCGCTGCCAGGTCAATCAGACATGAGCACGCAATGCACGACACCACGGGGATCCAATATGACCGTTGAGCCTGACAGCACGCCGCTGCCAGGTCAATCAGACATGAGCACGCAATGCACTACACCACGGGGATCCAATATGACCGTTGAGCCTGACAGCACGCCGCTGCCAGGTCAATCAGACATGAGCACGCAATGCACTACACCACGGGGATCCAATATGACCGTTGAGCCTGACAGCACGCCGCTGCCAGGTCAATCAGACATGAGCACGCAATGCACTACACCACGGGGATCCAATATGACCGTTGAGCCTGACAGCACGCCGCTGCCAGGTCAATCAGACATGAGCACGCAATGCACTACACCACGGGGATCCAATATGACCGTTGAGCCTGACAGCACGCCGCTGCCAGGTCAATCAGACATGAGCACGCAATGCACTACACCACGGGGATCCAATATGACCGTTGAGCCTGACAGCACGCCGCTGCCAGGTCAATCAGACATGAGCACGCAATGCACTACACCACGGGGATCCAATATGACCGTTGAGCCTGACAGCACGCCGCTGCCAGGTCAATCAGACATGAGCACGCAATGCACTACACCACGGGGATCCAATATGACCGTTGAGCCTGACAGCACGCCGCTGCCAGGTCAATCAGACATGAGCACGCAATGCACTACACCACGGGGATCCAATATGACCGTTGAGCCTGACAGCACGCCGCTGCCAGGTCAATCAGACATGAGCACGCAATGCACTACACCACGGGGGTCCAATATGACCGTTGAGCCTGACAGCACGCCGCTGCCAGGTCAATCAGACATGAGCACGCAATGCACTACACCACGGGGGTCCAATATGACCGTTGAGCCTGACAGCACGCCGCTGCCAGGTCAATCAGACATGAGCACGCAATGCACTACACCACGGGGATCCAATATGACCGTTGAGCCTGACAGCACGCCGCTGCCAGGTCAATCAGACATGAGCACGCAATGCACGACACCACGGGGATCCAATATGACCGTTGAGCCTGACAGCACGCCGCTGCCAGGTCAATCAGACATGAGCACGCAATGCACTACACCACGGGGATCCAATATGACCGTTGAGCCTGACAGCACGCCGCTGCCAGGTCAATCAGACATGAGCACGCAATGCACTACACCACGGGGGTCCAATATGACCGTTGAGCCTGACAGCACGCCGCTGCCAGGTCAATCAGACATGAGCAAGCAATGCACTACACCACGGGGATCCAATATGACCGTTGAGCCTGACAGCACGCCGCTGCCAGGTCAATCAGACATGAGCACGCAATGCACTACACCACGGGGGTCCAATATGACCGTTGAGCCTGACAGCACGCCGCTGCCAGGTCAATCAGACATGAGCACGCAATGCACGACACCACGGGGATCCAATATGACCGATGAGTCTTCAGAAGCGGTCAAACCTTCATTCTGAACAGTCGTGGCCACTGCCAGGTCGATTGGGCAGAAGCGCGCAATGCACGACACCACGGGGATCCAATCCATTGCGACCGTTAAGTAGACTCAAAACCACGGTAAAGAAAACCTTCGTTCTGATCTGTCCCCGCCGCTGTCAGGTCGAATGGACAGAAGCACGCAATGCACGACACCACGAGGATCCAATCTGACCGTTAAGCCAAGCCGAGACAAAGCATCGGTCAGGACACCAACCTTCGTTCTGATCTGTCACCGCCGCTGCCAGGTCGAATGGACATAAGCTCGCAATGCACGACACCACGAGGATCCAATGCCGGGCCCCGACTACCGCGACGCTCCGCCGCCGATGTAACATGGTAACCAGGAATTGGCGAAGAATCAGTGCATGGAATATGGAGTTACGAAGGTCTGACGGTCGGCACACGCCGCTGCTGCTTCTGCTGCTGCTGCTGCTCCTGCTTCTGCTGCTTCTGCTGCTGCTGCTGTTGCTGTGACCTACTAGTATTGCGAATGACGGAAGTTCAGCTGCTGCTAACTAGCCGCGTTAGTGAGCTCCATTCTAAAAGGCATCTTGTGAAATATTTGCGCATCACTCTAAGATCGAAATTCCCGTCTCCTGTCGCTCGGATGAACTAATCTTCGGGGCCTCTGGGAGTAATAGCCTCCACTACACAATAGCTACGGGAATCGGTTTGGGTATCGAATTGGGTATCGGATTGGGTCTCGGATTGGTTCTCGGATTGGGTCTCAGGATACATCAAGGTCGATTGCAGCTGCCCAACTAACGCTCTCAGCTCAGATCACTCGGAGATTTGAATCCGTGAATCAGGAGGGAAGGAGCGATACAATCTAACCGAGCTGCTCTGATTTCTGGGAATGACGAGCTCCGCGAGTTCTTGTAAGAATGAGTTCCTCGGGACGGCGGTGAGTTACAGCATCTAGAATCTAGATGATGGTGGTGAGGTGAGGCATCTGCCAATGGCAGGTGGAGGGATGAACGCGTTTCGTTCGTCTTCCTCCTGACTCGAGAAGCCCACAGGAAATTCTGCCAATGGTGGCGAGTTGAGACACTGACAGAGATACAAGTCGTTGAGCCTGACAAGATGTCCCAACAAACCAGGATTCATGCTGATAACGGGTTGTTGAGTCTGATTTCCAAACTGTTCCGGAATCATGTTAGAAATGCAAACTAGATAATGAACGGAATATGAGATGATGATTCGGGCAAGCCATTTCCCCCCTTTTCAGGCAGCAGCTACCAAAATTTAGGGAAGATGTTTTTGTTTTAATTTGGCATCATGCGTCGATTTCTTTCAAATATATAGATGATGGATGCACACAATGCACTCCCTCCAATGGAAGTATAGTATAACGGATATAATGATATACAGCATCCAATGAAAAAGCCTTAGTTTACAGGCGCTTATATCAGGGAGAAATAATGTAATCCAGTTAGGTATGTGAGATGTTTTGAGTAGACAGCAATTGTTGTTTAGCTTGGCTTACCCACCTGAATCATGTAGCTTTTAGTGAATGCCTTGTATTGTAACATACAGGCGGTTTGACAGTCTCTCCGGTCAATAAATCTCCACACTGGTCCGCTTCACAGTCTCATGTTGGCTGCTGGGAAGGTGAACCGCGAAACTCGGCTCAACTGGTGCAGAAACTTGGAAAGATGAGAGTTCGCGAACATCCTGTCTGACACGTTTGCGAGGCAGGTATTTCGCAAGATTTCGTTCGGCCTGAAATAGCCTCGCGAAACACCTTCGCCTGTCCAATTGCTGTGTAGACCATGTTGACTTGGCGGGCAGGCGCAAAGTGACGCGCACTCTAACTGGCGTGACCGCAAAATCCACTCTACTGTCATTCCCCGCATAACCTCCGCTCACTACGCCTTGCTGCGTTGGCTTGAGTATCCGCCAGCAATCCGCGCGCACAACCCCCTCCGCTCGCCATACCGCGTTTCCATCCTTGGGTGAGCAAGCAAGCGCAAAGCACGCACACAGCTGGGCTGGGATTTGGCATTGGTTGGCAGGCACCCGCAAGCAGAGAGGAGATTCCCTTTCCCCATACAGTACTGGATTCCCCATTCCCGCCCCCCCCTTCCTTTCTTTCTGGGCCTATTCCTGGAGCACTTCAACCCCCCCCTCCCCCCCCCCCCCCCCCCCACCAGATATTCCCCTTTTTGCGTTGAATTGTCAATAGTCGCCGCTGCAGAGCATATATTCCGCTCCGATACGTTCATAGCAAGCTTCAGCTTGCGTTCCATGTTCTGCGATGTCTTCATAGCGACCTTGCCCGAATCCGAGCGCATACCGTAGTAGCTTTTTAGCTAGTTAATATGAAGCCTCTGGCCCGCTTCCTAGGGTGGGGAAAATTCGCCATGTTAGGGTCTCTGTGCGTCGTTCTGCTGCTGCTGGACACGCCAATCAGGAACGCAGCTGCTGCAGGTGGTTTTGAAATTTCCGCTAATTCCGTCGCAGTGGAGAGGAGTCCTGCCGGCACGCCACGTAAGATTCGAGTGCTGACGTGGAACCAGGCGAGGAACAAGTTGCCCAGAGTGACCCCGCCGGCCCCAGAGTTTCGCGCGCGAACGAGGCGACAGATGCGACAGCGTCAGACGTCGTACACGGACGCAGAAGGCGAGCCGGTCTTCGTCGCTATCGGCTCCTCGAGCTGGGCGACTGGCGGGCGACATCGCCGTGGCGACAGCTGGGCGACAACAACAAGCGGGGCCGGGCGACGTCATCGCAGCAGGTCCGTCGCAGGGCCCTCCTACCCGTCGCAGATGGTGTTCTCAGACCGGGGAGAAGCAAAATACCAGAGCGAATACCAGAGCGGGCCTTCTAGGGCACAGTTTCGTTACAGCGGTGCATCGCAGCATCACAGTAACGGACCTCGAGGTCGCAATAACGCGCACAGGTGGGGTCCTCGGGCTTATGATGCGGTGCAGTGGCACGGAGGCGACGAAAGATACCCCAATATCGATTCGCACCCAGCCAGGCTCCGCGCTATAGGTCGGGACACAGATATGGTATACGAGATCGAGCCAGCTTCGGCAACGAGCTTCGCCGGACCTGCGAGCGAGCCTCGGTACAGGCAGCAGCAGCGACACAGCCGCGTCCAGGTTCGGGTGGGTCCCGGCTTGGTGAAGGAGGCAGCCGAAGAAGCAGTTGGTGAAGCTGAAGTCGCGGGTTCGAATCCTGACCGTCCCACTACGCGCTTCTCTACGGCGCAATCGCGAGTAGGACCCCCCCAGACAGTGGCAGGCGGGGAAAACGCAGAAGATGGAGATCCAGAGGGGGGCACTGGTGTTCCTGATGATGCTTCGAGCGATGATGCAGATGATGATGCGGATGATGCTGCTGATGATGCTGCTGGTGATGCTGCGGATGATGCTGCGGGTGATGCTGCGGGTGATGCTGCGGGTGATGCTGCGGGTGATGCTGCGGGTGATGCTGCGGGTGATGCTGAGACTGATGAACCAGGGGCAGCTAAAGAGGGTGTTACGGCGGTTTCTGCTGCTGTAGAGGAGACTGGGCCTGTTCCTCAAGCAACGACTCGCGATGCTGGCTCCAGTGCTGGGACAGCGGACCGTGGTAACTCGGTTTCTGCAGGAACTGCAGAGGCGGCTGCTGCTGCTTCTGAGCCAGAGAGAGTCAAGAAGGTCAATGTGGAAACGGTGGAAGAGGCTCAGATCCTACTCGCAGGGGATGATGGGCAAGGGGAGGAGGGAGAAGAAGGGAGGGCACAGATGAAGGGTGCTGACGCCGCTCCTGCTGCTACTGCTTCTGCTGCTGCTGCTGCTACAAGCACAGCTGATGATGTTGATCTAGGGGGAGACGGAGGATGGAGCGACGGGCTGAAAGCGACGAGCATGTACGTGGTGAAGGAGGGAGACACGTGTGAGGCGCTCGCGAACAGCCTCTTCCGAGGTTCGCTGGCGATGTTGACGCAGCTCAACCACGGGTTCGTGTGCTCCAAAGACACTCTGACGCCTAACATGCAGCTGTTCATTCCCTAGGAGTGGATGGAGGAGTGTGGGGAGTCTATTTGTGAGGAGTCATTCCCTCAAAAATAGGCTCAACCACGGGTTCGTGTGCTCCAAAGACACTCTGACGCCTAACATGCAGCTGTTCATTCCCTAGGAGTGGATGGAGGAGTGTGGGGAGTCTATTTGTGAGGAGTCATTCCCTCAAAAATAGGCTCAACCACGGGTTCGTGTGCTCCAAGACACTCTGACGCCTACCATGCAGCTGTTCACTCCCTAGGAGTGGATGGAGGAGTGTGGGGAGGGAGGGAAGAGGGGGTGAGGGGGGGCTGGTGAGGGGGGGCTGGTGAGGGGGGGGTGAAGGAGGAGACACATGTGAGGGGCTTGCGTTCGGTCACTTCCAAGGGTCGCAGGACTCAACCGCGGGGTTGCTTTGCATGCTCCAAGGATACACTGACGCCAAACATGCAGCTGTTCGTGCCGTGAGAATGGATGGAGGACAGTAGGGAGGGAGGGAAGGGGCGGGTGGGGGAAGCAGGGAGGCACAAGTGAGAAGCTCGTGTACAGCCTCTTCTGGGGGTCGCTGGTGATGATGTCACTGTCACAGCTCAACCATGGGTTTGCATGCTCCAAAAATACGTTGATGCCAAGCATGTAGCTGTCCGTGCCATGAGCGCGCGGGGAGGAGAGTATTTCAGGGGGGGTGAGAGGGAGGGAAGGAGGGGCAGGCAATGCAGCTGTTCGTGCCATGAGCGTTCGACTGTGGAGAGCAGTGAGGAGAGAATGAGGGCACCGAGACAGTAAGGCGGGAGAGAAGAGGAGGGTGGGGAGTGATCACAGGGAGCGTTCCAGTGCAACGTCCAGGGTATTGTTTCCACGGGAGGGTGTGAGCAGGGTAGTTTTGAGGCGCCTCAAAACTGGAGGGTGTGAGCAGGGTAGTTTTGAGGCGCCTCAAAACTGGAGGGTGTGAGCAGGGTAGGAACTGCACGGGGAACAGCAAGGTGCATGGCAGTTAGTTGCAGTACGGGTTGAAGTGTTGGTGGCAAGTGGGGTAGTATAGGGAGAGGGCTGGTGGCTGGGAGAGTTAGTATGGTAACACTGTTGACTGGGCTGGTATAGGATGGGCTGGGCTGGACTGGCATGGGCTGGGATGGGCTGGGTTTCTTTTCCTCTGTATGTGCGCTTCTTTAGTACTGGCATGTTTTCACCTGCACTATGCAGCAGTGCGTGTAAATTCGGGGAGATGAATAGTGACGCTGGCTCGTACGTAGTTCATTCAGAATAGAAAAGCCAAAGCATACTCACGCAGCAGAGACACATGACCTAACGGTCAATCTACACCTACTATCATCCACGAGAATTAGTGGATAGCATCTACACCTAGCATCACCGCTCCCAACCACACACCACATGCACTTCATTCGTCCACCACATTCTCGAGGGCTCCTCCCCGTCGCATGGCTCATAAATCATGGGGTCTCACGGCTTGAAATCCGTCTTGGCCGCATTAGCCTTGGTTTTCGCTTGAGCAATCAGATCCAGCGCGTCTTTGTACGTCACTTTGTTAAGCATCACCGACACGCCGTTAAGTGTCGACTCCGAGTTGTCAATCTGTGTCGTCACCAGCGCGCGCTGCCCCTGGTTGATTAAGATCACGGCGTTCCGAAGCGCCTGCTCAGTGCTCTTTAAACTCGAGTAGTACTTGTGGGTGGAAGTCAGCAGGTCGGCCGCGTCAGCCGTTAGCGAAGCCGCAGCCTCGAGATTCGCGATGACGGAGACGTCAGCAGGGTTGACGGAACCCGTTGACGGAGTCTTCGGCGTTGACGGAGTGGTGGCTTTGGGCGGCGAAGGTGGCGGAGTAGCAGGTTTTGCTGGGGAAGGAGTGGGCGTTGACGGCTTCGTCGGTGATTTGGGGGGAGACGGAGACTTGGCGGTTGATTTGCTCGGCGATTTGGGCGACTTGGGTGGCGATGATTTCTTCGCTGCCGCTTGCGCAGCTTTCGCTGCGGCTTTCTCTTCCTTCCGCTCCTCCTGCTCTTCCTTTTTCTTCTCCCTAGCGGCTTGCATAGCGGCATGTCGTTTCGCCTGCTCCTCTTTCTTCGCCTTCTTCGCAGCCATTCGCGCGGCTTTGTGCTCGGGAGTTTCCGTCGCCAAAGTCGTCGCGAGTTGTAACATCCTTCGCGGAACCACCAGGCCCTCCCATTCCGGCTCGTCGTCGCAAGGGTGTGCGATGTGTCTCGGCGAACCGGGGAAAATTCCTGACCAGTCGGGTCGCAGTAGAAGGCCTCGCGCTGATGCTTGTGAGGCGAGCGTTGCTAGTAGGAGGGCGAATAGGGGGAGCGGAGCAGCCAAGACGGCTACACTACGAATTCCCATGATTGCGGCGTGGTCAGTTGATCAAGTCAATGAAATGGAAGGCAATTTTGCTGATACGGTGCTGGTAATCCGCGACGCTAGCTATGCCGTGTTAGAGTAGGCGTGCCCTGTTCGAGCCTCGAGAACTGCTTCGTTCGAAATACGAGAAATGTGTAGGACATAAGAACTGTGGATTTGCTGCGGCACTAGGGGATAATAAATAGTAGAGAGGAAGAAGCAGGACTTGAGAATTGCTGGCTCTGCTGCAATGAAATGTCTCCGAAATTGGGAAATCGGAGCGCGCTGATACGAACCGCGAGAGGCAATAGTGTGCGAAGATTTTCTCCCTCGCTGTCAGCGATAAGGGAATTGGTGAGTGCGAAGTCGCACATGCCTTTCATCGGTCGGTGTTGCGACTTTACCTTGCAAGAGTGCGACAATTTTCGGTGATAATTCACGGGAGCCAATCCCAAGAGTGGAAAGAAGTACTGCCACAAGTGAATTCGCTCCTTCCCGCCTGCGGACGATGGAAATTTTTCAGTGCGGGCGGTGCTGCCAAACTGGGCCTGGCGGGAGAACAAAAACATTTGATGAGATTCGCTGGAGACAACTCGTTACGTGGAAATCTAGGACAGTGAGTTGTCCGTCTCGTAAGACTGCAGATAAAGATGGTTTCATCCTTGATTTCATATGAGAGATCCAAAAAGCTTTCAATGATTGTATCTTTTCCAACTGCAGAGCCTCAACACTTCACCTACAGTGCTATCAACTTTAGTAACCCGGCCTTGGCCCACGAGGTCCCTAAGAATAAAAGGAATAGGAATCACAGCTGTGCGTTTCTTTCGGGCCTCCAGTTTCGATCTTAGCAACTCACCAAACCTGCTTCGCTGTAACATACCGACGACCTCAGACCGTCCCTGCAAGAAGGCAGAGGAGGTGAAAAGGAATGAGACACAACGAAACAAGGGCAATCTGATGACGCTCTTAGGGATGGAAAAGAGTGTGGGAGCTAGGTCACCTTAGAGAGGTGGTGGGTGAATGAGCCAATGTTAGGAAGCGAGAACCAGAACAAATCAGAACGCGCCACCTGTGCTATCTGTTAGCGGGGGAGCACGAGGCAAGAAAAGATGCGTGGAGAAAAATGGAGAAGGTAAAGCAGAAGGAAAAATGTAAGCAAGAGAGAGACTGTGCGGGCGAGTAGGAGGCAGGAGGACGAAGCAGTCTTCTACTGTGCGTACCAGCAAGCCTGCTTGTACAAGAATGCAGATGTGTGTGTCAGTGATGGGAGACTTGCCACCATTTGATAAAATTTTCTCCTGTGGAGAAAGAAAGAAAGAGAAAAAAGACAAACATGGTGAGCAAGAACATATGTCTAATGCAATTTATCCTAGATAAGTGTACCTTTATCTTGTTCACATACCAGCTGCTGCCGAGATATGCCATGGTCAGAGCACCCTGGAAGCACTCGATCCCTGAACCAATCGAACACTGCCACCTGGCTGCTGCCACTTTCACTCTTGCCGTACTTGTGCCTGCTGCTCTCACTCCTGGCACTGCGCTTTGTGCCAGTCCCAGTCCTGTGCTGCAGCAGGGGACCAGCATCACTAGGCTTGCGCTGGAGAAACTGCTCCTTTGCTGTCTCTACCTGCCAGGGAAGATGCGCAGCAGGGTGAACTTTGAGTCGACTCAACAGTGTCGTGTTACATTGTAACGAGGTGACTTTTGAGACGACTCCAAAGTCACCCCAAACCTAATCCTGTTCTGTGGCGAAGGACCAGCGTCACACAGACTTGCGCTGGGAAAACAGCGCCTTTGCTGCCGCCACCTGCCAGGGAAGATGCGTTCTGAACACAAAGACGTCTTGCACTGCCTGGCACTCACGCTCTCACACCTAGCTCTGCACTTGGTGCTGGTCCTAGTCCCATGCTGCGGCGGGGAACCAGCATCGCTAGACTCGCACTGAAGAAACTGCACCTTTGCTGCAGCCAGCTGCCAGGGAAGATGGGTCGGGAACGTAGAGACATCTTACACTGCCTAGTAATAGGAGTCTAGTTTTGAGGCGCCTCAAAACGTAGAGACAGCTTACACTGCCTAGCACTCACGTTCTCACTGCTTGGCTGAACTGAAGTGTCCAAACAGCAGCAGATTCGCAAAGTTGGCTCGAGATGACATGAAGCAGAATGCCTTTTAACGGGTTTCTAACACACCCTGCACTGATACTCTACTGTACTCTTCTCTGCTGTAGAGCTTGTCAAGTGCATGTATCATGCTCTCTCCGCCTGGGTGTAGTCTTCAGGCAGTAGCATGGCAAAGTCTGTCCGTGATGACATGAGGCAGATTGCCTTTTACGAGGTTTCCATGTGATCGTCCATAAATGTCATCCTGGTCCACTGCCCATGTGATTGTCCATAAGGCAACGTCTGTCCGGTGCATGTATCATGTTCTCACCGCTTGACTATAGTCTTCAGACAGCAGCACCGCAAAGTCGGATCGCGATGACATGAGGCGGATCACTCGGACTGATGCACTCTTCTGCAGCATCTGCAGCGCGCCTTGGGGCGGCATAGGGGGGTAGAGAGGGTGATGAGGGGAGTAAGGGGAGAACATGGCGACATGTGATAACATGAGGCAAATCACTCGGACTGATAGATGTTTCTGCACGATCCGCAGCAAGGGCCTTGGAAGGGGGTTAATGGGGGTAGGAGGGCGGAGAAGGGGAGGGAAGAGGAGGGGGGCGAGGGACGATAGAGGGCGTGCTGGAAGAAGAATGGGTTTGAACGGTGGGGAGTGGGGAGTGGGGAGTGGGGAGTGGGGAGTGGGGAGTGGGGAGTGGGTGAAGGAGATAGCGAGGAGGGCACAAAGAGGGTGACTAAAAAAAAAGGGGGGGGGGGGGGGGGGTGGAGATGGGGAACGAAAGTCATACGGGTTTTCTGACCTCGATTTGCCGGTCCACAGTGGTTCGGTGCGGTACCACGGTGTAGATTTGGGAGAGCAGGGCGAAGGGAGGGAGTGACGAGGCAACCTGCACGGGTGAGGGCCCAACGGGAGTCAGTCTGATGGCAGATGCTCGAGGGAAAGACACTTAATGAATGCGAAGGTGAGTTTTGAGTCGACCCAAGAATCACCTACGGTCTGATGGCAGATGCTCAAGGGAAAGACACTTAATGAATGCGTAGGTGAGTTTTGAGTCGACTCAAGAATCACCTACGGTCTGATGGCAGATGCTCAAGGGAAAGACACTTAATCAATGCGTTGGCAAGTGAAAGGTACCTTGGAGATTGATGCAGGGAAGGAGGAGCGGAGGAAGAGCACGGCTGCGAGCGTGTCGCAGGGAATGGCCGCTGCAGGGAGGGACAACAACGGAAGGGGAACATGAGGATCGTTTTGAGTAGACTCAAAACGAGAGTAGACTCAAAACGAGAGTAGACTCAAAACGAGAGTAGACTCAAAACGAGAGTAGACTCAAAACGAGAGTAGACTCAAAACGAGAGTAGACTCAAAACGAGAGTAGACTCAAAACGAGAGTAGACTCAAAACGAGACTTATAGCCGCTGCAGGGAGGGAAAGCGAGGGAGGGTGGGGGAACAGGAGGATCGGAGAGACAGAACGGACCAGTGAGCTGACAACACAAGGTGATCTCGAGATTGGCGGATTGACGAACGTTGTCGTCACCTACGATCGGAGGGTGAAGGAGGGTTACAATCACCTGCGATTGCATCCAGATCGTCCATTTCCACAGGTGGCGTCGTGGATTCTTCTCCTGCTGCCTGAACCGCCATGAAGGGCCCTCCTTGTCCCTCAATCCGTTCCGTCACATAGCCAAACTTCTTCCTCTCGACCCTAATGTCATTCGCCGGCCGTCCGTCTCCGCTTTCTCCTTTCAGACGGCCGTTCACTTCGCGCATACTGGCACCAATTTCTCCATTATGACGGCCGTCAGCTTCCCGCAAACCGTCGCCCTTCCGTCGCTGGAACGGCTGCGGGAGAGATTCGCCTGATGATGTGTCGCTTGCGTCGTCATCGCGCGAAGGAATGGCTGTGTTTGACGTGTCACCCGGTATCGAATCGGACTCAGATCTACCGTCGGACAGATCCTCCGGGTCTATAACGAGTACAGGACGCTTCCGCTTCGACATCGCTAACGGCTCGCTACGAGTGAGAAACTATAACTGCACGTAAGGCTAGGTTGACAGGCGTTACACCCAGCGGCACCATACGAACGAAACGACGGCAAAAAGCTACCAGTCTGGCAAAATGATGGCAAAAAACGTCGGCAAAGACGACGGCATGAGAGGGCGTGACTCTGCGCCATCTCAAGATCGCTGGAGGCGTCAAGCACACGGCTAGGCTCGTTCCATGCTGCCAGTGATTGGCTTGGAGAAGCTCTGCGATGCCGAATCGATTTAGACGTAATGTGACGATTCAAGTTCCTGAGCTCCTCCTGCTGGGCGAGCGGGAAAGTTCGCACGAAAAAAAGTAGTGGAAAAGCCATTCGCCGATTGTGGGGATCGAACCCACGGCCACGTGGTTAAAAGCCACGCGCTCTACCACTGAGCTAAACCGGCACGTCTCACCTAGTAAACTAGCATTATTTAACCGTTACAGAGTTTTCTACCTTCCTCTTCTATTGTCAGGCTCATTGTTTTCCTATGCGAGGCCATGGCGCGATCAGACGTCGTCCCGGGAGGGCGCGCGGGAAAGGCGATGGCGGCCGCAGCCGCCGCCGCCGGAGGCGGAGGGTCGTCCGTGTCTCTGCAGGACGCGGACAAGAAAAGCCACCGCGCTGCGCGGTCAGGGCCAGCAGCGGAGCGCAAGAAGGAGAAAGATAAGAAGAAGCGCGGCGTGAGCACGGCGGACGACGAGGAGGAAGGCGAGAACCCGCGAGTAAGACTACTCTTACGATTAGTCTTATTCGATTATCCTCATGAAAGTAGTCGCTTGGCTTTTATTTTTCCTTCCTGGTCACCGCTTTTCGTGGTACCGCGTCGCGTGCATCTCTCGCGGACTCCGTGCCACGTCATCAGTCCCGTTCCATGAATGCCTCGCGCATCGCTTGCCTCTAAAACCCGCGGTGTTAGGGGCGAGATAGCTCGGTTCCGTTATAACATTTTTTCCTGGATTCTCATGCCTGGCATCGTGTCCTTGCTAGAGCGCCAGAAATCACGCTGAAACCATATTCGAGCCCTAGAAACCGAGATCCGCAGAACCCTGGAACCCCGAAACCCGAAACTACTGATCCAGAATCGTTCCATGGTTGACCGTTGAACCCTGAACCTTGCGCGCGTCCCTCTGTATGACCGCTCCCTCAGTGAGCCAAGGCTCTGAGTTATGGCTCCCGTAAAAGCTACTGCTAGCGATGCAGGTTTATTCGCAGCAGCAGCAGCAGCGGCGGCGGCGGCTGCATGCGCCCACCCTAAACCCCTTGAACCTTGAAACCCAAAAGCCCGCCCCCTTCCTTCACCCCTCCGGGCCTTTGCCTTCAGGTCGTCGCGCCGTGCCAAGCTGCAGGTAGCAAGGCGGGTGGAGTTGCAGCAGATGTCTTCCCGTCCCCCCCCCCCCTTTCTCCCCCTTTCCCCCAAGCCTGAAACCTTATCCCCAAACTTTTTATATTTGTCCTGTTCTCCCTCCTGGCCTTTGCCTGCCTTCAGGTCGTCACGCCGTGCCAAGCTGCAGGTAGCGCGGCGGTTGGAGCTGCAGCAGAAGCAGGAGCGCCTTTCTGCCCCTCTTCCCTAACCTAAACCTTATCCCCGAAACCCTCATTCTGACCCATTTTCCCTCCAGGCGTTTGCCTTCAGGTCGTCCAGTAGAGCCAAGCTGCAGGTAGCGTAGCGCGGCAGGTGGAGCTGCAGCAGCGGCGGTTAAGCCCCCCATTTCCACACCAAACCCCTTTCCTCCGCGCTTTGTGTAATGAGTCGATTTTTGAGTCGACTAAAAAATCGACTCATTACACACGCATTTCCACACCACACCCCTGTCCTCCGCGCTTTTCCCCCACCCCCCTTGCCTGATGCTGCCTGCCAGGCGTTTGCCTTCAGGTCATCCCGTAGAGCCAAGCTACAGGTGGCAAGGCGGGTGGAGCTGCAGCAGCGGCGCATGCACGCGCCCAGCGCCAATGCTACACGCGCACAGGCATTGGAGCCCCCACCCTTTGTGGTGCTCGTGCAGGGGCCGCCAAAGGTGAGTGAGTGTGATTGTGGCTATAGTGCAGGGTGATATAGCTGCTGCCACGCACGCACAGGCACTGGAGCCCCCGCCCTTTGTGGTACTGGTGCAGGTGCCGCCCAAGGTGAGTGCGACTGTAATAATAAGTTGAGGGATCGTGACTGCAACGCAAGGTGCGAGTGACAAAAGCGCAGGCAGGGGGTGGCTATAGCTGCTGCCAGCCACACGGCTGCGGGCATCGCTCTTGCCTTACTTCCCTCGCGCTCGTTTACACTCTCTTCTTCCCTCTACTCTCTTCTTCCCTCTACTCTCTTCTTCCCTCTACTCTCTTCTTCCCTCTACTCTCTTCTTCCATCGATCTCCTGCTCTCGCCCCCCCTGGCAGGTGGGCAAGACCACTCTCATCCGCTCTCTCATAAAGCACTACACCAAGCACAACATTCCGGACGTGAAGGGACCCATCACTGTTGTCTCAGGTGGGTGCAGGCTGTCTCTGTTGTTTCAGGTGTGCCGTTGACCAGTCTCTGTTGTGTCAGGAGTTTTTCCATGCTCCTCCTTTCTCAACCTCTTCTGGTTGCCCCCTGACACATTCTGGTCCCAAGCTGGCAGCTGGACACATTCTGCACTTTTTGCCCCTCTACCCTACCCGCGTCTCCCTGGCCCCGCTTCTCCCTGTTCCCCACCCCTTCGCTGCATTGTCCTGGCAGGCAAGAAGCGTCGTCTGCCGTGCTGTCTCACCTTCTCGCCACCCCCTTTCTCAACCTCTCTTGTCCCTTTTGCACCCTGATGTCAGGCAGGAAGCGAAAGCTCCGTGTGACATTATAACGAGCTGACTTTTGAGTCGACTCAAAAGTCAGCTTTTGCACCCTGATGTCCGGCAGGAAGCGTCATTTTGCCTTCATCAAGTGCAGTGCAGCAGCAGCGTGCACGCCATGCTGGATGCTGGATGCTGGATGCTGGATGGCAGGTAGCTGATTCCCTGTCTCTTTATCCCTTGCTCCCTACCACTCCCCCTTCCCCCACCTCCAGGCAAGAAGCGCCGCCAGCTCTTCGTAGAGTGCAGCAGCAGCGTGCACGCCATGCTGGACGCTGCCTGCCCTCTTACCCCCTTCCCCTTCCCCCCTGGCCTGCCCACACCACCTTTTACCCCTCCAGGCAAGAAACGCCGCCTGCTCTTCATCGAGTGCAGCAGCAGCGTGCACGCCATGCTGGACGCTGCCAAGTTCGCTGACCTCGTCCTCCTCCTCATCGACGGCAGCTTCGGCTTTGAAATGGTGAGCGGCACGAAGGGGTTAGTTAGCATGTTGTGTTAAGGTGCTCTGTGCGATGAGGCCCTATGTTGTGTGCCTCTTACTGCCTCACTCCTTGCTGGATGCTGCCAAGTTCGCTGACCTCGTCCTCCTGCTCATCGACGGCAGCTTCGGCTTTGAAATGGTACGTGTGTCTCGAGGTGCCTCTCTACAGGCGCTACCTGTCTCTAGGTACCGTGTGCTTTTGAGGCGCCTCAAAAGGTGCAGTGTGCCTCACTATGAATGCTGAGCTGAGCCCTAGCCCAGGCGAAGCTGCCTAACGAGTCACGCCACGCTGGATGCTGCAAGCCGTGCTGACCTCGCGCTCCTGCTCATCGACGGCAGCTCAGGCCTGGAAATGGTACGTGTGTGTCCCTAGAGGCTAGAGGGGCTAGCGTGCTGTGCACGGCTGTGCGGAGGGGCCGTGGCTGGCGGGAATGTGCCTTTTGAGGTGACCACCTGTAGGTGACTTTTGAGTCGACTCAAAAGTCACTTGCGGGAATGTGCTCCACCTGCCTCAATCCGTGCCGCCAAGTTCGCCAACCTCGTCCTGCCGCTCATGGACGGCGGCTCCGGCTTCGACATGGTACACGTGCTGAAGGGGTGAGAGTGTGTGTGGAAATAGTGAATGTGCTTTGAGAAAATTGCTCTCCCCTTCCCGTGAGACCTTAGAGTTCCTCAACATGCTGCAGGTGCATGCACGGCTCCCCTCATGGGCGTGCTGACGCCGCTTCCCTCCACTCCCATCCCATGCTTGCTGCGCTCTCTCTCTCTCTCTCTCGAACTGCCCTCCTCCCCCCTCCAGGAAACTTTTGAGTTCCTCAACATGCTGCAGGTGCACGGCTTCCCCAAGGTCATGGGCGTGCTGACGCACCTGGACGGGTTCAGAGACCCGCGGAAGCTGAAGAAGACCAAGAAGACCCTTAAGCACCGCTTCTGGACGGAAATCTATGACGGGGCCAAGCTGTTCTACCTCTCGGGACTCATCCATGGCAGGTAGGGGAGCTTTTGTATGCTGGATTGCTATGAAGTGGGATAAGTGTGTGAGTAGTTTAGTTTCGAGATGCCTCAAAACTAAACTACTTTCCCAGGCAGGTAGGGGGTTTCTAACTACTTTCCCAGGCAAGTAGGGGGTTTCTGTCCACTTGTGAATGGAGATCTGTGATGGGGGCCAGCTGTTTTATTAGGACTACGACTCATCCACGGCAGGTAAAATTGCACCTTAGACTCCCTGGTTCCGTACTACCTTGAGTGGGATGTTAACACCTTGAGCAAGAAGAGCCTCACCATCTCTCGACAAAAATCTATGACAGGGCCAAGCTCTTCTATCTCAGGGTTCATTCATGGCAGGTGAGGTCTGCACGCCGTGTCTTAAAGCTCGGCACACAGCATTGTGATGGGGGATCGGGGCGGAGGATCTCACTGAGACGGAAGATCTTCGAGCTACCAGTGTTGGAAGTCTTTCTGAGATTTCTTGAGGAATGTGCCCGAAAGCTTGCAGAGTTGGCAGAAAGTCGGTTGCTTGGTGTTTCCAGAGATGCTGTAGGATTATTCAAACGGTTAAACCACAGCAACGACGCCGCTTATATTTGCATGTGCCTCGATTTGCGAAGAGGTAGGGATTGTGCTAGCATAACTTCGTCCGTGAACGCTTACACATGGTTAATGTCTTTTCGCGCTGAATCGCCGCACTGAACTTCGCCGACGTTGTGGTAGGAATGCATCGGACGAGGATGAGCAATCTACATGCTTCAAGATGAAGCTGTCACGCGTTGGGTGGCAGAGTGCGACGCGGTACCTCCAAGAGGCCCGCTTCTATCTGCGAAAAGGTGCGCATTGGCTATCATTCACACTCGTCCCCGATAGCCAATGCGCACCTTTTCGCAGATAGGAGCGGGCCTCTTGGAGGTACCGCGTCGCACTCTGCCACCCAACGCGTGACAGATTCATCTTGAAGTACGTAGATCGCTCATCGTCGTCCGATGCACTCCTGGCACAACGTCGGCAAAGTTCAGTGCGGCAGTTCGGCGCGAAGAAAACATTAAACCACGCGAAGGCATCCACGAACGAAGATAGGACAGCACAATACTTACCTCCTCGCAACCTCGAGGCACATGCGAATGTAGGCGGCGCCGTTGCTGGAGTTTTTCTCTTTGAATAATCCTACAGCATCTCTGCAATGGCTGAGCAACCGACTTACTGTTTGCTCTGCAAGGTTTCGGGCACCTTCCTCAGGAGATCTCAGCAGGGATTCTAGCTCTAGTAGCATATGCCCACTTCATCTCTGCAGCCAAGTTCAGCCCACTATCCTGGCGCACGGCACATGGGTCTTGTCCCTCGTGTTCCCTCCCAACCGCCAGATACCCCAAGGTGGAAGTGCTGAGTCTGGTGACATTCCGCACCCTGTCCTGGCAAACAGCGCATGGCTATGTGGTGGCGGATGGGGTCAAGGATCTGACTGAGCTCCCCTCTTGTTCCCTCCCCTCTGCACTCTTCCCTCACAACCCTCAGGTACCCCAAACGAGAAGTGCTGAATCTTGCCCGCTTATTCGCTGTGCCCAAGTTCCATTCCACCCCGTGCACTGGCACACGGCTTGGTGGTGGCGGATCGGGTGGAGGATCTGATCTGACGGAGACAGAGGAGGTGCAGCGCAACGCCTCATGCTCCCTTCTCCTCATGCTCCCTTCTCCTCATCTCCTCACTTGTTCCCTCCCAACCGCCAGGTACCCCAAGCGAGAGGTTCTCAACTTGGCTCGGTTCATTTCGGTGGCTAAGTTTAGGCCTCTCTCCTGGCGCACAGCCCACGGCTACGTGGTGGCGGACCGCGTGGAGGATCTCACGGAGACGGAGGAGGTGCGGTGCAACGCCAAGTGCGATCGGACGGTTGCGATTTACGGATACCTGCGGGGATGCAATCTGAAGCAGGGCTTTAAGGTGAGCGGTGGTTTAGGTAATTGAGGTAATTGAGGTTATTGAGGTAATTGAGGTATCATCACACTACATTGCTGTGTGATTTGCCAGCCCCACCCTCACCCTCCGCCTCCCCCCTTGCTCTGTCTATCTGCCACCCTTGCTTTCATCAGGTGCATATTGCAGGGGTGGGTGACGTGGCAGTGGAAAGTATTACCCAGCTGCCCGACCCCTGCCCGCTGCCCGGGGAGAAAAAGAAGCGGAGCCTGAACGAGCGGGAGAAGCTGCTCTATGCGCCGATGGCTGATATAGGGGATATACTGTACGATAAGGATGCGGTTTATATCAATATTCCGGATCATCAGGTGCAGTATTCTAAGGTTGAGGAAAAGGAGATTAAAGGAGGAGAGGAGGATGACGAGTGGTCGGATGAGGGGGAGGGGGGTGGAGGGGGGGAGAGAGAGGAGGAGGAGGATGAGGAGGAGGAGGAAGAGGAGGGGGGGGAGGAAGGGGGAAAGGCGAAGGCGGGAAGGCAAAAGGATGAGGGAGAGGAGATGGTGAAAACGCTACAGGCGGCTGACGTGGCAGTTGATGATAGGCTGAGATCGAGCGCGATCTCGCTGTTCAAATGGACGGCTCCGATCCGAGATGTGAGGGAGGTGGAAGCGGGGAGAGAGGAGGAGATGGGTGGGGGGGAGGAGGGGGGGGAGGATGAGGAGGATGGGAGTGCTGATGAGAGTGAGGGAGAGGAGGAGGACGAGGAGGAGGAAGAGAAGGAGGAGGAAGAGGAGGTGGTTTTGAAGGAGGAGGCGAGGAGAGACGCTAAGGGAAGGATGAGGCGTGCTGTGGTGTTTGATGCTGATGGTGATGATGACGATGATGATGACGATGACGATGACGATGTGAATGGTGATGATGCTGGTGAGGAGGAAGACGAAGAGGAGGAGGAGGAGGGGGGGGAGGATGTCGATGAAGGGGAGGAGGAGGGGTGGGAGTTGGAAGAGGATGAAAAGGGGGGAGGAGAGATGGAGGAGGAGGATGAGGATGACGAAGAGGAGGAGGAGGAGGATGTGAAAGAGCCAACGCGGGAGCAGCTTGAGAAGTGGGCTGATAGGGACGCGATGGATGAGGAAGAAAGGGGGTCTGATGATGATGATGATGAGGAGGAGGAGGAGGAGGAGGAAGAAGAGATGGAGGAGGATGAGGAGGAGGAGGAGGAAGGTGTGGATGAGAAGGTTGTTGACAAGAAGGTCAAAGGAGAGAGTGTAACACGCAACAAGTCCGGAACCAGTGCCGGGGAAGAAGGGGCAGCTGCGGTCAGGTGGAAGGAAGGGATGGCTGCTCGGGCAGCCAAAATGTTTTCGAGGAAGCTGAGCCTTATGGAGCTGGTTTACGGGCAGAAGGGAGGAGCCAGCACGCACGGGAATGAGAAAATCGGGAAGATAGTTGGGAATGGAACGTTTGGTACTCCTGCTGATAGCGACGGGAGCAGGGAGGAGGAGGAGGAGGAGGAGGAGGAGGAAGAGGAGGAGGAGGAGGAGGATGAGGAGGATGAGGAGGATGAGCTTTTTCAGCCAAGGAGGAAACAGCAGGGGGGGTCATCCTCCACCGCCCAAGCCTTACTGACGGATGATATCGACGCGGAGGACTGTGTGCGCGTGCGGCCAGATGCGCTGAACCTGGCGCAGTGGGACGACTCCGAGGTGGTGGAGTCCCTCAGGGACCGGTTTGTCACTGGCAACTGGTCCAAGGCGGGCGAGAGGAGGCGGAGGGGCGGGGCGAAGGGGAAGAGGGGAGGGGGAGAGGAGGGGGGGAGTGATGGGGAGGAGGATGGGGAGGGGGAGGAGGATGAGGAGGGGGATGACGTGTTTGGAGATTTTGAGGACCTGGAAACGGGGGAGAAGTTTGGGCCTGGGGGGGAGCGGGGAGGAGGAGGAGGGGAAGGAGGGGGGGGGGAAGGAGGAGGGGGGGGAGGGAAGCAGAGTGAGGAGGAGAGGGAGAAGGCGGAGGCGGAGGAGAGGAGGCTGAAGAAACTGGCTCTGCGCGCCAATTTCGACTCCAAATATCCTCTCACACGCTCCCTCACACGTTTTCGCATCCGTCTACTTCTGTGCACAAGTCCGCCTCTATTTTGTTCTCTCCCTAGCTGTGCTGCTGTGCATCCTTCCGCACGGCAGCATCATGATTATATAAGCCCTTCTACGTTCTACGATTTACACAGGTGTCATCACACAAGTTTGAGTCGATTTTCCAGTCGATTTTTGAGTCGACTCAAACATCATGGTTAGATAAGCCCACACGGTTCTTCCTTAACTCTCGGCTTTCCGCTACCTTTGCCAATCTCCTCCTCCCTCCTTCTTTTCTCTCCTCCCTTCTCTCGTCTCTGTTCCTCTCCCTTTCCCAATTTCCTGCCACCTTTCACCCCTCCGTTTGTCCGCCCTCCATTTGTCCACCCTCTGTTTGTCCGCCCTCTCTTTGGATTCCTTCTGTTTCCTCCTCCCTCCTCCCTCCTCCATCCTCCATCCTCCATCCTCCATCTTTCTGCTCCTCGTCCTGCCTTAAATGTTTGTCATGCCGTCCATCTAACCACGTCGAGGGGGGAGGAGGACGAGGAGGAGGGAGGGGAGGAGGAGGGAGGGGAGGAAGGTGCAGACAAGAAGTTTCCTGGAAGGGATCCGGAGGAGAAGGACTATATCGATGTGGTGAGTGGAGAAATGTGGGATTGAATACACGTGCTGTGTGTAGAGGAGGTGTGATTATATCGATGCAGTGAGTGTAGACGGCGTGTGGTGTGGTGCAGTTTTTGTAAGCCCAAGTGGTAGTAAAGGGCTCTCTGCTGGCTCTCGTGGGGGGGGGGGGGGGCATACCTGTGGAGGGGAATTTTGAGTCGACTGGGAACGAGATCAATTACACACTGTGGAGCGGCTGCCTGCGCCTGCTGTCTGCCGTTGAATTGAACTCAACCCCTTCCCCTTCCTCTCTCCCCCCGCCCTCTCCTTCTCTCCCCCAACGCCTTTGATTGACACAAACAACAGCTGAAGGAACAACTCGAGGCGAGGAGGCAGAGGAGTGAGGCGGCACTGGCAGAAGTTGTCGAAGCCACCCAGGTGGCCATGGAGGGCTTCCCCGTGGGGGCGTACCTGCGCCTGAGCCTGCTGCGGGCAGAAATATCCCCTCCTCCCTTGTGTGCCTCCCCCCCTCCTCCCTTGTGTGCCTCCCCCCCTCCTCCCATCGCCCTACAGCTGAAGGAGCAGCTGGAGGCGAGGAGGCAGAGGACAGAGGCGGCGCTGGCAGAAGTGGACGAAGCCACCCGCGTGGCCATGGAGGGCTTCCCCGTGGGGGCATACCTGCGCCTGCTGTTCCGGAAGCTTCCTGGAGAGTTCATGCAGCACTTTGACCCTCGGGTGCCCGTGCTGGTGGGCGCCGTGCCGCCCACTGAAGAGACGCTCGGGTACCTGCGGGTGAGTGGACGGGAAAAGGTTGAGAGGGTGGGGTGTTTTTTTAGAATTCTAGGGGAAGCTCATGCAGCACTTGGACTTGCGGTGCCTGTGCTGGTGGGCGCCGTGCCGCCCACTGAAGAGGCGCTCGGGTACCTGCGGGTGAGTGACATGACTTCCTTCTGATGTTGTGTGTCGAGGCGCCCTCGAACCCCTTTTTCATTAATCAACCAAAAACCTTTCTCCCTCTCCCCTTCCTTCCCCCCTGTCCCCCTCGTTTATCCCAGGTGCGGCTCAAGAAGCACCGCTGGCATCGCAAAGTGCTCAAGACCAGGGACCCCCTGGTGCTGTCAGCGGGGTGGCGGCGTTTCCAGTCAGTGCCTGTGTATGCTATGGAGGACACCAACGGGCGGCACCGGCTGATCAAGTACACCCCCGAGCACATGCACTGCCTCGCTGTCATGTGGGCCCCTCTACTGCCGCCCAACACCGGGCTGCTGGCTCTCTCCTCTGCTGCCGCTACTGGCAACAGCAAGCAGGTGAGGGGTTTAGGGGGTAGGGGTAGCAGCAAGCAAGCTGGTATGGGTAAAGGCACGTCAGTCAAAGCACTGCCTGATCAAGCACACCCCCGAGCACATGCACTGCCTGGTTGTCTTGTGGGCGCCCTTGCTGCCTCCCAATACCAAGCTCCTGGCATTATCTTCAGCTGCCGCTACTGGCAGCAGCAAGCAGGTATGCGTCAGGGGTCTCGCGTGTTGAAGGAGAGGCTCAGGCACACAGGCTGTTCAAGCACACCCCCGAGCACATGCACTGCCTCGCTGTCATGTGGGCCCCACTGCTTCCCCCAATATCGGGCTACTGGAACTGTCATCAGCTGCTGCCAGTGGCAACAGCAAGCAGGTATGGCTTGCGGCACGTCAGTTACTTACGTATGTCAAAGGAAGAGGCTCATGTGCACCGGCTTATCAAATACACCCCCGAGCACATACACTGCGTCACTGTCATGTGGGCCCCACTACTGCCTCATAACCTAACACCGGGCTGCCGACTCAATCCTCTGCTGCCAGTGGCAACAGAAAGCAGGCATGGCTTGGATTGCATTGGGGTACCATAGTCAAAGCCACACAGGCTGGTCAGGTGCAAGAAGTCTAGTTTTGAGGCGCCTCGAAACTAGACGCGTATGGCTTGGATTGAATTCGGGTACCGTAGTCAAAACACAGGCTGGTCAAGTAGCACACGCACTGCCTGGCTCAAGCTGCTGCGCTGCTCCTTCAACAGCACGTCCCATGTGTAATGAGTCTATTGAGTCGACTAAAAAATAAACCTGGCTCAAGCTGCTGGGCTGCCCCTTCAACAACATGTCCCGTTCTTACCCCCCCCCTTTCTCACTATCCCTTTCTCCTCCCTCGCGTCCTCACTCTCTCCCCCCCTCCCCCCTCTCTTCTCCTCCAGGCTTCTTTCCGCATCAGCGCCACGGGCGTGGTGTTGGAGCAGCAGCAGGCAGCGCAGGTGGTGAAGAAGCTCAAGCTGGTGGGCACGCCCTTCAAGATCTTCCGCCACACTGCTTTCATCAAAGACATGTTCACGTCGCCTCTTGAAGTCGCGCGCTTTGAGGGGGCAGCTGTGAGGACAGTCTCAGGCATCCGCGGGCAGATCAAGAAGGTACGCAGTGGCTGTAGGGCTGCTCGGTGGTAAGTTGAAGCTCAAGCTGGTGGGCACCCCGTTCAAGATCTTCCGCCACACTGCTTTCATCAAAGACATGTTCACGTCGCCGCTGGAGCCTGGAGGTAGGTCGGTTCGAAGGGGCAGCAGCAGTCCGCACCGTTTCTATTTTTGAGGCGCCTCAAAAATCGCTGGAGGTGGCTCGGTTCGAAGGGGCAGCAGCAGTCCGCACCGTTTCTGGCATTCGCGGGCAAATCAAGAAGGTTCGTGCTGGTAACGGGATGAGGTGATTCTGGTGGGCAGGCAGCTCCTTCTCGGGGAAATTCCATTCAAGATCTTCCGCCGCACCGCTTTCATCAAGGACATCTTTTTTTGAGGCGGCTCGAAAGTCTCTTTTTTGAGGTGCCTAAAAAATTTCTTCCGCCACACCGCGTTCATCAAGGACATCGGTGGGCAAGTCAAGAAGGTACGCGGTGGCTGGAAAGGTGACTTTTGAGTTGCAAATCAAGAAGGTACGCGGTGGCTGGAAAGCTGTTCAATAGTCGGTTGAAGCTCAAGCTGGTGGGGTCCCCCTTCAGGGTCTTCCGCCTCACCACCTTCATCAAAGACATGTTCACGTCTCCCTTGGAAGTGGCTCGTTTCGAAAGGGCCCTGACGGTAGCCTGCGGTGCTCGTTCGAGGACAAGATCCTGATGAGTACCATCATGCTCCTGAGGGCATGGGTCCAGGTGACCCAGCTGTAGAACCCCGTGTCTCTACTCCCCTCTAGGTATATTTTGAGTCGACTAAAAATACCCCGTGTCGCTACTCCCCTCTAGGTGTATTTTGAGTCGACTAAAAATACCCCGTGTCTCTACTCCCCTCTAGGTGTATTTTGAGTCGACTAAAAATACCCCGTGTCTCTACTCCCCTCTAGGTGTATTTTGAGTCGACTAAAAATACCCCGTGTCTCTACTCCCCTCTAGGTGTATTTTGAGTCGACTAAAAATACCCCGTGTCTCTACTCCCCTCTAGGTGTATTTTGAGTCGACTAAAAATACCCCGTGTCTCTACTCCCCTCTAGGTGTATTTTGAGTCGACTAAAAATATCCCGTGTCTCTACTCCCCTCTAGGTGTATTTTGAGTCGACTTAAAATACCCTGTGTCTCTACTCCCCTCTAGGTGTATTTTGAGTCGACTAAAAATACCCCGTGTCTCTACTCCCCTCTAGGTGTATTTTGAGTCGACTAAAAATACCCCGTGTCTCTACTCCCCTCTAGGTGTATTTTGAGTCGACTAAAAATACCCCGTGTCTCTACTCCCCTCTAGGTGTATTTTGAGTCGACTAAAAATACCCCGTGTCTCTACTCCCCTCTAGGTGTATTTTGAGTCGACTAAAAATACCCCGTGTCTCTACTCCCCTCTAGGTGTATTTTGAGTCGACTAAAAATACCCCGTGTCTCTACTCCCCTCTAGGTGTATTTTGAGTCGACTAAAAATACCCCGTGTCTCTACTCCCCTCTAGGTGTATTTTGAGTCGACTAAAAATACCCCGTGTCTCTACTCCCCTCTAGGTGTATTTTGAGTCGACTAAAAATACCCCGTGTCTCTACTCCCCTCTAGGTGTATTTTGAGTCGACTAAAAATACCCCGTGTCTCTACTCCCCTCTAGGTGTATTTTGAGTCGACTAAAAATACCCCGTGTCTCTACTCCCCTCTAGGTGTATTTTGAGTCAACTAAAAATACCCCGTGTCTCTACTCCCCTCTAGGTGTATTTTGAGTCGACTAAAAATACCCCGTGTCTCTACTCCCCTCTCTCCACCAACAGGCAGTGAAGCACGGGCAGGGGCCAGATGGTAGGGTCCGGTGCTCGTTCGAGGATAAGATCCTGATTAGCGACATTGTGCTCCTGAGGACGTGGGTCCATGTGACCATGCCAAAGCTGTCCCTAAACCCTCTCTCTTCAACTCTATTGCCTGCCTTCCCTCCCAACCCTCCAGGCAGTGAAGCACGGACAGGGCCCCGATGGTAGCGTGCGCTGCTCCTTTGAAGACAAGATCCTGATGAGCGACATTGTGTTCCTGAGGGCGTGGGTCAAAGCGACTGTTTCTCCCCTCCTCGTTCTCCCCGATACAGGCAGTGAAGCACGGGCAGGGCCCCGACGGTAGCGTCCGTTGCTCGTTCGAGGACAAGATCCTGATGAGCGACATTGTGTTCCTGAGGGCGTGGGTCAAGGTGACTGTGCCCAAGCTGTACAACCCCGTGTGCACGCTGCTCCAATCGCCGAGCGACACGTGGCACGGCATGAAGACCGTGGCTGAGCTGCGGAGGGAGCAACAGCTGCCCATCCCCGTTAACAAGGACTCGCTTTACAAGGTAATGCTAATAAGCTTTCTTCTTGCACTGTAGTCATTTCTTTTCAGCGATTGTGATTTTCCGCAGTCGTATAGTTTCTTAAAATACGTGCTATGATTATTCATCAGTGGTGTCTATTTTTGAGGCGCCTCAAAAGCGTGAGGAGTCTATTTTTGAGGCGCCTCAAAAATAGACTCCATGTCTTATGCTGCCTTCATCGGTGTACCTGTCTCATCGGTCTCTTTATGGACCTGTCTCACACACACGCCCCCCCCCCCCCCCCACGCCCGCCCTTCTCGCCCTTCCTTATGTCCTCCCCCTTCCCCAACTCCCCCTTCCAGCCCATAGAGCGGCGCCCGCGCTCCTTCAACCCCCTCAAGGTGCCAGCTAAGCTGCAGGCCGCCCTGCCCTTCTCTGCCAAGCCTAAGGACGAGGCTCGGCGCGCGCACCCGAGCCTGGAGCAGCAGCGGCCGGCAGTGGTGCTGGAGCCAGAGGAGAGGCGGCTGCACACCATGGTGCAGCAGCTGAACACCATCAAGAACCAAAAGGTACAGTAATAAATGTTTTATAACGAATGTACAGTGAAATGTATCTGTGTGATGATTGTACACTGATGGAGGGGCGGTGGTGCCGGAACCAGACGAGAGGCGTCTGCATACCAGGGTGCAGCAGCTGAACGCAATCAAGAACCAAAAGGTACAATATTAAGGACAGTTCAGTGAAATGCATGCTAGTGGTTGGATAGTTATGAAAGTGTAGTGGCGCTGGAGCCAGAGGAGGCCCGGTGTATTAGCAGTGATGCACAGTATCCCTTCACCTCGCACTCTGACGCCTCGTGAGAGTCTCCCATCCAGCTTCCATTCTTTCCCCCCTTTCCTTCGCCTTCTTTGACTTACAACTCCCCCTCCTTCCCTCTCCTCCCACCCTCATGCTCTCTCAATATCGCCGTATTCCACTTTCAGGTGAAGAAGCGGCGGGAGACGATGCGCAAGAAGAGGGCGGAGTACGAGAAGCGCAAGGCGGTGGACGAGGAGGAGCAGAAGTACAGGCGGCGCGAGGAAAAGAGGGAGAAGTTTAGGAAGGAGGCGAAGAGGAAGTTTGGTGGTGATAGGGGTGGGGTTGATGATGAGGGGCCTTCTGGAAAGAGGGGTCGTGGGTTGCAAGCCGATTAGGGTGAGTTCGAAGGCCAGAAAAGATGTGGTACGTTGACTAAGTTCACTCATCGCCCGGCTGCTGCATTCTGAGATTGACTTTCACTCGTTGCTGGTTGATATTTCCCCTTCTGCTGATAGTTGAAAACGTTCTTGCTTAAAGATCGTGATTCACTAACGAGGATAACTCCCGCTGTAATGTGCAGTGCTGGTGTGATTTGTGATTCTTTGCGCCTTTCATCCCTGTTGCGTTGGCCCACAACGCTGGTGCAGCATCTGAGTGCTTGGCTCAGCTGGCTCAGGAATTTCGTAAACGGCCGCGATTCGCCGCTCTCCGACGTGGCTGTCAAATCGAACGCCTGTCATTCGCCCACCTTCGTCGAGTGCGACTGAGCCCGCCACGTGTTCGGGTAACCCTGCATAACACATCTCAACCTTGTTATGCTATCCACGTGAAGCTGAAATGGCTGGGCCGGATTGGCCTTTCCTCTCTACTTACGGCGAGCTGACGAAGCAAAGTTGGGTCTTTCCGGCCGTGATTGGCGCCTGAGTCAGCGGAGCGAAATGGGTAAAAATAGCGGCCATGTGTGACGCGTTTCGACAGCGCATTTTCGGAGAGGCAGCCCAGCGAAGCGCAATTTCCTCGCAAGGGGGGAAGGCGAGGGGAGGGAGGGAGGGAGGTTGCATCGTTGTCGAATTTGCGCCTCGCCGGCCACGGAAAGCAAAATGCGCGTGAGTAGGGGCAACTAGAGGAGCCGAGATGTTTCAAGAGCATAAATAACGCAGGAACGCGTTGCAGAAGCGTCATTGACTACCTCTACTCTAAACAGCCATAGTCTAGCCCCCAAACGTTCGGCGCATAATCCCAGCAGCTTTCCTTACTTGTTCCTTCTTTGACGCCTCGCATTGCGACGAGTTAACTTCCGATCAATTCATACCAAGCCTCATTTCTACAGCCTGCGTAAACATTCTCTTTTCGGCCGGTCTATGGCCGTAGCCCACGTGTACAGCCTGTTTGCTTCATCCCACGACAGCAAGAATCAGCGTGCGCCGTCGCCGTTCTCCAGGAAATCCGACCCCTCCGTCCGCCCCCTCTCGGAGCTCCGCTGCCGCTTAGAAGACCTCATACCGGACCAGCGCGACCGCGTGCGCAACTTAAAGACCAATCATGGCTCCGTGTCGCTCGGTGAGACGACCATCGACATGGCTCTCGGCGGAATGCGCGGAATTAAGGGCCTAATCTGGGAGCCTTCCATCCTCGACGCAAATCTCGGAATTAAGTACCGCGGCTTGTCCATCCCCGACTGCCAGCGCCTCCTTCCCTCCGCAATTCCCGGCGGCGAGCCGCTTCCCGAGGCGCTCTTATGGCTCCTCGTCACGGGGGAGGTCCCGACGCCGCTGCAAGCGGCGTCAATCACGGAGGAGCTGCGGCTTCGCGCGTCGAATGTTCCAGACCATGTGTTCACGGTGCTTCGATCCCTGCCGAAACACCTTCACCCGATGTCGCAGCTGTCAATTGGTGTAACGGCCCTCCAGTCCACCAGCGAGTTCGCCAAGGCGTATTCCACCGGCTCCGTACACAAGACTCGTTACTGGGAGCCCGTGTACGAGGACGCGATGAATCTCATAGCGGGGATACCGGTGATCGCGGCGTTTATCTACCGCCGCGTGTTCAAGGATGGCCGTTTGATACCGGCTGATCCGAGCCTCGATTACGCCGCGAATTTCGCGCACATGCTTGGATTCGACGACCCCGGGCTCTACGAGCTGATGCGACTCTATTTAACTATTCACGCGGATCATGAGGGCGGGAATGTCAGCGCGCATACCACGCATCTCGTCGGCACTACGCTGTCCGATCCCTACTTGGCGTATGCTGCGGGGCTCAACGGTCTCGCGGGCCCGCTGCATGGGCTGGCCAATCAGGAGGTGCTGAATTGGCTTCACGAAGTTCGCGAAGAGCTTGGTGAAGCCCCGACGAAGGAGGAGCTGGAGGGGTTCGTTTGGAAGACGCTCAAGGCGGGGAAAGTGGTGCCGGGTTTCGGTCACGCGGTGTTACGGGTTACCGACCCGCGATACATTTCGCAGAGGGTGTTCGCACAGAAGCATCTGCCCGATGACCCTATGTTTCACCTGGTCTCAGACCTGTTCGACGTGGTACCGAGGGTTCTGGCGCAGACTGGCAAAGTCCGAAACCCGTGGCCTAACGTCGACGCGCACAGTGGAATTTTACTCGCGCATTATGGGCTTAACGAGTCAAGCTTCTATACAGTGCTCTTTGGTGTTTCCCGCGCGATGGGTGTGTTGTCGCAGCTGATCTGGGACCGCGCCTTAGGATTGCCGATCGAGCGTCCCAAGAGCGTGACGATCAAGTGGCTGGAGGAGCATGGCGAAGCGGCGAAAGCTCGTGAAATGACGAAGGCCTGCGAAATCGCGGAGGGGATGCTGGAGATGGCGGAGGCTGCTTCAAGGCTGTGATGATATCGGGGCTGTGATTGTACTGGGAAGCAATTACGTTATTAGCTCTCGCTTCTGTTTTTCACTAGTTCCTCGGAACGCCCTGCGCGTACTATAATAAGAGTCAGGGCGGCTAGTCCCAGCAAGTACTAGAGCTATTGTACTGCTAGAGCCGCAAGGCAGGCTCCCTCTTCTCTATTCTTCGCAAGTCAGTGTCAACCTTCGTTCAAAGCTGTAATGCCATTCTGCTAAATGAAAACATCTCCATTTGCTGCTGATCCTCCTGCTGTTAGTGCTTGCTACCACTGCAGCGCAGATGGAGGGCGGGAATGGAAAGGTGGTGGCAGTGAAGTGACCGCAGGGGAGGGAAGAAACGACAGGCAGAGGGAGTGAGGTGAGGGAACTGGCGAAATGTCAAGATTCGCGAGCGACGTGGAATATTCGTGAACCGGGCTGTCGCAAATTGCACAGGTTCTGGGTGTTGGCGACAAGCGAGGGGGAGGTTGGGTGGGGAGAAAGTACTATTGGCGAACATTATTCGTTGCGTGAGTTTTTCCAGCCAATGGTGGTTGAGGGAGGCGTTATTCAGTTACTAGACGTCCACAGCTTTTCCTCGGGAGCAATCTCGGATGGGCTTTTTCACAGCTCCAAGATTTCAAATTCCAACTCGCTTGAAATTGCAGCCCTAATTTCTACCCACCCTTATCGAGGAGGCTCCTACCGAGTGGCCACTTTCGTTGCACCCCTACAGAGTCATGGCAGACGCGATGGACGTCGACGCGCCTGAAATGGCGCACAATGAGGCGCCCACGTGTCCACCGCATTCCGCGGCGCCAATCGCGGACGCTTTGCCATCTCCGCAAGCAACGGCGACGGAGCAATTAGAGGAAGATGTGCAAGCGAAAGGAGGTCACGAGCTCGAGATTTCGAATCGCAGCAGGAAAGACGACCTAGTAGTGTCCCTAACGCGGCGCGGGGAGCAAGGAACGCAGCGATTGGTGGAAGCCGCGGAAGGGGTGCTGTCCACGCTAAACCTAGTCATGTGCAATGGTGCCTTCTGGGAAGCTTCCTCGGAAACTGCAGGCAGCAGTGCACACGGTGAGCAGCAGCAGCAGCAGCAGGCCTCGGGATTGCCGCCGGACGCTGCAGCAGCAGCCATAGAAATGGCGCACCTTCGTTATAAGAACATCTCGTCGGAGCTCCGGTCGCTTCTGCTGAGGCTGCAGGAAGAGACAGAGAAGGCCGGCCGGTCGGAGGACGAAAGGGAAGAAAACCAAGGGGGGGAGAAGCAAAGGGCGAGCCTTGGCCCTGAATCAGAGTCTGCTGCACCTGATACCGCACCTGACCGTGCAGCACCTGAAGCAGCACCTGGAAATGCACCTGAGGCACCACCTGAACCATCTGCAGATGCAGCTCCCCCGTCTGCGGAGGAGTTGACCAAGCGAGCAGCGACCCTGAGAAAGGTACGCACGCACACGGACCCAATTAAGCTGTTATTTTTTAGGCGCCTCAAAAGCTGTTAGGGCATCAGCTGGGCGCAGGAACGGAGGTACTATGCGGCTTCCTGCATGGTGCCATTGACCATTACTGTTGCTATTGTTCCTGGTGACTTTTGAGTCGACTCAAAGGTTTTGAGGTCTAGTTTTGAGGCGCCTCAAAACTTTTGAGTCGACTCAATCAAAGGTCACCTTGTTCCTGCTTCTCATGCCCCGTGCAAGGTGCAACACCTCCAATACCTCAATTGCCACTTTTCCCTCCAACGCCTCTTCTCCCCTTCTTCGCAGCACATCCAACGGTGATTTTTTAGTCGACTCAAAAATCACCAACGGTGCAACATGCAGCTGAACGCAGCACATACGGCTGAAAGCAGGGATGCAGGCGATTTTTTAGTCAACTCAAAAATCAGCAGGGATGCAGGCAGTGAGAGGGATAGTGGACGACGCCACTCACCCTCTCCTCTTCTTCCCCACTCGGCATGTCTTGCATTCCCACCCCACACTCACCCCACACTCACCCCACACTCACCCCACACTCACCCTACACTCACCCCACACTCACCCCACCCCACACCCACCTCTCTTTCCAACAGCACATCCGGCGGTGCAACGTGCGGCTGAGAGCAGCCATGGAGGCGTTGAGAGGGATGCTGGACGATGTCACTATGTTCCAAGCACCCCAGCTGCTGCTGCTCTCGCAGTCTTAGGTTGATGTAGCCTGTAATGTGTAACCAATGTGCATGTCGGATCGGATGATGTCTCTCTCTTCCAATCACCCCAGCTGCTGCTGCTCTCGCAGTCTTAGGTTGATGTAGCCTGTAATGAGTAACCAATGTGCCTGTTGGATGATGTCTCTCTCTTCCAGGCACCCCAGCTGCTGCTGCTCTTGCAGTCTTAGAATGAAGAACCATTTTAGCATGTGGCGTCTAACTAACCAACATGTAGATTGGATCGGATTGGATTGGATTGGATCGTATTGGATCGGATTGGATAACAATACAGTACCCTTCTTCAAGCACCCCAGCTGCTCTTGCTCTGACAATCAGAGATTTAGTCTCACATGGATTGCCAATTTGCCAACCAAAGCCCGAGCAAGCTCAGCCAGAACATGCATGTATAGTCACATACAAACAAGATATTTATCTGGTTCTTGCAAATAATGAATGTGGTATCAAAGAGTCGCATCGCATGTCAGTACGCGAGAACCCTCCCACCCACTCACCTGTCATTCTTCCTCTCCCCATTTCCCACCAGCTCCTCTCCCTGCTTCCCTTTCCTTCCTCCTCCCACTGTCAGTAACCCCCCCACCACCACTCCATCAGTCACCTACTCTTCTTCCTCTCCCCGTTTCCCACCAGCGCCTCCTTTTCCTCTCCTTTCCCTTCTCCCGCCGCCTCCTTTCTCGAAGCCGCCCCCAAATCCGAGCCCGCTCGCTTCTTCTTGCTCTTTGATTTCCGCCACTTCAGGAAGATCTGGTAGGTCAGCCCCGCGAACACCATGCCCACTCCTGCCCACTGCTGCCCCGTGAGCGGGTTTCCATTCCACACCGCCGAGATCAAGATACTCATGAATTTCCGCGTTGTCGTGATGGTCGTATTAACGAGCGCGCCAAACTTGTTGATGGTCAAGAAAATAAAATTCTGCCCGACCGCGCCGCAGAGGCAGAAAAGGAGCACGTCCACGGCAGCCTCGGGGTGCGTCCGGCAAAAGTCTATGGCTGCCATGCCGCCACCTCCCGGCCACGCGAACATATAGAGTGCCAGGTAGAGCGTGCCCCATATGTTCATCCCCAGCATCAGATGGTACGTCGCTGTGAATGGGTACCTGCATGGGGTATGCGACAGCAAGAGCATCAGAGTACAAGGGAATTAATGTCCAGCAAAAGTCTATGGCTGCCATGGCACTGGCTTCAAGGCAGGTACCTGCATTGAACCCAGAGGGGCGTTAAAAGATCAGGGCTTAGGGGCGTTAAAAGATCAGGGCTTAGGGGCGTTAAAAGATCAGGGCTTAGGGGCGTTAAAAGATCAGGGCTTAGAGATCAGGAATTTAGGCTTCAGGGTTTGGGTTTTTGGGCTTTCTGGCGCGAAGTTTAAGCCCTTGCACTCACTTGGCGGTAATAGAGTCCCGTGTGGCATGGGTGGATCCGTCGAACCCCAGGTCGAGGGAACACAGGGTGAAGCCCAGAGGGGCTTTGGGGAATCGAGGATCAGGCCGCAGGGTGCATGGGCTAGAGTGTAGGCTTTAAAGTTTTAGGTTTCTGACGTGAAGTGTAGGGCATGTGGCAAGTGCGATCGGAGGGACCCTCCGCTCCCATTATCCTGTCGTTTACCTCTGTACCTCTCATCAACTGTTTTGAAACAAAAAGCATCGCACTGTACCGCGTTGTACCTGACCTCCAGTCCAGTCCCATTGCTTCGACTTCTACTTGCCACATGCCCTTACAGCGCAATCACTTGGCAATAATAGAGTCCTGTGTGGAATTGGTGAATCCGTCGAGCCCCCGGTTGAGGAAGAAGCACAGGGTGAAGCCAAGCGGGGCGTTGGGGGCTCAGGGTGCAGGGGTTAGAGTTTGGGGTTTCTGGTAGAGTTTATAGTGTCAAGCCTGGCACTTACTTGGCGGTAATGGAGTCCTGCGTGGCGTTGGTGAAGCCGTCCAGCCCCAGGTTGAGGAAGCAGAGGGTGTAGCCCAGAGGGGCGTTAGGGCTGGCTAGCTTGCTCATAGCCTTGCTGGAGCTCTGAGGGGTCATTAGGGGAGGGAACGAAAGACGGGAGAGGCGGGAGGGGGGGGGGGGAGTGGGGGGAGAAGGTATCGAGATCGGTCCATGTATAATCAAGCAACATGGTGAGGTGTGTACTTGGAAAGAAAACCCACCTTAAAGAGGGCGAACATGGAGACTCCCCCGGCGACAAGCAGAGTGCAGACGTACTCTGGGATAGTGTAACGCACACCATAGATAATGGCTCCCGCTAGCATCACTGAGAGACAGTGTATGCGAGTGAGTGAGTGAGTGGGTGAGTAATAAAAGGGGGAAGGGAGGAGGGAAGGAAATAGAGGCTTTTGAGTTTGAAAAGAGCCACAGGAAGCAATATTGAAGATATACAAAACCATTGCTTGGAGCGCAGATCTTAAAAATGCCTGGACGCAATAAATTTTGCAATACAGAGAAAAAAGAAGAAGAAACACACACACACACACACACACACACACACACACACACAAACACACACACACAAAAAAAAACACGCATACGCCTATTCTAAGGCACCTAAAAAAGGGATCCAGGAAGGGGTGCCTCATAACAGGCTTATGCAATACTTGCAATGCTTCCAGACGCATCTCTGTCGGAAGCGCAAGAACCTACCTGGGATCATTTTGGATGACTTGGCTAGGACCTGACAGGAAGGGTTACAAAAAGGGTTACAATAACGGTTCGCAAAAAGGGTTACAAGAATGATTCAGTAAGCGAGCTGAGAAATTGGCTAGGACCTGTCAGAAGGAGTGCAAGGAGGGGTGCAGCGTAAGTGGAAGCCCAAAATACTTCCAATAAGCGCAGCTAAGTACTTGAAATAATAATTAAAACTCCTCTCAGTAACAAGATGGGTCACTGGGAGGGTACGAAAGGGAAGGTAACAGGAAAGTAACAACAAGGGTTAGTGGGAGGGTTACAAGGCGGGGCACTGGGAGAGTTACAAGGCGGCCTACTGGGAGGGGGGGGGCTACTGGGAGGGGGAGGGGTACTGGGAGGGTTACAAGAAGGGTATTGAAGGTGCCAGTGACGAGCAAGGCAGACTTGCGAAAAACAGGGGGGAAGTATTGAAACAAGGAGCAATATGCGCACAACAAAGTCAAGTGATGGGGGATAAGCTTCTAACACACCTGAGCAGGATAGGAGATGTATTTCAGGGCAACGAGACCGCATGCCGGCCCAATGGTGTTGGTGACTCCGGGGAGCCAGTAGGACAGCAGCGGTGGCTGAACTGTCATGTTGGTTGAGAGAATGTTCAGCACTGGGAGGGGGGGAGTAACGGGAAGGGGGGGAGGGGGGAGATGAGAGACAGAGAAGGGATCTTGTAGTGATGGCTGTGATGGCTGTGATGGCTGTGATGGCTGTGATGGCTGTGATGGCTGTGATGGCTGTGATGGCTGTGATGGCTGTGATGGCTGCCAGAGAGGACGGGGAAGACAGAGAGGGAGAGCGAGCAAGAGAGCGAGGGCGCGAGATACATCAGCAGGACGCCAGAAGGAGAGCCAGAGACAAGAGAAGCAGAGGAGGGAAGGGGAGGAAGGGAGGAGCAGCGTACTGAGGAAGGCGACGACGGAGCAGACGAGGCTCTGCGCGAGGTTCAGGAACGCGAGGTGCTCGAATCTCCTGTCGTCCGGTGCAAAGCGCTTGGTGGAGCTGACACGTGATGAGAGGAGGGAAAGGGGGGGGGGGGGGGGGGAAAGAGTTGATGGAAACAGGAGTTGCACCACCAAGGGATGAAATGGGGGAAGGAACGCGAGGTGCTCGAATCTCCTGCCGTCTGGCGCAAAGCGCTTGGTGGAGCTGAGGCGGGGCGGGAGAGGGAGAGGAGAGTGGTGGAAGCAAGCAGCATAGGTGAGAAACAGAGCACTACTCATATCAACAGAGCCACGAAAAAGAGGAGAGTCGCGAACGGCAAACAGAGCAACTTGAGCGATGTTGCGCATCGACGAGGCGACGGAGAAGCTTGTTTCGATGACGGACTGAACTACGAGGTGATTGACTGAAGACGACCGACTGACGACGACTGACTGAAAACGGCATTTCTGAGGACGCGTTGAAGAATTCTCGCCGCGCGACTGACGTCTGTAGTTGACGCAACGGCCAGAATGCACAGGTCTCTATCGAAAGACACTATGCGTGCAAAATGACACACTCTGCGACATCGAGTTTCGCGCAAATTTCGCGAGATTAACGAACTATCGGGAGGCACGACGGCGATGAAATCAATGCGTCGGGAAGGCACGGAATCAGCAGTCATTGTGCAGAATCAAACGGCTAGAGACTTTCGGAAACCGCTATCGCTCAGAATCGAACGGCTAGCAACCTTCAGAATCGTAAGTCCTGCACGATCGAACGTATTACGCGTTTCAGTATCACCAGTCCTGCGACTTTCAGGGTCAGCGAGAGGTGAATTACAGGTTCTCTTGCACCACGCCTTGCGTGAGGTACGCCGCCCAGATGCCGGTGACGCAGATGACGAGGAGCACGGCTCGCTTCCACGCGGCGGCCGATCCATGGTCCGGACGGCCCGCGGCAGCCATGGCGGATCAGAACTGCAATGACTGTTTCGAAACACGGAGACTGCCGAGGGTGTTGTGTTCAGGCTTAAAAACAAATTTGTTATTGTTTTTGTCATACATCGTGATATGTCTGGATGGTGTAGTCTTATCACGCCAGTCTCACACACTGGAGGTCTCCGGTTCGATTCCGGGTTCAGACAGTACTTTTGCGAATATGTTGCTGTATATTCCTTTCCCCCAGTTTAGTCAAACATTATGGCACCACTCCAATTCCCGCCGTCCACAACTGTGGATGATGAGCTTTATGGCTGTTCTTGTGCACATGTGGTTCACGTTTGGCACAAACGTTTCCTTGTAAACAATACAAAGTCGTTTGCTTTACAATCTGACCCCATAAAAAAGGAAGAACACACACCACCAAGGTTTGTATGCATGTACGATATGGACAACCCCTAGTTGATTCAGATTCAGGCAGCAGCAGAGGCCACGTAATCAATCGCTTCCTTGCAGATGCAAGTCATACTGGCCTCAGGACCATACACCTGGTAACACAAGGGAGCAGCGGAATGGTGGAGGGCAGAAGCAAGAGCCATGTAGTGTGGGAGAATGGCGAGAAACGGCTTGCTGGAGGCACGTAGTGCATGGCTTGCTGGATTGCATGTATGAGTATGCGAAGCTTGCCAGAAACAAACAAAAACAAGAAAAAGGCCTTCCAGCCACAAACATTGGCCCATCCGCACCTGGATGGGAATGCCAAGCTCTGTGCCCAGCTCGCGCATCATATCGAGCCCCTTGAGGTAGTTGGGCCCTCCGCGACGCACGAAGATGCGCACCTTGGCATCCTTAATCTGCCGCTCCTGATAGAGGGGGTGGGGGGAGTGGGAGGGGGAGAGGGGGGTCAGGTAGGTGAGAGAGGGGGGACACGGCATGGGCATACAAAGATGCGGACCTTCGTGTCCTTGATCAGCCGCACCCGGCGAGGAGAAGGGGAGGGAGGGAGGGGGTTGAGGGGGGGGTGAGTTAATGAGAACTGGTGAGAGATGCACGAAGATTGTGAGACACACGGATGCATGCCTTGGCATCCTTAATCTGCCGCTGGTGGGGGGTGTGGTTGTGGGGGGAGGGGGGAGGAGAGGGATTGGGGCACTGACCTTCTGAAGGTGAGGAGTCTCAGAAGTCACTTACGTCTCAAGAGTAATAAAATTCACGTATTCATCAACATGTCGACAACTTACTTTCTCACGGAGCGCCCGAATAATGCCGGCAAACGTCTTGGCCACGTCTGTGAAGTTGGCAATACCTCCACCAATGAGCAGCGCACGTGGACGGCCATCGGGATTGGCTGTGGCGCACTGAATAGGGAGTGGGGGAGGCAGAAGGATTGGACACATGGGAAGCAGGGATAGACCATGTGGTGTTGGTGATACTGCCACCAGCGAGCAGCCCACATGGACGGCCATCGGGATTGGCTGTGGCGCACTGGAGATGGAAAAGAGGTATTGCAAGAGGCAGTCCAGACGACGAACTTTGAAGGGAAGGAAGAGGCGCTATCGAAAGGTTTCACTCGAGAGGGGCGTCAAATGGAGAAAGGATATCTAGAATCAAGAGTGGTCAATCAATTCCGTAGGAGTGCCAGTCGGACTCACGTCAATCAAGATGCGAGCATACTGCAGCGTTTCCTGCTCGTTAGGCGCTCCACTGTACTCGGCATAGTTGCCCAGCTCCTGGGCGTAGCCCAAGTCACCGACCTGCACGTGACAGAAGGGTAGGGAATACAGAGGCACAGCATGCAGACATCAGGAAAGAGCAGAGAGCAGAGAGCTACAGCAACCACCTCCTGGCGTTCCTGAGATCACAGAGACGCGGCACAGGCACAGGCACAGGCACAGGCACAGGCACAGGCCCAGGCCCAGGCACAGGCACAGGCACAGGCCCAGGCACAGGCACAGGCCCAGGCACAGGCACAGGCACAGGCCCAGGCACAGGCACAGGCCCAGGCACAGGCACAGGCACAGGCACAGGCACAGGCACAGGCACAGGTAGAGACACATATGGGTCAAAGAACCTAGGACACGGGCATGACAAGAACCGACTGCAGACCCGACAACAGAACTGACTGCAGAAGAAGAAGAACAAGAAGAAGAGGAGCATACCGTGTCGGCATAGATGACAGACGCCCCTCCTCCAGCCACCATGGTCCAGATGCGACCCTTGGGGTTCAGAATGGTGAGCTTGAGAGACGCCCCGGTCTGATGGGGAAGAGAGAGGAGCGAGACAAGGGATAGGGAGACGGCTGAGCTTAACGAACGAGGGGAGTGCAGAGGAGTTGGGGAAGGACGAGATGTGTTCAGCACATCGATAGCCCCTCACTCACACGTGAAATCCCCACTCTCACCTTCTCGTCCATCTCGTGGATCCTCTCCTCTGAGGGTGTCATGGTGCAACCAACAGGCAGCGGTAGCTGGTTTCAGCAGGCATAGCTTATGTGACACATTGACAGCATCCCCCCGCTCTCACCTTCTCGTCCACCTCACCTTCTCGTCCATCTCACCTTCTCGTCCATCTCGTGGATCCTCTCCTCTGAGGGCGACATGGTGCGGCCGAAGGGCAGAGGGAACTCCACGTCGCCCCACCTGCAGAGGGTGCGGTTGCGGGTGGGGGGCGGGGTGGGGAGGTGAGGTGGGAGGAGGGGGGGAAAGGATAAGAGGTCGAAACAGCAGAGCACACAAGCGACAGCCAGATGCAGGAAACACACCAAGCTCCGGAGCTTGGTGTTTGAACTGCGGAAGTTGTCAAGCTCGGCCCTCCTGTCCGAAAGGGGAAGGGGGTCGTGGAGCTCGCCCATCAGGCCTGAAAGAAGTTGGAATAAAGTAAACGCCGTGGCGAGCAAGGCAGGGTGTGGTGGAACGTACTTCTGGAAGTGCTTGCTGAACCGCCCTGCGCATTGTCGTCCAGCTCGCCCATCACGTCGAGAAGAAAGGTGCCTATCCAGCAGCACCTCACGAGCTGAACTACACTAGGGGAATCCAGCACAGAACGTACTTCTGGAAGTGCTTGAACTGCGCTGTGTCGTCCAGCTCGCCCCTCATGTCGAGAGGGAAGGGCTCCCCGTTGACCACGATGAAGGGGTTCATCTCTATCAGCGTGAAGTCCAGGTCTGGTGTGTGGGGGCATAGACCAAGGAGAGTGAGTGCAAAGGGAGGAGAAGGGAGTGCCGCATACAAGTTAGGGTTCCCCGTCGACAACGGTGAACGGGTTCATCTTGATCGGCGTGAAGCCCAGGTCTGGTTGAGGGGGTGGAGGGGGGGGGGGGGGGGAGGGGGTTGGGTGAAGAGGGGGGTGAAGAGGGGGGGGGGGAGGGGGGTTGTCAGGGTCAGGAAGCGAAGGCAAGTGCAGCATGAGGAAGATGGGAAGTGGGGGGGACGGCTGCGCTTACCTTTGAAGACAGCAAAGACACCCTTGATGAACTTCTCCATGCTCTCCCGCACCTGCAGAGAGGTCAGGGGACACAAGGGTGCGTGGTTAGTGCGCATATGAGGCATAGTGGTACCGATGGGAAACGAAAAAGAGGGGGCGCACCGGAAAAGAGTCGGGAAACGAGAGAGGATGAAAATGGGCCCACCTCAAGAGGCAGAGTGGCAATGAGCGGCGCGCATAGCTCTGATGTGAGCTCGGATTCTGTCGGCACGAATATGGTCTTCACCTGTCGCGGACAGCCATGCCACAGCATACAGCACATACGACATACCATAACACCACCCCATAACAGCACACGCCATAAGACCACACGTCATACCAGGACACAATACAGCAACACAATAGGTCAAATTTTGAGGGGGGGGAGACCTCTTTAACAAGCACTCCATCCTTGTCCAAGTTATTCCCGGTATGTTTCCCATCTTCCGATTTCTTCCCTTGTTTCCACTCCTTGTTTACTCCTTGCCTCCTCCCGCCCAGTTCTCTTGATTGTTGATGCCGCCGCACTTGGAGAAACTCACATTGCGGGCCAGCTTCCATGTTCTAAAACCGCTCCCAGTTCTCCTCCCCCCCTCCAATCAGCTCACCCCATCTGTCCCCGTCTCACCTTGTCCCAGTTCTCCCCCCCCCTCCAATCAGCTCACCCCATCTGTCCCCGTCTCACCTTGTCCCAGTTCTCCCCCCCCCTCCAATCAGCTCACCCCATCTGTCCCCGTCTCACCTTGTCCCAGTTCTCCCCCCCCCTCCAATCAGCTCACCCCATCTGTCCCCGTCTCACCTTGTCCCAGTTCTCCCCCCCCCTCCAATCAGCTCACCCCATCTGTCCCCGTCTCACCTTGTCCCAGTTCTCCTCGATGTTGACGCCGCCGCACTCCGAGAAGCTCACATCGCAACCCAGGCGCTTGGAGGTGACGGAGAGGTAGTACTCCTCCTTGTGCGGGATGAACGGCTCCACTATGAACGTCGTGATGGGGCCCTTGGACTGGCCCATCTCCACCTGCAAATGGCACGTGAATAGAAAGGTTATTAATATGCCTACCTGCAAATGCCGTCATGGAGCCGTCAAATGGACAAATCTCAGCCTCCAGGCAGGAGCTTCGACTCGTTGATAGGTGAAGCCACACGTCAGAACGGATGGGTCCATTGGGGGAACACTGGGTGGGAAAAAAACCATAAGGGCTGGCACCCATAGCGCCGTCTTGCATGGCACGGACCAAGTTGTCAAAGCACGCGTGCAGGTCATCAGTCTGGGCACTGGCGAAACATCACAGAACTGACTGACAAAACTAGCCATTTCGGAACATGAACATGTACAGTTTCGCTTATCGCATGGAGCCACAGTTGCTCACCTCCTTGCCGAGCTTGCTCTTAACGAACGCCTCCACTCCTGCGAAGTCAAGGTCGAGAGCCACCTGAGAGAGAGGGGGGAGAGAAGAGTCGTTCAAGTTGATTCTTGAGTCGACCAAGAAAACACTTCCGCGTAGTCGAGGTCGAGTCATACGACGATGAACGAGGGCTGATGAAAACGGAAACAAGAGCTGGACGGCTCACCAAGAGGCAAGAAATGAAGAACTAACAACAAGACAGCTCACAAAACGTAAAGAAACGACTCTCCAAGAGTCACGCAGAGACTCACCAGGCCGCTCTTGCCTCGCTTGCCGAAGAGCATGTCGGGTTTCACCACCATGCGAGTGCTGTTCATCCATGGCTGCTCGTTCGCGAGCTTCGCGAAGTCCGTCTCCGAAGTGATCTGGCAGAGTCAACAAAAAGGCCAGGTGTTATTGAAAAACTTAAAGAATCTAATGACAGAAGATGAATAAGGTGTGGCAACATGCGTTGGACATCGCTCTAGTCATGCTCATCTGTTAAGACGTCAATATTGCGCGTACCTGGACGGAGTTAATCGTCAGATCGATGCCAGCTAGGCGCTTCAGGTGCTCCTTCAGGAGGCGCTTGGAGTCGTACTCTCTGATCTTTTTCCGGGCCATGTTTAGCTCTGGAAAATGAAACGCCGGACGGGAAAATAAGGAACAGATGGATATGGCTCACGCGTGGAAATGCGACATGTGCCTTCCAAAAGCCGTGACTGAATCAGTCGAAAGTTGCTGTTCATTCCCTACCTCGAAGAAGGACAGCAAAGAAGCACTTCTTCTGACGCGAGACACCCAGACACGTCAGGAAGCACAGGCTACTGAAGTTTCAGAAGCACCAACGTACTTTCTGATGCAAGCAGTGGAGGCTGGTCTGAGCTGAATGCTGATGAGTTGATGTCTGGACTCTAAATTCAAATCTATGCATCCGAGATTTCAGCTGCTCCTCTCACCAACTCCCACTAGTTCGCAGCAAACCCACCTGAGACCTGTGTTCCACCATAGGGCCTGATCCCCGCATTGGTATTCCAGCATTCTGTGTGCATCCGCAGTCCAGAGACCGTCCTAGCGATGACGGACGATAAGATACCAAATTCGTCGGGTCAGCTCTGCGAGGAATGCGAAAATTCAAAACCGAGACAACGAAAACCGAGACTTGTCGCATGACGTAATAGACGACACGAAACGAACTGTCCCTTCTCGAAGCTGGAATGCAGGCTAGGTGAAATTCACAATTTGGCGGGTTTCCCAAGGACGACAGTGGCAGGCATCAGCCATCGACTTGCGGAACGAAATTCCCCCTGAGCGGAACCTGTTCTCCGGAATTCCCAAGAAATCCCTGCGCTTTTGGAGCTTCAAAAGCACCCCCTCCCCGCTTGAGGCGCGGAATTGCCGCGGAACCGGCTCGGCGCAGAAGAATACTGACGTTACTCCGCCCCAGAATCAGCAGCGCCGTGTCAATCCACACCTGTGACGTTGTCACGTGGCACCATGCTGTTGGCGCTGGCCCCTCACTCTCACGCTAGTGGTCCCACTAGCTAAGAGGCAGCCCAACCCACGCCCCGCAAAACATTCCCAATGATCAATACGTAGTTACATAAACCAAAAACGTGCTCTACATACACACAAGACATGTATATTTCGTAAGGCCACAATACCCTCACTACCAACACAATTTCCACAACCTTCCACTCTGAAGAATTACTTGAAGCCACTTGCCAGCTGCTTGATGCCCTCTATATCGTACATCCCAGCAACTGAGTCATCCACCACTGCTCGCACTGCTACAGCTGCCAGGTCGGCAACATCAACAGGAGGCGCTAACAGTAGGTCGGATGCAGGTAGCGGGGAAAACAACTTAGTGATGTCTTTAGTGGCGGACAACAGCTTCTCCAGAGGCTGACCAATCAGATCGAGCGGGACCTCCACCCCTCCGGTCACACGCCTTTTCCCATATATAAATCCCGGCCGCAGCACCACTCCTGGCAAGGTGGGTGAGGAAGACGCAGGGCAGATATGTAACAAAAAATGGGGGAGGAGGAGGGACAACGATATTGGATAGCCCTGAATAAGGGGAATGGGAAGGTGGATCTGGCCTGAGCTAATAACCAAAATTGCACATCTATAAGCTGGGTGTCAAGAGGGGGCTTTGGAGGGAGAAAGAAAAGGAAGAAGAGAAAGCAACACACCTGTATTGGGAAACGCGTCAAGGACCGCAGTCTCAGCTCTTTTCTTGCCGTTGAAATATCCATTTTCCTTCGCGAAATCGGGCAGGTTATAATCATGCACCGATACAAACACAAACTTGCGCACTCCAGAATCTTTAGCTGCGTCTACAGCAACCACTGTAGCATCGCCATTAATCCGCTCCATCTGCTCGTCCGTGCCGAATCCCCCAATGCAGGAGACCACAACAGTCACATCCTTTAGAAGCACAGGCCAATCGGCATTGAACACGTCACCAGTCTCCCACGTGACACTGTTCACCCATGCCTCATTGGAAATGGAGGGTCGGCCGGACCTGAGGGAGGTTCGGAGGGTAGATATGGGTGAAGCGAAGGGGGTAAGGGTAGGGATTTTGAGAGAGAGGAGGATTAAGGATGGTCAGTTTAAGGGTCAGTCATGCGAAGGGTGCTTGAATGATCAGGAAACGAGATTGGTGGCAGAAACAGCTGCATCTCAGCACTGGTATTGGCTGGCCAGGTATTGGCATCCTATAAATTTGCAACCAGCAATTTGATTTCATCCTAGATATGCACCTGCTAAGGCTGAGCACGAAAACCCACCGGAAAGTCATTTTATTCACTACGGTCACATACACACAGTAGCATATTGCAGCATGTACCTGCTAAGGCTGACCACGTCAATGCCTCTGTCTGCCGCTGCTCTCGCCACAGCAGAGCCCACAAACCCACTCCCACCCAGAACCAGCACCTGGGGGATTAAAACGGGAAATTTTAGGCGGATGAGATAACAGAAACTAAGTTTTGAAACGGATGGAGAGATAGAAGATAGAGATCCGCTGCCACCCAGAACCAGCATCTGGGGGGCTCAAGGCAAGGGACAGGAGGAATGTGAGAGGGGGAGAGATTGGAAAGTGGAAGGGGATGTGAGGAATTGGGAGGAGGGGATTGAATGGGGTGGGTTAGAAGAAAGGAGCATAAGTGGTCGTTTGGGCATTTCCAGCTCTATTGACCTTTCTCTACTGACCTTTTCCTACCGAGCTTATAGGAAATCAATGGAGCCTATTATCAGTTGGGCTCCCCTCACCTTCTCGTTCTTAACCTCAGCTTCCACTTGGGGGGGTTCAAATGACATTTCAGGTGGATGGATGTGCTACCAGTCTCATCCCTTGCCTTCCCAGTCTCATTGCCTCACCTTCTCGTTCTTAATCTCAGCTTCCACGTCGATCGCCGCGTCTCCCGCTTCTTCCGGCGATGCAGCGAACGCCCGTCCGGTAGCCCGTTTGTGCGCCTTCGATATAGTCACGGATGACCTGCAGGGTTGAGACGGACGAAACTGGACGGCTTGGAAGGAAGGAAGAACGAAGACACAATGCACAATTTCAAGAGAAGTTTCTTGTCTGCAGTGCCAGTGTAGATGCGTTAAATTAGGTGAGAAGGACCTACAACGGTATGCTGCGGAGCCTTGGCGACGTCAATCCGTGGCTGGTAACCAGCATGCAACCATCGCGACGAAGAGATACGCTAGTCGGAGAAAGTCGCTGCGAAACGGCAGCGAATGTCGCAAAAGCTGACGCGGATGGAACGGAGAGGGAAGCAGCAAGCGCCATTGAGAAAAGGCGTACCGCGAAGCGACGCTACTACCTGCGAGAAGGTGTTTCCCAGGTGAACAAGAAAAATTACTGATGACTGAAAGTTGTAGGCATGCTGCAGCGTCGGCACGACAAATGTTTGTACTCGTTATGCGCACATTCTGCAACTTTTGCAGCTGTTTTACACTGCAGTTAATATAACTCGATCAAGCTCATCAGCATTTCAAGCGGCACAATCTCCTTATAGCGCTACTGTCAACAGCACAAACGCAATGAGATATTGCTACAATTGCAACAATTGCTAGTCACACCTGGTTGCTACAGGTGTTGAAGTAACTCTAGGTCGTGACCACCTTAAACTCTTGGTTTACTCCAACCTCTCCCACAACAGGTAACATAGCCACAACTGGTACAACCACTTCTGCTTGTTTGCCAAGTCTTTGAGTTCTCAAAGTTGCCAGCGATAGTCAGGCCAGTATGAGCATGAATTTGTACCTACATTGCGCATATCATATGTTGCGGATGAACCCAACTTTATAGCCAACACACTACTACCATCATTGAGGCTACAATCGAATCACTAATGGACAAATAACATGTCGAAAAGCCAAGCGAAAACAATTAGATTCTGCAAGCCAACCGAGTGTTTATTAGCAATCAAGCATACGGCTTGTCCTTCAGGGCCCACTCAAAGATCTGCTCGTATTGCTGCGCCGCCCGGTTCCACGACATGTCCTGAGTCATGCCCCTCAGCATCAGCCCTTGCCATGAGTCCCCATGCTCGCGGAATGTCTGAATTGCCGTCCACAAGGCCTGTGCAAAACAGTGTGCAAAATGGAAGGAGGCATGGAATAAGTAGGGCATAAAGGAAGAGGCCCAGTGAAGTCATGCATGCACCTTCGATGCATGACAAAGGTGGTGGGAACGTTGGGGAGGGGGGGGGGGAGGGGGGAGGGGGGGGGGGGTTGAGAGGAATGTGATAGATGCATGTGATCCTGAGAGCTTACACCCATCATGGCTTCCTGAGTGCGCGGTCGGAGTGGCCACCCGGTGCAGGTTTCCGCGTTCCTGTTGGCGAATAAGTTGACCTTCTCCACTGTGTCCCTGAGACCTATGAAAGGCCCTCTCACCCTTTTTTAAAGACACCTTCCCATCACCGCGAAACGACCGCCACCGGTCTAGAAAGACTCACCCCCATCATGGCTTCCTTGGTGAGGGGCGAGAACGACCACCCGGTGCCGGCTCCTGCGCCCCCGTTGGCAAACGGGTTGAAATCCTCCACTGTGTCCCTGAGCCCGCCGGTGGCGTGCACCACTGGCACCGTTCCGTACCGCATTGCATACAGCTGGTTCAAGCCACACGGCTCAAAGCGCGAGGGCATGAGCAGGATGTCGCAGCTGCCATAGAAATGGGTATCGCAGGGATGAGGGAGGGGGAGGGAAGAGGGGGAAGAGGGGGAAGAGGGGGAAGAGGGGGAAGAGGGGGAAGAGGGGGAAGAGGGGGAAGAGGGGGAAGAGGGGGAAGAGGGGAAGAGGGGAAGAGGGGGAAGAGGGGGAAGAGGGGGAAGAGGGGGAAGAGGGGGAAGAGGGGGAAGAGGGGGAAGAGGGGGAAGAGGGGGAAACGGGGTGAGAGGGGGATGAGGGGAAAGAGGGGGGAGAAAGGGTAAGAGGGGGACTAGGGGGAAGAGGGGGAAGAGCAAAAATTGTGGGAGCTTCTGTGAGAGAAACGGCTTCAAGTCGGTGGCATGAGCAGGATGGCGCAGCTGGAGAGGAAACCAGGCCGAGGGGAGGTTGGAGGGGGGGGGGAGGGAGAGGAGGAGAGGGGATTGGGAATGAGCGGGGTGTAATGTGTGTAACGGAGTGTGTGACGGAGGAGGTGAACGAGGAGGCAGTGAAGAGTGAGTTCCATTTCAGCACCAAAAAACTTACCATTTCACGATACATTCTTGCCCACCAGTCATCCCAACCGTCCATCCATCACCTCTCTTCCCGAGTCCTGACCCGAAAGAAATCTCAGCCATCCATTCATCATCTCAACCTTGCCCCGTCCATCGTCTCAACCGTGATTCTGTGCGCCATGGGCACGGAGAAGCCCACCCAGCCTATGAACTCCAATCTGCACTGATCTCAGCCGTCCATCCACCGTCTTGACCCAGATTTCAACTAATCTCAGCCATTCAGAAGCTCAGAACCACCCTGCACGCATCACAGCCTTACCCAGCTGTGATCCTGTGCGCCATGGGCACGGAGAAGCCCACCCAGCCCCTGAACTTGTCCGGGTATGCGCCCTCCGCCCATGTCATCCACGCCTCTAGGTCCGTGTCGCCGCTGCCCAGCATCACCTGGAGGGAGAAGAGAGAAGAGGGACGAGGGATCAATAGGAGAAGCCCACCCGGCCTCCGGACTTGTCCTCGTGCGCCCCTTCACCCCGTTTCATCCATGCCTCTAGGTCCGCATCGCCGCTGCCCAGCATCACCTGAGGCAGAAGGGGGATTGAAGGAAGAGGGATGAAGGAGGGAGGAAGGAGAGGGGAAGGAGGGAGGAAGGCGAGAGGAAGGAGGGAGGAAGGAGGGTGGGAGGAGGAGGGAGGAGGGAGGAGGGAGCATGAAGTGGGATTAAACAGGCTGACAGTCGTTACAGAGGATGACTTTTGAGTCGACTCAAAAGTCACGTCGTTACAGAGGATTGTACAACAAGAAACCAAAACACACCCTCAACCCCTCCCCAAACCCCATCCCAACAATGCACCATGGATTAAGCAACACCATATGATACAGACTTACAAACTGCACATTGTCAGACATGAGCTCCGGCAGTGATGCTTGGATCACATCCGGGCCCTTCTGCCAGTCCAGACGGCCAATGAAGCCGATCTGCAGGGAGACACGGAGAGAGAAACAGAGGGTCGAGAGGGGGAAAGGAGGGAGAGGGGCAAACCAGAGTCGACTCAGAAGGGAAGGCAGCGCTGCTTGAATCACATCCAAGTCCTTCCGCCAGTCTAGAGGACCGATGAAGCCAGTCTGAAGGGGGGAGAGTGAGGGAGAGTGAGGGTGAGCGAGAGAGACAAGGGGAATCCCACAGTCAACTACAAAGTCTTGGGCCAATCACGAAAGGCACATAAGGAACGCACTGCCAGGCCCAGCTGCTTATGCAGGGCTGCATTGCGCTCCGCGTTTTCTCCCAGTTTGGCGTGTGCCTGTCTCTGGCTATACTGAGATGAGAGCACCCGGCATGCATACACAAGGTAAGTACAGCACGGCAGAGGAGAGCGGATGGGGGCTGGACGGGGCTGCCATGGCTCCACTGAGAGCGGACGGGGGCTGGACGGGGCTGCCATGGCTCTACTGAGAGCGGATGGGGGCTGGACGGGGATGCCATGGCTCTACTGAGAGCGGATGGGGGCTGGACGGGGCTGCCATGGCTCTACTGAGAGCGGATGGGGGCTGGACGGGGCTGCCATGGCTCTACTGAGAGCGGACCCAGCATGCTTGAACAAGGTACAGCAAGGCAGGGCAAGACTCACCAGGGGTACTTCCGGTCGCACGGCCAGCCCCAGCTCCTTCTGCAGCGCCGCCTTGCACTCCGCCTTGCCCTCGAGGTCCTCTGCTGTGAACTGCGACGGGATGTGCTTGTCCGTGGCGGGGTTCCAGTCCACCGTGTCGATGCCGTTAGTCACGCCTGGATAGGGAGTAAAGATGGGAAGGAGGAAAGGCGGGGGGAGAGGGGGGGGTGGGGTGATGTCCATATTCTCCTCGAGGTCCTCTGCTGTGAACTGCGAGGGGATGTGCTTGTCAGTGGCGGGGTTCCAGTCAACAGTGTCGATGCCGTTGGTCACGCCTGCAGGTGCATGAGAGGGGGGGGATGGGAAGACAGCAGAGGTGTTATGGGTATTGCGTGGGGACCTGAGGACCTGTGGACCTCAGGGCCTCTCGTCTGGTAGTCTTGTTTTGAGGCGCCTCAAAACCAGGGCCTCTCCTCTGATAGCCTTGTTTTGAGGCGCCTCAAAACCAGGGCCTCTCATCTGATAGTCTTGTTTTGAGGCGCCTCAAAAACCAGGGCCTCTCCTCTGATAGCCTTGTTTTGAGGCGCCTCAAAACCAGGGCCTCTCCTCTGATAGCCTTGTTTTGAGGCGCCTCAAAACCAGGGCCTCTCATCTGATAGTCTTGTTTTGAGGCGCCTCAAAACCAGGGCCTCTCCTCTGATAGCCTTGTTTTGAGGCGCCTCAAAACCAGGGCCTCTCGTCTGATAGTCTTGTTTTGAGGCGCCTCAAAACCATCAACGAGCGCTCCCCTCCCACCCACCCCACCCCACCCACCACCATTGAGCACGATGCTTCGTCCCCTCCCTCCCACCCCCCCCGACCTACGCACCATTGAGCACGATGCTTCTTCCTCTCAGCAGACCGTCCAGCCCCCATCCGCCCTCCCCTGTTGTGATCTCCCACGCATAGCCCTGCAGGGGAGGAAAGGGTGCAGCAAGAAACGAAAGAGTGATGAAAGCGCGAGGGAGAAAACAAGGAGAACATGCACGCCCAGTGACGCCCACGCACGCCCAGAGAGCTGCGAACCACTGTTCTCTATGTCTTCTTAGCCCTGTCAACGGCTTTTCTCACCTGGCTGACAGTCAGCACACGATCAGACGTGACGCCTTGAGGATGTTGACAGCCTCGCCCTTGTCCAGGGCGTGATTCCTCGCTCACTCAGGGAACACCCACTCCAGGACCCTCTATCTATCTGTCAATGTTCTCCGTACCCTGCTTACCTGGCTGACAGAGTGACTTTTGAGTCGACTCAAATTTCACCTCAGGGAACACCCACTCCAGGACCCTCTATCTATCTGCCAATGTTCTCCCTACCCTGCTTACCTGGCTGACCGTGAGCACTCGATCAGACGTGACAATGGCTCCCTTGAGGATGTTCACAGCCTCGCCCTTGTCCAGGGAGTGTGTGCGCGTCCACTCGGGGAACACCCACTCCACTCCAAGACCCTCTGCCTATCTCCCTTCTCCCTCCCCTGCTCACCTGGCTGACTGTGAGGACCCTGTCAGAAGTGACAATCGCGCCCTTAAGAATGTTGACGGCCTCGCCCTTGTCCAGGGCGTGCTTGCGCGCCCACTCGGGGAACACCCACTCCAGCGCGCCGTACCACTCCCCAGGCACGCCCAGGCTGCCGAAGGTGTATGCGGGCTCCACGCCCTGATGCGCCAGATTGTGGATGGCAATGATGGTGCGCGCGTCCTTGTACACTCCATAGCGGCGGTACTTGGATGCCACGAGGCTGGGAGGGTACGGGGATGTGCATGGGGCACAGGGAGTGTGCATGGGGCACAGGGAGTGTGCATGGGGCACAGGGATGGGGGAAGAGGCAGAGAGTGAGGGAACGAGGGCTCCACGCCCTGGTGCGCCAGATTGTGGATGGCAATGATGGTGCCCGCATCCTTGTACACTCCATAGCGGCGGTGCTTGGACGCCACGAGGCTGTAGGGATGGGCAGAAAAGGGCGAAGGAAGTGACAGGGGAAGAGGCAGGGGAAGAGGCAGGGGGGAGGATTCAGGATGGGCAACAACGGGCTCCACTCCTTGATTTTGCAGGGTGCTCTTGAGAATTCTCAAAAATACGATGGGCAACAGCGGGCTCCACCCCTCGGTGCGCTTGGTTGTGAATGGCGATGACAGCGTGACGGACTGTGTATACCCTGCAGGAGCAAACACCACCTCTTCCCCATAGGTGAAGCCCTTTTGGCCACTAAGAGCTCTTGGAGGCATGCACCACTTTCCCCCCTAGGCTAACCACTCACACAGGGACGAGTCCAGTGTGCCAGGCGTAGGCGACGAACACCACCTTCTCGCCGTAGGTGAATCCGTATCAGCCAGTAGCACTTAGACACGCACGCTCCCTCTTCCCCACGCTCACTCCCCCATCCTTGTCACTTACACAGGGACGAGTCCAGCATGCCAGTCGTTGGCGACGAACACCACCTTCTCGCCGTACGTGAACCCGCCAAAGGGCAGCACAAGGGGCGCCTCGCACGCTGCATGGCACAGCAGGGCGAAACGGAACTGTGGCGGAGAGGGGGAGAAAGGAGGGGGTAGGGTGGGAGAGGGTGGAAGAAGTTTGGTGAAGGATGAGCGTCAATTGTGTTAAGAAGAATTGTGCGCCTCACGTAAATCCTCCCCTCCCAACCACATCTCACCGCACCTAACCACTCCCATCCCCCACTGCTCTCCATCCCACCTCACTGCTCCCCATCCCAGCCCACCATTGGCAACCCACCTGTTTGTTGCCGAATGCTCCCCTGGAGTCATCATAGGGCGAGCCAGGGCGATGGTAGGACGGATGGTCCACAAACTCTAGGCACACAGCACATCACCACTCCCAAACCCCTCTCACCACACCACACCTCACCACTCCCCCCTCACCTGATTGTCGCCGAATGCTCCCCTGGAGTCACCATAGGGCGTGCCAGGGCGATGGTAGGACGGATGGTCCACAAACACCTGACATCACGTGGCATAGGTGGGGTTGGAAGGGCAAGGGGGTTGTGGGGGGGGCGGGAGGGGGGGAGGGAGGAAAGCGAATGAGAGCCAGGCGTGGCGTGGGTGCAGCACGAGAACGCCTAGAATGTGAACTGAGGTGCCTCAAAAGGGACTAATGGCCGCTGAGAAGAAGAATACCTGCTCTCTTTCCGTTTAAGTGAGGCCCCGGCCCGCGACTGAAAATATCATGCCCCTCTCTCTCAAAAAACCCCAGTTTCACCATCCAAGACTTGGAGATTTCTGAGTCGACCCAATGTGATTTTTGAGTCGACTCAAAACCACCTCTCTCAAAAGCTCCCCAGTTTCATCATTCAAGACTCCCCATAGAACTAGGAGGGGAGTCCAGCCCGCCAAGCCACTGTCTAACTTACTCAGTAAACTCTGTCACGGAACGCATGACAGAAGGCCACCTCGCGCTCGCCCTCCAAGACACCTTGTCGCGGCCACCTTGTCGCGGCCACCTTGTCGCGGCCACCTTGTCGCGGCCACCTTGTCGCGGCCACCTTGTCGCGGCCACCTTGTCGCGGGCACGACATACACCACCAAATGACACCCACGAACGCCCACACCCCCGTCTGGACTCACGAAGGCGTGAGCTCCGTTCCTGAGCTCGTGGAAGAAGGCCACCTCGTGCTCGAGCACACCTTATAACAGGCACGAAACACACCACCAAACAACTCCCACGAACGCCCACCCAACCCCCTCTGGACTTACGAAGTCAACTCCATCACGGAACTCGTGGAAGAAGGCCACCTCGTGCTCGCCCTCGTAGAGGAAGCACTTGATGCGACACTGCAGGCCGACAGGATACAGGCACATAAGGGGCGTGGAGAGGGGTGGAGAGGGGTGTAGAGGGGTTAAGATTCATTAGTGAACTCGTGGGAGAAGGCCACATTGTGCTCGCGCTCGAAAGGGAGCACTTGATGCGTCACTGGGACCCACGGGGGTATAGATTGAGAGGGACGCGAAGAGGGTTTAAGAGGGGTGAAGAGAGGTGGAGAGTGGTGAATAAACACGTGGGAGAAGGTCACTTCGTGCTCGCCTTCGAAGAAGAACAACTTGATGCGACACTGTTGGAACGGGAAATAAAGAGAGGCTGCGCGATGTTTTTAGATTAGAACATGGTTACCAGCAAGTGGTTTATTGGTTACATGCAGCTATATGTGCTTACATGTTACCGAGCAGTCAAAAGCACCAGCAGAGAGCTTGTCCATGGCCCCCGTCATGTCCAGAACTACTTGGTAACTCGGTTACTCGGTTCTTTGGTTATGCGGTTACTCGGCTCTTTGGCTACGCAGTTACTCGGTTCTTTGGTTACTCGGTTACTGGCAGTGAGCTTGTCCGTGACGCCATTTTCCAGAATTGCATGATTGCGCGTATGCGGCTACTCGATTCTCATGTCTGACTCACCTTTCAGTCAAACGCGCCAGCATAGAGATTGACTGTATCACTGCTCACGGTTACAGATACTTGGGGCTACTCGGCTACACATACCTGGCAATCGAATGCGCCAGCATAGAGCTTGTCCGTGACCCCATTCGTGCTCAGAGCCACATGGTTGCACGCACGCGGTTACTCGGGTTACTCGGTTATTCATGGTCGACTCACCTGGCAGTCGAACGCGCCAGCATAGAGCTTGTCCGTAACGCCATTCATGTACCGAGGCGCCACCACCATCACACGATGGCCACGTGCCGCCAGAGCCAACGGGAGCGAGCCTGTGACGTCAGCAAGGCCTCCAGTCTTGGAGTAAGGCGCCACCTCAGATGCCACGAAGACAATGCTGATTGGTGGAAGAAGGAGAGGGACGGAGGGCGGGTTGGGCGGAAGAGGAGGAGGCGGAAGGGGGGTTTGAGAGAGAATGGGGAGGAGGGAGGAGGGGTCTGGAATCTCGTGTCCGGTCCAGAGCGTTTCGTAATTAGAATATCCTCGATCCCGACGAACTTACATTTCAAGGCCTCAGACTATGCAATGGTGAAACTTATGGGTTCATCATAAGGTTAGAGGCGCCTAGAAGAGCTCGCGCTCAGCTCCATTGCTTCGCTAAAGCCCTCCGCTCATCTGATCGGGTTCTCGCTCTTCTTGGCGCTTTTCCTGTCCCTCTCCCCGAAAAAGCTCGGCTCAACTCCCATTGCTTCGCTATAAGCCCTCCCGCTTACCTGATGGGGTTCTCGGTCTTCTTAATGGCGCCATCGCTGCCCTCGGCCGAGGTCTTGGCGCTCTCCCTGTCCCTCTCCAGCTCCGCGTTGCGCTGCGACGCTGACGCTGCGTCGCTGACTGACTCTGCCATAGGGGACAGGGCAATGCAAGGGAACAGGACAATGCAAGGGAACGTGGCGTGGCGACACTTGAGACGCCTTAGAACTCTGCTTGCCCCTCTCCAGCTCTATGGTCCTCGACGCTGCGTCGTTCGGTGTTCCTGCGAAGACGAAAGAAGGACGATGAGCAACCCATGGGCCGACGGGAGGTTTCTCATCGTCCTTCTTCCCCCCTTCGGCATTGGCGCAGAACGCGACGAGGTAAAAGAGGACTAGCGTGGCGAGGGTTTTTGAGTCGACTCAAAAATCGACTCATTGCACACGCGACGAGGTAAAAGAGGACTAGCGTGGCGAGGGAGAATCGAAGAACACTACGGAACGACAGAAGAAGAAAAATGCATTTCCAGCCGACCTCTTGAAAAATACAGATTTAATTTGTCGCTTGAAGCACAATGAAGCCCGCTGCCGTGCAAACCTACCCGCAGGAGCGGCGGCTGCCGTTGGCTTCTTCTTTCCAGCAGGAGCAGCAGGGGATGGACGATGAAAGTCTTTTGAGAATTCTAAATAATCTCAGCAGGAGCAGCAGGGGATGGACGATGAAAGTCTACTGTTGAGGCGCCACAAAGCCTGTCGTGCTACTTACCGGCAGGAGCGGCGGCTGCCTTTGACTTCTTCTCCCGAACAGGAGCAGCAGGGGATGGCGACGGGGAAGGAGGCGCCACAGCAGGAGCACCACCCGTCGAAGGCGACGCGGCGATAACCGCTGCGACGTCAGGCGGCGGAGCGGACGGGGCCACAGCTCCGGCGCGGGGCCTGGTGACGTCAACCTCCGACTTGCGCTCCTCCGCAGCTTGCGCCGCTTGCGCGGACGCCGCCGCCGTTGCCACCGCGACCTTCCGCTTGAGCTCCTCGTTCTCCTCGGCGATTCTCCTCAGCGTCGCCTCGAGATCCTCCGGATCTGTCGACACCAATACGTAATCTTCGGGATAGTCGTTGGATACGGTCCATGCTCCCGCGTCCTCGTTCGGACCCTCCGACGAGGAAGCCTGCGCTGATGCTTTTAGGGAGAAGGGTCTCGGTTTGGAGCGGTTGGTTCTGGTGCTGAGAGCGAAGGAAGCGGAGCGGGAGTTGTTGCGTGCGACGTGCAAAGGCTTGGCGGCGACGGAGCGAAGTTGCGATGAGATTGAAACGCTCGCAGCGTTCGCTAACGACGCCATGCTGCGTAGATTCACGGTCAGCGAAGCACTGGTAAAGGCGGAAAAGATTGCTTATTTTCGGTGGAAAAGAATCACCGAATAAAGCCGGTCGCCGATTAAGATTTAATGCAGCTGCCGCAACTCGCTTACAGTAAAAGGTAGACTGCAGGCCTGCACGACCAAACGCGTCAGACTTACTACCGAGAAAATGGCTAGGATGGCGTGGTCTGGATGGAGGAAATGCTGCTGCTTTCACCTTGGCTTGGGAAGACGGGAGATATTCTCGAGGATTGAAAATGTGAGGACAGGGGATGAAGGGAAGGGGATTCGTGAGGTCAGAGTGCTTCCCTCGGGAATGGCGAGGCGAGGTCGGTGCTCCAGCCCCGCGACGCGACTGGGATTTTCCCTTCGGTTGTGCTGTCTGTCTGCTGCTGGTTCGTCTGGCTGACAGTGGGGTTACAGTATCCCTTGCGTGCCTTTCATTCGCTAGTGGCTCTGTGGCGTTGAGTGGAACTCTCGGGATATTTCGTGCGTCTCGCGACGGAAATGTTTGTGGTCCCTGCAGGACAGCCATTAGATCTTGGAGATCAGGCTGGCGACGGGTGACATGTCAGAACACCTGCACACCTGGCAACTCCAAGATCCCAAATGCCATGGTGGAGCGACACATATACTACCGGTGAGCCATTGGTGAGCTTTCGTGGTCAAAGGCAGTGCCACCTGAGCCCGTAAGGCAGGTCGGACCTCCATCTCAGTAATAGTCGCTAGGTTTAGAGAAATTGTGTTCGCATGTCAGTATCTGGAGTCTTAGGAGCAAATGCAAATAATAATTTTTCGCTGAAGTTAAACAAACAGGGAGACTGTACAATGGGAATTACCTACAATTGCAGCCTAAGCTCTGGCTCTGAGGCTGGCTGAGGTTGAAACTGCTCAGACTGATTATGCTGCTGCTGCTGTCCATGGTTAATCTCCCACGCAGACAATTTTTTATTTAATTGAAGCTCTGCGAGCTCCTTGTTTTTCTGAGCCTGCACCAGAAGCTGAAATGCTTGCTGCTGCTGCTGCTGTGGTGAAAGCCAGCTCTGTGGAAAGTGTTGGTCTGGAGTATCTTGCTGTGCTTGAGTATGCTGTTGTTGTCGCTGCTGCTGTTGCGGTTGCTGCTGCTGTTGCGGTCGCTGCTGCTGTTGCGGTTGCTTCTGCTGCTGCTGCTCTCCCTCTTGCTGCTGAGCACCATTCTGCATTTGCCGCTTCTGCAGGAGAGATGCTTGATGCTGCCGGAGAAGCAGTTGCTGCCGCTGTTGCTGCAATAGCTGCTGCTGCTGCTGTTGCTGCTGATGTAACAGCTGTTGCTGCTGTGCCTGTCTCTGCTGCTGCAATTGTTGCTGCTGCTGCAAAAGCTGTAGCTGCTTCTGCCTCTGCTGCTGCTGCTGCTCGGCTAGCTTCAGCTGCTGCTGCTGCTGCCGCTGCTGTTGAAGACTGGGTGGGGATCGAGGATCCTGCTGCTTCGCCATGGCACTTATCATGCTTGCCATGTTGGCAAAAGAAGCAGCTGTGGCTGAACCGTCTACGTCAGCAGCAGTAACACCAGCAGGTAGAGCAGCAGTTGACGAGGTAGGGCTGGAAATAGCTGAGGCTGCAGCAGCTGCTGCACTAAATGCAGCAGAAGAGAAGGACGACCCGGCAGGATTGTTGTGAAGGCCATGGTGGGCCTTCAGCTTGTCAAGGGCAGCCATCATGCTACGAGCAGCTGATGAAGAGGTATGTCTCAGGGAAGACATAGCCGGACTGATTCCCTGCTGCTGCTGCGTCTGCAATACATCAGCCAGTGTCAAATTAGACACGTTGCCCGTGGCAGTTGCAGGAGTCCGAGCTTTAAGGGACCCATATGGGGACGCGTATACTGCTTTCTGCTGCTGGGATGAAAGCTCAGCAAGCCATGCATTGCCTGGAAGGCCACCTGGCCAAGACCCCTGTGACACAGAGGCGGCTAGGCCCTGAGCAGCTTGGTTGAGGGTTGCTGAAGCCTGGACTCCACTGCCATCTCCCATAGAAGCAACCTTTCCTGAGTTCAGCGGGCTCCCCAAAAGACCATCAAGCTTCCCAGCCTCAAGAGCGGCCCAAAGCGGGCTGTTCTTGACAGAGTTGAAGCCGTTCTGAGATAGCCCTGCACGATTCTCTTCCACCATCCTGTTCAATTGATCCGCAGCGTTCCTCTCTCCAGGATCAGAGGACGACGTTGAACCAGCCCTTGCTGGAGATGATAAACCACCAAGCCGTTGCAGCGGATTCAAACCCTGCACCCCAGAAGTGCCTGCAGTGACTGCAGCAGCACCAACGGATGAAGCTGGAGCATTTTGCGCCCAGAAAGCGCTTAAAGCCCCCATCAGGGCAGAATTGAGAGGCTTCATGGGAGTTTCAGGATCAGCAGTGCCTTGCGGTGCATAGCTGCTCGACTGCAGAGGCTGAGCAGAAAGGCTTGCCTGGGCCTGTCTAGCACGGTTCGCAGCCTGCAGAGCAGCAACAGTTGAAGCACTCATGGCCAGAATGCTGCTCTGATCAACGTGGTCAGCAGCTGCTCCGCAGGAACCCAACAACGACTGGATAGCAGCATTGCTTAGACTGATGGATGCGGCTTTGGAAGGACTTTCTGCAGACACACCAACAGGCTCTCTAGAGGCCTCTCCTGCCGAGAACGATGGAACTAGGGCTGCTGTAGGTGGAGGGGACGAAAAGCCTGCTCCAGGCCTGCTTGCACCGTTAAACCAGTGTGGCATGTGGAGCATGCCAGATGGTCGTCTAGCTTCCTTGGGTCCATGGACAGACTCTGATGCTGACGACACAGGAGCCCCACCACTAACGGACTTGGAGTGGGTATTTTCAATAGGAACAGCTGACACAGCCTCCATGGCACACACTTGCAACTTGGTCAGTGATTCAGGTTTCCCGACACCTTTGGCAGGCTTCGCAGAAGCCTTGGCAGCAGGCCTTGCAGGTTGCTTTGCAGCTCTCTTAACGTCATCCACGCCGACAACAGGGATCTCTTCCTTCTGGCCTGTCAGCACACTCCTCTCAACACCCCCCTCAAATTTCAGTAACTGCAGGGACTGTAGGGGGTCGTCCTGGCCAATCCATCCCCTACCAGAAGGAACTTCAGGAGGGAGGGTCTGTTTGACGTTCTCTGCAGCGACCTCCCAGACCAGCGAGCCAAGGGGCGATGAGAAGCGAGCTAAACTGTGGGCATAACCGAGGGGATCTTGTTCAGCCTGCAAGTATGGCGATGCCAATACATCAATTCCTTCACGTCATCAGAAAAAGCGACAGAAAAATAATCAACGTAGCCATAGTGCTTACAGGATAGCACAGGCCGAAGCTCTCCGGCACTACACTCTTGCTTGTCTGACAAGTCCTTGACTGCCGCCAGGATCGGAAGGACATGTGCTTTCCCCCACTAGGGGATGTTGCTCTACGGCAGACCTTGTAATTCTTCAATCGGGACACTGGCAAAACAAAGGGAGAGGGCGTTAATACCATAGACTTTAACATATACACGATCAATAGAACCATGTAGGCAAACGCACCCTTGTTAGAAAACTCGTCGACTCCTGGGAAACTTGCTTTAGGCTGGCTCTGACTTGTCACTAGTTCCACTTTGTCGAAAGACTTCTTTCCTGAAATCTCCTCTGCAGGCTTCGAATGCATAGCGTCCTCTGATAGTGATAACTCCGATCGCTCCTCCAGACCGAACATCAATCGATCTTGCTTGCCTTGACCCAGCATAGCGTCGTTCTCCTTGCTCTGGCCCAAAAAAACCCGACCTGCGAAAGGGGAAACAGAGGAATTAGCAGGCATCACCACAGCAAGGCGACGGTGTGACGCGCATTAAACCTACCAGACTGAGTGTCCTTCCGAACAGGATCAGGTATAGGTATCCTTTTTGGACGGCCGGGTTGACCTCTTCCCCTTCCACGTCCTCGAGACCCTCTTCCAAGTCCAGACCTGGGATAAACCTCGTTGGAACCAGCCAACTTCGCGGTTGGAAAAAGCCTCTGCGCGATTCCTTGCATAGCCTTAGCCTGCTTGAAATATATTGTCCCGTCCGCGTTGTAGATCATGGCATTCTTCCAGATCAGGGACACATCATCCTGCAAGAAGAAAAACACGAAAAAAAATAAAACAAAGATACACCCTCATAGGACGACATATCCAACAAAGTTGAACCACCGGGCAGGCACCACACCTACCTCAAATTGGCTCCATGATGAATAGTACTTCTTAGCCACTCTTTCTCTTAAGGTGCCAAAATCCATGGGTTTCGAAATGACGTCAAAATAGTCCGGAACCTGTTCGGAACAAGAAGGAATATTTAGTGAACAAGCTGTAAAAAAAAAGGAATCATGACAACGATATGACAAGAATAGCGTACCTCAAGCGGATTCACAGGAACGGAGAACACGCCATAGACGTCCTTCCTGCGATCAGAAAGTCATGTGGTAACCCTTGAAGCACAAGATAAAAGGAACCACGACATTTTTTAAACGTTACAAAACCGGAAACAGAACCACCTCGCTCCACTCACTTTTGTAACTTGTCCAAGATCTCACACAAAACTTTTTCTGGCAAGGGTTTCCTCGTGTCTGCTTCACAATTGGCACCTGCAAAAAGAACCACCACCAAGCTCAGAACCTCATCCCTTGAACCGGAAACACATCTTCTTTCCGCAAGTCAACCACAAGAATTACCTCGATGTGAGACAGATGTCTTCTTTCCGCTACCAAATGATGTCTGCTCCGACGGCCTGGAGTCAGTAATTCCGCTGTCCGAAAACTGCAATCATCAAGAAATTCCATCAACACCAAAACACGCACAGAAAGGTTCAGAATCTACACAAGTGAAGCTGACCTGTCGTTTTCTCTTTGACGAAAAAATAGGATGCGCTACCGTTTCATCAACAGGCGGTGATGCCCCTTCGGAGTCAGGCTTTGGAGGCGACGGGATCACTAGACTATGCTCCTCGCTTATTGCCTTCGTGCGCTGTCTCTTGGGCTTGGGGACTGAAGGGTCTGACGTCTCCTGCGCCTTCCAAGCCCGAGATGGAGAGGTCTCCAAGGAAGATCGCTTATGTATTTTCAGAATAACCCGGAGATGGCTGTCATCCATGGTCGATTACGTTGTTGCATATACGACACCGATATGCTGCCCAGCAACAACACATATTGGCATGTAACCCAAACAAAGGGCCAACAGGAGTTGAGGACACAAGAAACAAGGTTCCCATGGCGACAAACTAGCACAGGAACCCTAAAAGCTCGTAGATCTGGCTGATGAATCAGACGCGCATTTGGAAGTGGAGAACAATGCACAGATCACCAGAACGCTCAGGACACGGTTTCTCATAAGAACGGAAACAAGTCGCATGTTCTAACGACTTCCGACGGCTGACTCTCCGCGACCACCCACAAGGAAAGACCAGACAACGAAGCCAGACTGCATGGCATAGTCAAAAGGTACTGCGGATAGGGCTATGGTGGGGTGCGTGCGTACCAGGCGTGATTCGCGCCAACGCTGAGGGGAGATGGGGAGGAACGACTGGACGGAGGGCTGTGCTTGAGGGTAAAGGGAACCCTGGCTGGAAAGGTCCCACTTGGGTACGTCTCGGAGGCTCAAGTTTGGTGAGCTCGAAACCCTAGGTTGTTCGTTTTCTCTGCCCGCGATTCGTTACAGTAATTTCACGTTCGTCGCCTAGAGGCAAGGTCGAAACAGTTCTGCAGACGTCAGCTTGGATGTTGGGGGGTGAGGTGTCCGATGAATCCTCCCACATGCAGCCACCCAGTGCCAAGCCATGTGTCCAAGGATGAGTGGAAGCGTAATCAGCTTGTCCAATAAAAAACTGGAACACGACGTCCTGCTGGGCAGCCATCGCTGGACAGTGGGAAAGCCGAGACAGCAACAGCAACCCGCCAGGGCCATCCTCATGACGGCTAGCGTCTGAAGGCCCGTCTCTGTTACCCCCTGCTGTTCCAGACATTTTTGTGCTGCCCAGCCCAGACAGCTTTTCCAACACCACCGCGCACTGCAAGGTTCCCTCCCTCCCGTCAGTCCGTCTCCGTCATCTTGACAGTTCTTCCGTCCGCTGCCCCCTGCCATCCAGCAGGGCTTCCCCTCCACTCGTCCCTTCCATTGCAGCTGCAGTTGGTCACCGAGTTCCGTTTCTGTTCTGACCCAAACGGTAACGCTCCAGCAGTGACTGACGGACGGAAGGTGATTGACGGGGGGTTTCACGGCTCGCTAACTCCGAAGCTCCGAACCGAACCAAACCAATAGACCGCTTCGGTTCGTGTCGCCTGGCTGGAACTCGAGTCGCGTTTCGGAACCAGGCACCCTTTTCGAGAATGTACAACACAACACGTGGATAAATGCTTGTCCAACGTGTAGGCCGAATTTATGTGGTCCGCAGTGGCTCTGGCCTCGTTCAGTCTGTGTTCCAATAAAACTTAACAATAGAACTTACCTCGTTTAAGTAGCCATTTCACGCGAATCCAGGTTCTGCGAGTTTATTCGCAATTCACGACGTTTGAGAGGATAGCTTGGCGTTAACTGCCATGGGATGTTCATTCTCAAAGCCGGCGGTAAAAGGCGACACTAGCACGAAGCACGTGACAAAGCTTTCGTCGCCGAAGAAACCGAAACCGCCGCCGATTTCAACACCTTCCGACGCTTCTGGCCGCTTAAAGCTTCCGATTCACCTGACACCGAAATGGCAAGCCAAGCCGGGAGAGCAACCACACGTAAGAGCAGACATATTCTCTCAGTGCTTGTGCACAAGCGCAGAAGCTGTGAAGGTAGACGAAGGTGATGACAACGAAGCGGAGGATGCTAATGATAAGGCCAATCAGAAGGCTACGGAAGAGGAGGCTAATGATAAGGCCAATCAGAAGGCTACGGAAGAGGAGGCGGTCAATGTTAAGGGCAATCACAAGGCTAACAAGGAGGCGAATGAGAAGACGTCGGGAGCCGGACCGAATGCAGCTATAGATGTGTCAGCTGTAGCAGCAGCAGCCGACCCCTTGACTGAAGCAAACGCGCGCGACGCCACTTGGTCCCCGGATATTCCATCCAGGGATCAGGAGAATGGACACAGCACATCAAAAGCAGCGGAATCAGAAGCCAGCAAATGTTCTCCGCCTGACGCTGAAGGGGGGAGTCCGGCAGTTTTGAATCCCGAAAACGACACGGTAGAAAGTTCAGTGGTGGTGGCCGATCCTCAGAACGAAAGTGGCGTTGCTGACCGAACGGAAAAGTCTCGAGACCGAACGGACGAGGCGGGGTTGGAGGAAAGCGAGACGACGGATCCACCTTCACACGAGGCAGATTCGGGTGCGCATGAGACAGACGAGGCAGGCTCGGTTGCACGTCAGGCAGACTCGTTTGCTCCTGAGACAGACTCGGTTGCGCGTGAGCCGTTTAAGAAGCATCGGAAGTTGAGCGTTGAGCTGCCTCCGCTGGTGACGGACGAGGATGTGATCGCGGACGGCGACGGCGATGGCGTGGCTGAGCCCATCGACGTGCAGACGATCCTGATGGACCTGGCGGATGACGAGGAGGAGGAGGAGGACGACGAGGAGGAGGAGGAGGAGGAGGAGGAGGAGGAGGCGGATGAAGACGAGGAGGAAGGGGATGAGAAACGGCAGCAGCAGCAACCTCAGGATCAGCAGCAGCACGAGCAGCGGCAGGAGCAGCAGCACGAGCAGCACGACGAGCAACCGCAGCAGGAGCAAGAACAGGAGAAGCAGAGGCACCAACCCATAGACAGAGCTGATGAGGCGTTGGAGTCTGAGCAAGGAAGGGTTTCCGACGACTCCAGCGTGACTAGTGCTCCTCATCCCAGGGACCTTCCAGCGCGGATGGCGAGTATCACCCGTGCTGGTGATTCTGAAGCTGATGCTACGGGCATCCATATAACCGGAGACCGTGCTTCTAGTGTGGCGGGGCAGACGGTGCAGGGTGTTAATTCTGAGAGCATTGACGATAAGGAGGTGGAGGACGTGTTGAGAATGCTGGAGGAGGGGACACATGACGAGCTTCACATGGCTGACAAGTATGACATGGCTGACAAGTATGACATGGCTGACAAGTATGACATGGCTGACAAGAATGACATGGATGACAGGGATGGCGGAACTGGTAGGGAGTTCTTAGCAACGGATGTGTCGGCTGATGACAAGCTTCACACAGCTGACAGGATTGACGGAGCTGACAGACTTAACAGGCCTGGCAGGGCTGCGAAAGCTGACTTTGCTGGCAACGTTAAGGCCGATACTGTGAATACGAGCACGGCTGTCCAAGCAGAGCAATTGGGACTGACAGATGACAAATTTGGAGAGGCAGACCAGAGGGGCCCGGCAGAGAGGGAGAGAAACAGCAGCAATGAGCAGGCGGGCCAAAGTGGCACTACAGAGAAGGGGGGAGACAGCAGCAATGAGGCAGGTGGGGAATGGGGAGGGCTTGAGTCGATGTTTGACCCGGATGTGCTGGCGAGCTTTGAAGAGGACCTGAGGCGGGAGTGGGAGTACAGAGTGGCGCTGGCGGAGCTGGTGGAGCAGCAGGAGGAGGAGATGGACCGAGAGGCGCAGCGGCGGCTGCAGGCGGACGCAAGTGAGGTGCAGGATGCGCAGGATGGGGTGCGTCAACAGCACGAGCAGCATCAACAGCACGATGTGGTGCAAGGGCTGGACGCGGAAGGGGTGAAGGAGGATCAGTGGCAGCAGGGGCAGCAGAAGCAGGCGCAGCAGCTAGACTCAGGAAGGGCAAGACCTCTTGTTGTGGGGGGTCCAGGAAGGACTAGATCAGGCATGAGCGTGACTTCAGACGGCGCTATCATCATCGACGGGTTGGAGGACTTCCTCATGGTAGAAGCTGAGGAGGAAGAGAGGGATTTTCTGCAGCAGCAGCAGCAGCCGCAGCAGCAACAGCAGCAGGGTATCAAGTCTGACAACAATGGAGAATCAGCGCAGGTCCATACACCAGTCAGGACGGCATTTGAAGCAGAATACGGGGTAGATGAGGCGTTGGAAGGGGGATTCGAGGCGGACTCCCTGTTTGATCCGGAGCTCCTGGCCACCATGGAGGCGGTTTTCCACAGGCACGATCCCAACGACTGGCGCCGTCTCACTCCCTTGTCTAGCCCCATGCGCCACGGGCCTGGCTCCCCAGCACCCTACTCCCCTGCGCCCAACTCCCCCGCAGCTGCTCTCTTCGCTCCGGGCTCTCCTGCTGCTGCGGTCGACGCCATGGCTGCAGCTGTGGGCAGGATGAAAATTCCGGTTCGGGCTGGGCAGAGCCCAAGAAGAGGCAAGCCGCCGTTGCAGAGCCCAAGAACCCGGTTGACCAGCCCTCGGCCACATGCTCCAAGCCCACGCAGGTCTTTCAGTGGTATGAGTCCCCGCAGGGGGACAACGGGTGAGGCCCTGGGTGAGGCTCCTCGCAGGGGGACAACGGGTGAGAGTCTGCGCACTGCTGTGGGGAGAGACGGGCAGAGGCTGGGACATGTGGGAGGCTCGGGGCGGGGCTGGCTGATGCCAGAGCTGGTGAGATCCGGGAGTGGAGGTGCTGTGGCCTTGGCAGGTATGGTGACCCCTGAGTGGAGAAACACAGAAATGGCTGGGCAGGGCTTGCAAGGAGCGGGGGGGAAGGAAACAGGCAGTGTGGAGAGGGTTGTGGATGGAGTGGCTCAGACTGTGGCTCCAGCTGAGACACTTGGTCCAGTTGACTCGGCTGTTCTTGAGAGAGCACATGCAAGCGAGGCTGGATCAATGGAAGGGGGAGCAGGACTTGAAGCAGCTGATGTGGCAATAACTGGCAGTAGAGGCGAGTTTTCTGCTGTGGTGGAGGGGGGGCGAGTGGGGCAGTCTGGAGACCCCAAGGTGGTGGGTAATGCCGAGGCTGTGTGTGCGGTTATGAGGGCGCCAAAGGGGAGTGGGAGCATTTTGCTAGAGAGCTTTCCAATGAACTGCCCACCAGGAGGGGACGGGAAAGTGGTTCTGTACATGACAACGCTCCGGGCAGTGAGCGAAACTTTTGACGACTGTATGCGAGTGCGACTTGTTCTCAGGGTGAGTAACCCATCAGTTGCTGGCTTGCTTTCAGCTTCCCCTGCTTGTTCCATCTCTGCTTGTTGAAGGATGCTGATTCTTCAGTGCTTTTTTTCCTATCATTGCAGGCGATTGGAGTTGTGTTCGAAGAGCGCGATGTATCCATGCGGGTTCACTTTCGTCAAGAATTGAAAACACTCATGGGAAGTGCATCCTTGTCAGTGCCGCATCTCTTTGTCCGTGGCCGCTACATTGGAGGAGCCGATGATATTCAACAGCTTCATGATCAAGGCCTCCTTGTCTCGATGTTAGAAGGGCTCCCAATCAACGTTTCAGCTAAAGGCATGTCCGTAAGTAGGCGTTTGGTGCAATGATTACACAGCTTGTTAGCAAAACAATGGCTTGTGCAGCCACCGTGTGCATAGGGTTTTTTGTGTTTCGTTTAATGATTGAAAGTAGGGTTTGCCTTGGATTATTACTTGTAAGCAGTTTTGAATAAAAGGCGCTTGACCCACTCACCATTGGACGGGAGTCAGAAATTCAACTTTTCGCGTTTTGCCGCTCATTTTTTGTCCAAGCGACGCGACCTTCCCCGCCAGTTGCCCCTGCCCTGTCACCAATTCCTCTGTCGGAGAAACCAAGGTTGCCCGCCGCCAACGCAAAACCCCCTCAAACAGAGTGTGTCTGTACAGCTGCAACCAATCAACTTTTCTCCCCCTGCCAAGTCCGAATCCGAGCGCGCAATCCGTCGGTGCCTGCCTGGCCTTCTCGCAGCAAGCCGTTGTAGAATCTGGCTAATCAGATACCTTTGAGACAGAATGGGACGAATTATGGCAGCAGAGGCTCCGTCAAGGCAGGCGTGAACCTTGCCAAGTGGTCGCTTGCGCCTCGGCCAAGCTCCATCTTCTTCTCATAGAGTTAGCAGCTCTCTGCATTGTAACTCTAGATCGTGAATGCTCCTGCATGCTTTCTTCTAAGGGATCCTAGGTGTTGTGAGGTTCATACAAGGCGAACTGCGACTTGGTTGCACCTGCGAGCATGGTTCTGACTAAATCCACTGTCAAGCAAACGAAAGCGTAGTCTTAAATAGCTTTAGCAAGCTGGAGTCTCCTGACATGACTGCGAGAGATGGTGCTGGCTCACTAAGCCATAGAGCCGTTGGCACCACGGAGCGAAACACAGGCCTTGGAAGCGACGCTTACGACGTCAGTCCGGCGTCGTTGCTAGATATCGTAAGCTTGAGGTGGCGAATGTTCCTCATGTTCCCTGGTAGCTGGCTGGGGATTAGCGAAACGCCGTTCCTGCATCTCAAGAAGCAGCTGTCCGAAATGTCTGACCATTCGCCGCTTTATCCGAAGCGGCTGTCGTTCACGCACGACTTGACACAGAGTCCACGAAGCATCAATCAGTGGATGAGCTCGCCGTCCAATCAGTCGCTTGTATGCGCTCTCCTCGTGAGCGTCCTTCTGTTCTCCATCGCCTTCGTCGTATTCCATCCCCATCCTGACACTGACAAGCTGTCTCGCGAGCCGAGGACCATCGAGATCATGGTAAATGTCATGTCGTCCCCTTACTCACGCCATGCTGTTTGTGGATATGAATGTTAACTCTAGCCTTGTCTTTTTTAAACAGAACGTGGACCTTTCATCAAACAGGAAATTCCGTGCTGCTCGTATAAGCTACGACACTTCTCAGGTGAGACGAATCAGCATTACGAACACTTCCAAATCACCGCCTGCATGATTTGCCAGGGTTCTCCTTCTCGTTCCTTTTCAAATCACACCATCCGTGTCCCTGCGTGTGTACAGTCATGGACCATTGTGGAAGGTCAGCTAACGGCCATTCTCGAAGATCGCCCCCCTGACGACGACCCTGTGGCCTTGGAAGCCCGGCAATTTCAAGAGATGGCCATTATGACGGAAGCATGAGAATTTCAAGGCGATTCTAGAAAAGCGCGCTTCACTGACGACCTTGTGGCCTTGGAGGCTCGACAATTTCGAGAGATGGCCAGTATGATGGAAGCATGAGTTGCTGCGCTTCTCCTGAAAAACGCTCTACTGACGACGACCCTATGGCCTTCCAGTGTGCTTGGCCCAAATAACTTGCGGTCAGTGCTTCTGACACGCGTTGTCTGACACCTTAGAAACTGTATGGTCACAGTAAGAATGACCATCCAGAGCGCTACTTCTTTTGTGCTTGTTCTAGTCTTGTGCTCTGTTTAGATCTACTGTCATGTCCATACTTTAGGGCACCCCACTCGTGCTGCTAACATGTGCTCCCGGTCAGTTTCATCTGTTGAATGACTTTCCCTTCGATGGCATGCCATGACTGAGTTCAGACAGACGGCTGTTAGTGACAGCTTGCTGTGATTCGGATTACATGACGAAGAAAGCCCCAAACCTTTGACCACCTACGGTATGAGCGGGATTAGCATGGTAAACATTGCATGTAGGAAAAAAAGCAGTCTCAAATCCTGAATCCACTTAGTAATGCGGATGCCATGCACAGGGATAGAGAGAGAAGTAGCTAGGCCCATGACTGAAGCTGCTAGTCTCAGAGTATAAAAGTTAACTAGAATGAGGCATACAGGTTGATTTTGTTCAAGTGGTTGTACTTGTCAAACATAAACTTAGTATGTTATTGTAGACTATATAGGTTTGTGCCTTAGAGGGTACAATACACTAGCCTATATTGCCTTGTACTCTCACATTCTAGTTCATTCTTTCAGTTTGAGATGGTAACATGAGTAGGTTAGGTCCCCTCCGCCCACCAGCGTTTCCGCCGTAGGTCCCCTAGCGGCCCCGCGGCCCCGTCCCCTAGCAGCCCCTCGGCCCCGTCGATCAATGGCCCCGCGGCCTCGTCCCCTAGCGGCCCCGCGGCCCCGTCCCCTAGCGGCCCCGCGGCCCCGTCCCCTAGCGGCCCCTCGGCCCCGTCGACCAACGGCCCCGCGACCCCGTCCCCTAGCGGCCCCGCGGCCCCGTCCCCTAGCGGCCCCGCGGCCCCGTCCCCTAGCGGCCCCGCGGCCCCGTCCCCTAGCGGCCCCTCGGCCCCGTCCCCTAGCAGCATCGCGGCCCCGTCCCCTAGCGGCTCCTTGGCCCCGTCGACTTGCGGCCCTGTCCCCGTAGCCGGCCCTGTCTCGAAGCCGGCCCTGTCCCGAAGCCGGCCCTGTCCCGAAGCCGGCCCTGTCCCGAAGCCGGCCCTGTCCCGCCGCCGGCCCGTTCCCCTAGCCGGCCCCGTCCGTTAGCCGGCCCCTGCGCCTGCCCCGTCCCCGGCCCCGCGCCCGTCCGTTCCCCGGCCCCTCGCCCGTCCGTCCCCGGCCCCCGCGCTCGCCAGTCGCCGGCCCCTGCGCCCGTCCGTCGCCGGCCCCGCGCCCGTCCGTTAGCCGGCCCACGCCCGTCCATCCCCGGCCCGAGCTCGTCTCTGCGCCAGGCTCTGACATCCGACTGCACCGCACTGTACCGCACTGCACCCCACTGCAGCGCACTGTACCGCACTGCACCGCCCTGCACCGCAGCTGCATCGCTCCTGATGGCAGACTCTGTGCTGCGGTTTGACGCGGAGGGTCAGCCGATCTAGTTCGACACGTGGCTCATCGACCTCCGCCGTTACCTCACAGGTCAGCGGCAGGACGGCCACTCCTTGGCTGTCCACCTTGATGGTACACTCCCCTGTCCTGACCCCCCCGCTCCGCTGCCCGTTGACTCCACGTCTGCTGATCAAGAGTCCGCTGCTGCTGTTGCCCTTGCCCGCTTGGTCTGGTTGTCGCGTGACGCTGTTGCACAGCTTGCCATTAGTCATGTGCTTCCCCTGTCTGAGCGTCCCCGCTTTAGGTCTATCCGGACTGCACAGGAATTCCTCGATGATGTCATTACTCGCTATTCCACCCCGTCCTCTGCCTCCGTAGGCCGCCTGATCTTGCCCCTGCTTTTCCCTGATCTCGCGTATTTCCCCACTGTCGCTGACCTAGCCGCCCACTTGCGCATGCTTGACTCGACCTGGCGCTCGGCCTGCACTGAGGCCCAGCTCTCTGTGTTTCAGCCCCCCCTCCCGCATGCCCTCTACCTGCTTGCCACCCGCCTCCCTGACCGCCTTGCCATTGCACGCGATCACTTTCTTAGTGCCCACCCCGCTCACCTCACCCTCACTGACTTTGTTGACACCCTGTCTGCCAAAGAGACCCGCCAGTGCTCTATCACTCAGTCCAGCGCTACGGTGCCAGTCTCTATCTTTCAGGGCTGTGCGCTCGCTCAGTGCACTTTCTCTGACGGCTCTGCTGCAGTGGCTGAGACGGTCGCTGTAGTGCAGGCCCGTCCTGGAAAGGGCCGCCGCCCCAAGGCTGGGCGTGGTGGTGGGGGTGGTTGGGGTGGAGGAGGTGGTGGAGCCGGGTCGCCCGCTGGGGGTGCTGACGAGGGCCCTGGGCCTAGCACCGCCGAGCAGCAGCAGGTCCCCTCGCTCGACCAGTGGCCGTCACAGTAGCAGCCGCTGCAGCCATTGCCGCAGCAGCAGCAGCTGCAGCGGCGGGTTGGTCGTCTCCCGCCTGGGTGGCCCGGCACTAGTGGTGGTGGCAGTCGCGGTGGTCGTGCGCGCGGCGTGATGACAGGTGGTGGTGCGGGTGACGGGAGCTGCCAGTACCAGCTTCAGACCGGTCCTCGCCGTGGCCTCGTGTGCGGTAAGACCAGTCACACCACCACTCGCTATTTCAGTCGCCTTGACGACCTGTTTCATCTTCGCTTCGGCCCGGCGCCCGACCTCCCCGACTGGCTCAGCTTACTTCGTAGGGGTGTTCAGGTCTTTGATATGGACATGGACGAGATTAGCTCAGCGCTGTATCATCTGTATGTTGATGACTCTAGTGTGATTGGTTCCGCTTACCCCGTGTTGCCTTGTGTAGGAGTGCATAGCATAGACTCCCCTGCTGCGTCACGCGTAGGATCTCTTGCTTTGTTTAGTCTAGGCTCCTCCGTCGCTTCCTCGACCCCTCCCGCCTCTGTTGCACTTTCCTTCACCCTGGATTCCGGTGCTTCCCGGTGCTTCTTCCGGGACTCCACTACTCTCTCGCCGCTTGCCGCTCCCGCCGCAATTTCCCTAGCTGACCCTTCCTCACGCCCTGTCGTAGCTCGTAGCTCCACTACCCTTCCCTGTCCGGCGGCTCCTTCAGGCTCGCTTACAGGCCTGCACATCCCCTCTTTCTCTAGGAACCTAGTTGGTGTCAGCTGCCTCCAGGACCTTGGCGTCACCACTACGTTCCCTGGTCACGAGCGGTACGCTGTCTGTACCGAGGCCGCCACATGTGCTCCCCACACCACGTTACCCCAGGACCCGGTGTCCGGCCTGTTCACGCTGGCCACCACGCCCCCCCCCGGTTGGGGCGTCTCCCCAAGTGCCCGTGTCTCCTCAGGTAGCTGCGGCTTGCTCATGTCGGTCCCTTACTCATCCGACACTCCTATAGCAACATCGTGTAGGACACCCTGCCCTCCCTCGTCTTCATCACATGTCGCAGCACGGTCTTGTCTTCGGTCTTCCTGGGTCGTTCCCCAAGCTCTCCTCCTCACCCGCGCCGCCGTGCACCCCCTGCGTCGAGGGCCGGCTCCACCGTGCCCCTCACTCCTCCTCGTTCCCCCCCACCACCGCACCCTTGTAGACTTTGCACATGGACGTCTGGGGCCCTGCCCCCATCCATGGGCCGCGTCGTGAGCGTTACTTTCTCGTCCTTGTTGACAACTACACTCGTTACACCACCGTGTTTCCCTTGGAGCGGAAGGCCGACGTGCCTGACGTTCTTATCCTGTGGCTTGTCTCTGCGCGTGTGCACCGCAGTCTCCCTGTGTTGCGTCTCCACTCTGACCGCGGTGGCGAGTTCGCCTCAGGTTGCCTTGGTCGTTTCTGTCGTGCGGAGGGCATCACCCAGACGTTCACTTTGCCGGACTCCCCACAGCAGAATGGGGTCGCTGAGCGACGCATCGGTTTGGTCATGGAGGTGCCTAGTACCTCCATGATCCACGCCAGTGCACCCCGTTTTCTGTGGCCGTTCGCCGTTCGCTACGCCGCTCACCAGCTTAACCTGTGGCCGCACCCTCAGCGGCCTCAGGTTTCGCCGACCCTCCTATGGACTGGGTCCCCTGGTGACGCGTCTGCGTTTCACGTTTGGGGCTGCCTTGCCCACGTTCGTGCCTCTAGCACGGACAAGCTTACTGCCCGCACACTCCCCAGTGTCTTCCTAGGTTTCCCCCTCGACTCGTCTGACTGGCACTTCTACAACCCCCCGTCCCACCGTTTCTTTCACTCTCGCGATGTCACCTTTGACGAGTCTGTCTCCTTCTACCGCCGCTCTCCCCACTGTGGTCCCCCGGTTACCCCCCCCTTGTTCCTGGTCCCTCCTCCCCCGGTCGCCCCTGCCCCCCCTCCTCCCTGCCCTGCCTTGTCTGGTGTGTCTCACGTTACCCCCCTCCCGTCGGTTATCCCGGTTGAGGAGTCTGCTGACTCTGGTGGCCCTGCGTCGCAACCGCAGCCGCCGCCGCAGCCGCAGCCGCAGTCGTCGTCGCCGCCGCTGCCGCCACCGTTGTCGCCGCCGCCGCGGCAGCAGTTCGTCCCTTCTGGGGGTGCTGGCGTTGAGGAGGGTGCTAGTCCTGGGGCTCCTGTCGTGCGTTGTCCCGGCGGGCCTGGGGGTGGTCCTGGTGCGGAGCGAGCTTCTGGTTCTGGGGGTGTTTTATCTGGGGGTGTCGGAGTGGACTGTTATGGAGGTAGCCGTGGAGCAGCTGGCGGTCCAGGTGTCGGCGTCGTGTAGCCGCCGCAGCAGCAGTCGCCCCCGGTGTCCGCCCTTCGCCTGCTCGGCCTTCCCTCCCTTGATCGCACGTCTCCCCGTCTTCTACCGTCTCCTCCTCTTCCTGTTTTAGGCCCAATGTTCCCTCCTACGGACTCGTCTTCGGCTCACCTTCCCCCTCGTTCTCCTCCTGTTACTCCTCCTCTGTCTCCTGACCCGACGCCTCCGTCCCACGTCTGGTCTCGCCGTCCCTCTCGGGCTCGTCCTGTCTCTCCTGTTCCTCGTTCTCACCCTGTGTTGCTTCGTTCCCACGTGTCATGTCCTCCCCTCCTGCCGTCGCCTCCTCCGTCCTCCCTTGTCGTCGCGCCTCCCCCACTGTCTGACTACCTTCGCACCGCTCGTCCTCTTGTTCCTCGGGTCCTTGCCTCCCTCGTTACTGACCCATCTGTTCCTGTTTCGCGTCTTGACGTTCTTGTGGCCACTGTTGCTGACTTCGCCTCTACCCGCTGCCTTAACTATGCCACCGCTCTGGTCTCTGACCCTGCCTGTCCTCTGTCCATCGGGGGTGCTTC